CATTGTTGTTCCCCGGACGTCTTTTGGTATGTTTGGTTGGAGTCGGGAGGTTTCTCTTCTTCTGCATATGCCTTTTGCTTGGGGAGGGGGGGGGGTTGTAGGGTAGGCGGCCGAGCAGGAAGTGGTGGACGTCGAGGTAGACTTCGTCGCAGACGACGAGGTCGGCGTACTCGCCTGCGCGGTCGGCTAGGTTGTCGAGGGTGAAGGTGACGGTGCCGTGGGTGGAGTTCTCAAAGGGCACGACGCCGTGGGGGGCGTGTTGGGATTGCACGCGGTCGAAGACCTCTGGTGAGTGGGTTTAGTGTCTGGGACCTGGACTGGACTGAACTGAAAGGGGCTGAGATGAGATGAGATGAGATGAGACAGACCTTTGATCGTCGTTGTTGGCTCGAGGTGCCATTTTGCCTCGGGAAAAGCGATTTTAGTGGCTTGGTGGGAATATGAGTTGAACGGACCGAGGAAGGCGACTGTCGTGCCGGTATTGGCGCCGCCCTCGCCCGCGGCCTGTTGAGTACTCGGTGCCGTCATGTTGACAGAAGACACCACGCGCACGACTGAGGTTTGCGGCCGAATTCGGACGGGTGAAGAAACGCCAGTGGAAGGGGCTGAAAAGGAAACACAGCGGCCGGTGTTATGAGTACAATTGAGCTGTCAATTGTCAAGTAAAGGGCGTGCATAAAAACCCCTTGTGAGGTTTTACTCAAGCTAGCCCCGACTTTGAAGACTGACCAACGGCCCGATCCGCCGCCTCGATCCGTTTCCCGCAGTGGTGCCGGAACTTCGATTGCTTGAGATGATGTGCTACCCGGACCCCGCAAAGGCGCGGGGATCCACCGAGTTCGGCCCCCTTGAAGCCTTTCTCTTGGGTACTATGTGTGGATAGGATGTAGGGAGGAAATCTATGAAAAGCTCAGAACGGTTTGTCTGTCTACTTTCAACGTCGTTTTAAAACACTAGTCACGTTCCCCATGGGACACAAAATTATAAAACGAGTGTTGTTCCGTAACTAGTTATCTAAGTTCCGATATCCCCCCGATTGATAAAAGACCGGACAGACACCGCACGGCTTAGGGCGATGTCCGCGTACCAGGACCATCGCTAGCCCCGCCGGCTCGTGTCTTAAGCGCGTAAACAATCTTTGATTGATGCCCTGCAATGAACTTGTCCTTGTCCGACTTCCCGATCGTACGGGCATCTTCCTGTGCGCATCTCGGTCAGCAAAGGACCGATAGCCGATCGCCAGGAGATGCTCACGCACGTACCTTCTATCAGCCTCCAACTCGAGAAGCCGTCATCACAGAGCGAAGCGGGCTGGGACGCGACACCTGGTGCTCGCGGCTCGGGCCTGCCGGAAAGCCCTTCATCAGCCGCCGCTGCGCAGGCGGGACCTTCCCTGGGCTTCGCGGCGCGGCGGCCGCCTCGTCGGCATGCGGTGGCGTTGGCTCGGACGTGATGGCTTCAATCCCGGGTCCCTCGTGGTTAACGAGGGAATCAACGGGTCAATCGTCGTAGTAGTCATCATCGTCATCTACTTCGGCTAACTGCTCGAAGTTGACCTTGTACCGGAGGATGCCGCCAATGCCGCCGAAGCCCTTGACGAACTGGTTCCCCTCGGTCGACCGATCCGAGACAAACTCAAGAGTGGTACCGAAATCCTTGTAGTGCTCGGCAATCCACTCTAGGAAGGACTCCTGCGAGACCACCTCCATCTCCTGGCCCGTCTCCTTGTCCATGAACTGGTCGCGGTTGCCCGCTTCTTGCTGCTTGGTGGTGTGAATCACGTATTCGGTGTTGTTGCTGTCCTTCAGAGTCCAGCGGTTGATCTCGAGACTCTCAAAGACAATAAGGGTCTCAACAGCACCCAGCTCCAGCGCCTTGAGCGTGTCCTCAATACCGTAGCAAATACGGCCCGTGTCCTGGCTGATCTCCTCGAAGTACTTGCCGATGAGTTTCTTCTCCTGGATGAATTTGACGTTGCCCAACGTCTCGGACGACAGCTCGATGGCCTGGTTGAAACCGTTCTCGCCACCGTACGACACATCGACGACCTTGATGACCTTGACCTGCAGACGCTGGTCGAACAGGTCGGAAGCGTTCAGGTCATTCTTGAAATCGGCCGAACCGGCCAGCACAATGCCGCCAACGTTGACCTTGTCGTTGGTGATGAAGTTCTGCACCGCCAACTCAGCGACCTTGCGAACATAGTTGTGGCGCTTTTCCTCTCTCAGACGGGCAAAACGCAGCGCCGACTGGCCACCACGACCGTGCTTCTTGGGAAGATCGACCGAAAACTTCTGGACGATGTCGCGAGTGTTGCCGCTGAGCGTTCCGAACAACGCTCCGTTACCATCCATGATGATAAAACCGAACTTCTGATCCGACTCGAGCAGCTCGGCGAGAGCCTCCGTGTGGAATTTGTTGTCGCAGAGGTAGAGCGATGTGTTGATGGGCTTGAAGGGCTCGAAATCGATATTGACCTTGCGCTCCTTGCCTTCCGAGGTCAAGATTTCACCGCAGTACACGACAAGACCGTTGGGGGGAACCTTGTTGTAGAGCTTAAGGCGCTGCTGGGTCGAGGTAATGGCCGAAAGGACGGATTGACGGTTAACTCGCGACTTGATGTTGGATGCGGTACCCTGTGTCGCGTGTTAGATATTGTAAGGGTCCGTCTGTCGAGTCGATGTTTGGGATTGGGAAAGACGTACGTATTCTTCTGCCAACATCTTTGCCGCACGAGAGACTTGATCCTTTGGCGCTGCACGAATTTATCAGCCATCTTCCAATGATGGACCAGTCGAAGGCGGCACTCCTTCCTCGGTGGCTGGAGAGGTCAAGCGACGTACGAATAATCAGGGAAATCATGCTGGTGCCATTTCCACGTGCAGCTTCGAGCCGCTTGATGAGTTTCTTCACCTTCCAGATCTCGATCTAACAGCCACATTGTCAATGTCATAATCATCGCGGGAATTTTGGGACATGCGCTCACGTTCTTCTCCGCCTCGCTGGCGTTAGGGTCGCTCATGGTGAACGATGGTTACAAAATGACCGACGTGAGAAGGGAAAAAAAACACAAGGTAGACGTCGCCTTGACTCCTCCTTTAGAAGGGAAGTTTGGGTTTCTGTTGCTTTTTGGCTCGGTGCGTCTCTGAAACCGGGAATTCTTGAATTTAGTGGTGGGGTTGACGTGAGAGGGGTTTCGAGGTTGTGAAGCTTTTTATGGGCTGGGGCAAAGTGGCGCCCCAAGCCTCCACCTGTTGCCTGATATGAGCCACCATTGGACCATCGCTTTCCTTGACCCCGGCCGAGCTTGTTGGCCCTGACTTCTTTCAAGGTGGGGCTGGTTTAGCTGAGTGACCGAGACGAAAGTGTCTTGCAAGAATGCTTGAAACACAAACAAATGTCATTCTACCACATTTACAACTTCAAGATAGTTGGAATTACCATCACGGGTAGCAGCATGGATCTGCATATACGTGGCATTGTAAGTTTTCATCTCGGCTGTCATTGGTAACTGGAAATCCGAGTCAACATCAACAAATGCTGTTTCAAGCCAAGCCAATGATTTATGTGGGGCACCCCGTACCTTGGGAGCAGCCGATGATGCAGCTGTGGTTTGCGGTTTGCGGTTTGCGGATACACTGAACATCCGGCGACGCCCGATCCCGTCGTCGACCTCGACACGCACGCACCGACTTTCATACCGACCAAAAATCGGCGACTTGAAAACCCGCCATAATGGCTAGCTCCATTCCCCTCCAGGTCGCTGAGACGGTCCAAACCGCGCACATCAACCGCGACCCTTCCCCGCGGCACGATCTGAACCCCTCGACCGCAGCCTCAAAGAAGGAGCCCGTCACCCTCGACGATGGCACTATCGACGAAGAGGACGACGAAGAGGGCGAGACGGAAGACGAGGGCGTCTACCGCTCACGCATCACACCTCGCCCGCGCCGGCATCACCAATTCCCGCCCATGCCCGACCTGCGCTTCGAGCAGAGCTACCTGTCGAGCATACGGAATGCGGACACATGGTGGAAGGTCGGGTGGATCACAGCGAGGGACCAGGTAAGCCTTCTAGAAATTCCCAGACCAACCGAGAGGGGAGGATTGGAAACTAGTTAGAACGGATAGAGGTTTCGACCAGGCAAACTAACAATCAAAACAGCTCATGATGCCTTTTTTGCAGGGTGTGGTTTACAACCTGGGTCTCTGCGGCTGGCAATACTGGAACCGGAACGCGAGGATGCACGGGTCGTCGGTTGGGGCACGGCTGCGGCGTTGGTGGTATGGGGTGAATAACTGGAAAATACCATCCAAGAAGTTGCGGTAGAGATGGTACAAAGAGTAACTCGTTGATCAATCTTATGACGCCTTCACCATGGTATATTTGCAGGTCATGTTCCTGAGTAAACGATTCTATTATGCACCAAGAAGAGTCTGAGAACATATCAACGACCCCCATTTTTATCACTTTGAAGCGCCGAAGAAGGACCCTTTGCGGCGACAGAGATCGACCGCTGAAACAGCATACCAGCTACGCTCTTCATGTCTTGCCATAGCACCTAACTCCCTTCTCATGGCAAAATCATAAAATATTCTAGCAAGCTCTTGGGAAACCCATCACTCTGCTGGGGTGATATCAACAACCCGAGGAACTGATTTGGCAACCTCCGGGCTCCCCCTAAGAGCCAGGGATGTCGCCTTCTCGCTCGAGGGCGTCGGTGGCGATTTGATAACCTCGCTTGTATCGGTCTTTGACTGGTCCACAGCAGTTTCGGTCTTCTCCATCGGCTCGGCTGAGTTGCCAGCGTTGACTTCGGGTTGTGGTTCGGTATGCCCAAGAGTGGTCGCGCTCTTCGTCGCAACCGCAATGACATCAGCCGCAGGTGGTTCCGGTTCCGTGATAATAGGCTGCTCGGGGCTGGAGCCGCTGGCCTCAGAATCGTCGCTAACAACAACATTCCGGTGCGCTGCTCTGGCGTGCTTGTGTTTCTCGGCGGCGACAGGCGGGCCGGGAATCTGTCGCACCTTGCTGTCCTCGTCAAACGAGACCCTGATGGGGAACTTGAACATGAAGCTGGGGTTCTCCACCTCAAGATCCTCGTCCAACACCTCGTCCTGTTCAAACTCCTCCTCGTCGACTTCCGACTCATCCGGGACGTGCTCCTCTTCCTCATCGTCGCCGAATTCAGGCTCACTCCCCTCCTCTTCGGACTCATCCCACTCGTACTCCTCGCTCTTACGCTTCTTGCCCGCCCACCCGTTCGAGCTGCGGTGAGCGGCGGCAGACCTCTGGGGGCGTCCAGAGCGACTGGTATGCCTTATCTCTGCATCATCACCGTCTCCCTGTACACTCGTGGAAGCGCTCGGCGCCCTGGTGCTGGCGTTCTCTGCGTTCAAACGAGTTGGCGCCCGGACCTGCCGACCGCTAGCCGTCGTAAGAGGGCCACTGGGCTCCGCCGGGGTATGGTGCCTGGTGTTGCGGGTCGAACGGCGGTTGGTGGAGTCCGAGTAGAAATCGGCCTCGTCGTCGGAATATGTGTACTTCATCCGCTTCCCCCGCGTACGCCCTTCGTAGAGCGAGAAGCCAGGCTCCGGTCGTCTGAACTGCTCCTTGCGCATCTGGCGGTATTCTCTACGCCGCCTCTTTTCTTCTGTCGCCTCGAATCGCGGTATGCTATTCACGATCCTCTTAGCGAACACCTTCGCCTTCGGTCCGCGGTCCTGTGTCTCGAGCTTCTCGCTTAGCAATCTTAAGTCTTCTATGCTCCCGGCAACGCTCCACCACGTCCTTTGTATGCCGGCCGGGTTGCTCTCTCGATACACGCGGAATGAGGTATCGTCATTACCCTCGATTAGGAAATACCGCCGCTTGTCGCCATCGCCGCCCCACGGTTGCACGCTCAAGGGAATGTTGAGATCGTCGTCATGTCGGTTCTTATAAGCTTGGCTAATGCTCGCTCGGACCGCGTCCGAGGATGAGAGAGTCCATTGCACCAGCGTTCGGAGGAGGGTGAGCTGGGTACGAAGTTAGCAGCGGGCCCGAACCTAACAGGGCTAACCGAGGTAAAAAGCGCAACACATACCCTTTGTACGGGGGTCATCGAGGCAAAGGTTGTTTGGCCCGCGACCGGGTTCTGGCTCTCCCAGTCCTTCGCCCACTGCCCTTTATGGGTCTGGATAGCTTCCTCGAGCGCACGGTTGTAATGTCCGGGCCTGTAAATCCAACATCGTCAACAATTTGAAGCCGAAATACCTCGCGTTGCATAAAAAAAAACATGTGCCTTACTTGACATCCTGCTTGCGGTTCAGGAGCAGGCTCAGGAGGGCGCAGAGAAAATGCTCAACACGCTCGCCTGGGATCGCATCGACGACGTCACGCTCGAGCTCTTGAGGGCCGAAATTTGCGAGGCTCTTAGGAAAAGCATCGGTAAATCGGGCGCGGAACATGACGATGAACTGCGGGGAGAAAAAGTCAGCTCCTAGTACGACTCATGATGGGCGCGACTTCTCGCGTCGCCACGCGGCGAATACGCGAACTAAGGCGTAAATGCTTACAGCAATGTCTGGATTGTCAGCCAGAACATATTCGTGCGGTGGGGAGGGCTCCCGCTTCGGTCGGGGAGGAGTCTTCTCCTTGGGCTCTAGGGCCGGGTTGTTGTCGACCTTGTGGAAGAATTTCAGGATGCCATGGCGCTCTTCCAATTGAATGTCGGATTCATCTTCAGAAGGTGGCTCCGAGAGCGATGAAATCGAAGATAGATCCGAAGAATCGTCGTCGGCCATTTTTGATGTTGTTGACGCGAGTTGGCGGGCTGGCGTTTGCTGCGGTTGAGCTTTGGCGCGAAGGAAGTGGAGGTGGGAGAGTGAGGAGCACTTTGGGTCCGAGTGAGAGATCGGCTGCAAGAAATTACGTACCCGGCCCGACAATGGCCAAGGGCTTCCTAGCCAGCTTACTCTTCACGCTGGGGCACTTGATAGGTGGATTCACTCTACAAACAGCTCAATATGTTGCTTTAACCCAACTGCTTCTGTTCACAAGGCTGTCCGTATAAGCACAATACCCGCCCCTCGAGCTGCCCTGGTCGACCTGTCGAGCTGCGCCAACCTGGATTCCAAACCATCATCACTTTCCCTCGCCACCCATTCCATTGCCCACCAACATCCCAACAGCCAGCCCAACAGTGTTATATTGTTAACACTCGGATTCCTCGTTCCAGAAAAACATAGCGAGACCATATATAAGAGGGCCGACCGACCATACTAGATTTTAGTCCAGGCCGCCCACAAGTACCAGTCTGGGCCGGTCGGAGTGGTACCTGCCGTGATCGGTGTTGGGAAAGCGGATATGTGCGGTGGAACGCCAATGCTGCGCTGGTGACGGGTTTGGCGAAAACGGCACCGCTTGATGAGGCCCGTGATCTGGCCCGCTTTTTGAATCCAGCTCCAGTGATTGGTGTTGTACCCAACCAAAACCATACTCCGGTATGATTTTGAGAGCTCGACAACAGCATCACCGCATAGCCCATTCGGGTGGGTTCTGGCGTGCAGGCGGCCGTCTCCGTCAATCATTTTCTGACCAGCCCCCCGCGACAGCGGGAGGACACGGAGCGAGCTTTTTTAGACCAGGGCTTTGGTTCTCTTCCACTTTTGAGGCGCGCTTCCCCCGGGCAACCCAACCACGAGCTTTGCATCTCCATGCTAACCTTCCTTATCCGATGTGAAAACGGTACCGTACCGGGGAAAAAGGAAGATTCACAGCGGTGTCCGTTCGTAGCTCAGCTTCAAGAATGGTGCCACAGGACCACCGTAGCCAACAACAAGCGCCTTCTGGCATCTCTCGACCTTCCTAGGCTGTAGACCTAATCTCGGGTATCGAAAATGAGGGTTTGACACTCGTCATGACGCCAAAGACAGGTGCGCGATCTTTGGAAAGTGGTTCTCGGTGCCTTAAATAATGCAACTCTGCATAAGATCAGAACGACAGCTTGGCCTGAAACTTGCCAAAATCAACTTGCACGCACAATAGCCCTGCGGAGAGCATTGCAGAACCAGCAGGCTAAGTGGCCAGTTGTTTGAAGGTACCGGGCTCGGCCGTGTGCGTCCTGCGCGTCATGGAAATGCTTGAGCACACTCTCGGAGAGCGCAGTCCGGGCTGGCTTTTACGCAGGTCCGACCAGCAGAGCTGCCAACCAGGACGGCCCACACGATGCGCCAACACTTTGGGATCATGAAACTTAATGCTTCAGAGGAGGCTGGATCCTCGATCACATTGAGGATCCGGATCTAGTTTATTTGTTAGCAAAAGCCGAGTCAATACGACCTTCAATTTCAAAATCATCGCAGGTCATACATGATATTTATTCTGATGCAAACATTGATTCGCGGTCGATGGTTACTGTTGCGAATACGGGAAATGGCCATGTTAAGAGGTTGCGAGGCGGAGAGCTGAGGTTGGACGAGCGTGTCGGCAGCTTTCAGCCTGGCGAGGAGATTCGCGTACTGTGTGATTAATGAGTGTCAGACCTCAAGAAGTCACCAAATCCTCGCAAGCAACTCAGAAGGGTTGGCTTAGGTTGATCTGTGAAACGGGCTTGCAATTTAAAATACAAATCATTTGGAGACAACAGCGTCTTTGAATAGGCGTGAACTGAAACTGCAAGCTGGAATTCAAGAAACAAGCCCACTATCGATGTGAGTGGTAGCCTGCAGCTTTGGGCACTGTGCTTCATGTCAGCGTCACCGGCCTGAAAATCCATGCGCCACACCACTCCCCGCGTTAGGGCAATTGGGAAGCCACACCAATTATCTGTGGCTGCTGCATCCACACAGAAATTTGGGAAAAATATCGCTTCACCCATTTGGAGCTTTCAAGTGTCGCAACCTCAACCTCATTCAACCACCGAGACAACCCGTCACTTCCACATTTTCCAGGTAGGAAGGGCAAGATGGGTCGCGTCGTAAGTAAACTTCGCTATTCCAGTTCCCGAATTCTTCGACTCGATTCAGCACCGAGACCTCGATTGCGACGACCGACCGATTGAGACGGAGAATATCTCGAAACTTGGGGCCCTAGAGAGGATGCTAACTGTGATATTTTCCGCCTTCAGATCCGCAACCAGCGTAAGGGCGCTGGCAGCATTTTCACTGCCAACACCCGTCTGCGCAAGAACCCCGCGAAGTTTCGCAGCCTCGACTACGCCGAGCGCCATGGCTACATCCGGGGTATCGTGAAGGAGATCATCCACGACCCCGGCCGTGGTGCTCCCCTTGCCCGCGTTGTTTTCAACTCGCCCTACAAGTTCAAGAAGGTCCCCGAGACTTTCATTGCCAACGAGGGCATGTACACCGGCCAGTTCGTCTACGCCGGCAAGAACGCCGCCCTGACCGTCGGCAACGTCCTCCCCCTCGGCTCCATCCCCGAGGGTACCGTGGTTTCCAACGTTGAGGAGAAGGTTGGCGACCGTGGTGCTCTTGGCCGCACGTCCGGCAACTACATCACCGTCATCGGCCACAACCCCGACGAGGGCAAGACCCGCATCAAGCTCCCCTCGGGCGCCAAGAAGGTCGTCAGCAGCGACGCTCGTGGCATGATCGGTATCGTTGCCGGTGGTGGCAGGACAGACAAGCCCCTCCTGAGTACGTTTTTACATGGGTGGCGGAGGACTATATCATCGGGTTGGACAGAACAGAACGCTGACACGCGATTACAGAGGCCTCGCGCGCCAAGCACAAGTTCGCTGTCAAGCGCAACCGCTGGCCCAAGACTCGTGGTGTTGCCATGAACCCGGTTGACCATCCCCACGGTGGTGTAAGTGCTGGAAGGGCGAATGAATGCTGGGACGTTGTATATCTGACATGGTGCTACAGGGTAACCACCAACATATCGGTAAGGCGTCGACCATCTCGAGGTACGCTGCGCCGGGTCAAAAGGCGGGTCTCATTGCTGCGAGGCGGACGGGTCTGCTGCGTGGTACCCAGAAGACGAAGGATTAAATGCGTTCATGGTTCTACATCTGGGCAAGGGGTTCATCGGATTGCATTGGTCTTTTGCTGCTTTGTAGTTACGGAACTGCGAAGGCGGACGGGAAACTTGCTCATTTGCGCAAGCGGTCATGGGCGTGAAATGAATAAAATATTCCCAAACGCGGTCAGGAAAGGGATTGTTACGGGGCAATGTACTCGGAGATCCGGCGTCGCAGGGAGAAGAAGCCAGGCAGGCCATGCAGCCAGGGAATACTCTTGGGAATCAAGCAGCGCGAGCTCATCGCTTCCAGGCGATACAGCGAGGCATCCTAATCGAGCGGTGACTGGCCAAGTGAGCTAGAAATGGGCTGGCCGTGGTATGGGCAGCATGCCTGAGGGATTCGGTGTAGTTAATCCATGTGTTGCCGTCGATGTTTACCGTTTTCTGAGTGGTCGGCCGCGGCATCCACCACTCAGTCACAGGGACCCAAATTTTGCCCCTCATTCCTGGTGCCCCGCGTACCAAGCAGCTGCTGGATCACGGAGTCAGCTCTTGACGATAGTTACTTTCATGCCTTTGGCCCCTTGCCGCGGGGAGACAAGCAAAGCGGAGAGCCAGTTGGGCTCTACCACCTAATACCTCCTTGTAATGCCTTGTGCCTGACTCGTTCGGACAAACATCCTCTGCGTACTCTTATTGGCAGCAAGTCGGCGTCTTGACTGCCGATTCTCAAGAACTCAACCGTTCATAGGAAGAAGATGCCTTCAAGATTCCCTTGTTCCGGCCGCATCCTGCACCAGGCTATCAAACCCCTAATCTAACATAGCCCTGAGTACCTCGATCTGCTCCAACACGCTTGATCGACTGGTACCGCCTTTAGAGTTTTTCGCCTCGACACTCGTTTCATATTCGAATGCCTCCGCAATGTCCGCTGTGAACCGAGAGTCAATGGCTTGCAGTTGCTCAAGGGTCAGCTTGTCCATCGAAATCTCCTGCTGTTCGGACTGTGCAACGACGCGTCCAGAGATGTGGTGAGCCTCTCTGAACGGACATCCCCTCCTCACCAACCACTCCGCGATATCAGTGGCTAGCATCGTCTTGTCCAGGGCAGCCGCCATCCGCTCTGGCCGCACCTTCAACGTAGCAATGACCCCGTTGGCAATGCCTAGACTGTCCGACACAGTTTGAACCGAGTCCAGCATAGGCTCCCACCCTTCTTGAAGGTCTTTATTGTAGCAAGATGGCAAACCCTTCACGGTCTTCCAAGTGAATAGTTAGTAGCTACTCTCGATACACTCCTAGCCACCCCCAAAGCCAAGGTAACTGGCTGGGATGTTAATATGAGGACTCACCATCATTAACCCAGCCATTTGACCGAAAGCACGGGCCTGACTTGCCGCGCAGAAGCTCTAACGAGTCCGCGTTGTGTTTGTTGGGCATCAAGGAGCTACCCGTAGAATAGGCGTCGGCCAGCCGCACGAAACTGAACTCAGATGTCGAATATATGACGAGGTCCTCAGCCCACCTGCTGATGTGGTTGGTGAAGATCGAGTTCCAGACCAGGAAGTCGAGGAGGAAATCGCGGTCGGCTGAAGTATTCATGGAGTTCAAGGTGATTCCGCTGAACCCAAGCTCCTCGGCTATTGCGTTTCGATCAATTCGAAATGGATTGCCGGCCAAAGCGCCACAACCAAGTGGACTGAGATTGACCCTTTCGAAAACTTGGCGCAACCGCTCGAGATCCTGCTTAAACGCAGCGGCATGTGACATCAGCCATTGAGACCACCGAACTGGCTGAGCACGCTGGAGATGGGTGTATCCAGGCATGATGTAGTCGCTGAGGTTGTCAGTCAGCAGGGGGCGACTTTTGGCCAGAGGTGAGGCCGTGCTTACATTTCAGACTCGGCACGTGTGATAATGACCTTGAGGAATGCGACGAGTTGGCTGTCGATCTCGCGGATCCGATCGCGCAACCACATGCGCATATCACAGACAACTTGCTCGTTGCGGCTGCGACCTGTGTGCAGCTTACCCGCGATGTCCTTGCCGATGACCTCTCCCAAGCGACGTTCGTTTGCCGTATGGATCTAGTCCATTGTGTCAGCCTCGGGAAGTTGGGTAGAATCGAGTGGCCCCTCACATCTTCGTCATTCGGCATGATGGCGAAGGTTCCCTGTTTCCATTCTTCCATCACTTGGAGCAAGCCACGCTCAATCGCCTGAAATTCGTCTTCGCTGATAATGCCAGCCTTCCAGTTGGCCCTGGCAAAAGCAACCGATCCAAGGATATCTTCTTTGTAAAGAGCCTGGTCGTACCGAATGGAGGCATTGTACTTGTGCATGAGAGGATCAATGGCACCTGCTCACCGGTGTGGTCAGTATACTCCATCCGAAGCTTGTTTCCTAAGACATTCGAACCTGTAAACCTCCCCCCCCAGAGCATGCCAGCTGCCGGGGCGGCCGCCTTTTGCTCGGCCATGTTATGGGGCGTAATTGTACCAATTGGCGTTCGAGATCAACGGTGTGAGCAATCAGGATCAAAAAATTGGTTGAGGAATAAAAGTTGGTTGATCAATAGAGGGCACAAAAGAGTTTTATTGTTTTGCTACCTGAGGGGAGAAGAAAATGGAGAATCTGCGCGGGGTGAGTCAAGGCTAGCTACGGCCCGGGATAATACAACGCAAGCCTAACTCGAACCGAGCGGTATAACAAGGGAGGTACCCGACCCGAGAACGGTTGAGTGGAGTTAACTATGCTGTTCTCACACGGCCCTAGCTTTCTTCTGACGTCAACGAACAAGAGGGGACATATCTCTTAAGTGGTTTTCTTTCCGTGGTGTCCTTCTTGCGCGGTAACAACCTAACCTTGAGATGACCACCCTCTTCCCCGCAAACCAGCGGCGGGCCTCCCCTCGTCGGCCGTTAGTTACCTCGTTAACATGTTTCGGACAAGGTCGGCAACTTATTACTCGGGGTCCAGCTTCTTTGCCAAGCCCCTCTTCTCCGACCCAACCAGAGCATTTTCTGCTCAAGCGAAACTGGCCGATGGCGGCTTGAGCCCCGCCAGTCGACTGCCCCGCCTCTTCTTAAGTCGCTGCACATCGAGCTCGGAGCAGAAGAGGGGCACAAACCCTTTCTACCGCAACCAACTTCATCAGAACCGCCGGCTCAGCAACATGGCTACCAAGGGGTACAAACTTCTCTGCTTGGAGAACCCTCTCCTCGGTAAGTACAAGTGATATAATTATGAATTGCCCGTCCAATTGAACATGGCCCCCTCTCTTGGCCTCCAACTCCCACCCTGACCGAAATGTCGGTCACGGAATCCTCGGTCGCTTTATTTAGCTAACCCAGGAACGCTATTTAGACATTCAGGCCTTTGGCAATGACGCACTTCTCGAGAAGTACGGTCTCAAGGCCAATGATGCTATCCTGGCCGATCCCGAGAAGCACCTAGACCTCTATGAGGACCTCCTCAACAACTACGATGCCAAGCTGATTGCCGGCGGTGCCGCCCAAAACACGGCCCGCGGTGCCCAATACAGGCTTCCTGCTAACAGCGTTGTCTACTTGGGCGGCGCCGGCGACGACAAGTACTCCGCGATCCTACGGGACGCCTGCAAGCAGGCCGGCCTCCGTGTCGAGTACCGCGTCGACCCCAAGATCCCCACCGGCCGTTGCGGCGTCGTCATCACCGGCCACAACCGTAGCATGTGCACCGACTTGGGCGCTGCTAACCACTATGATCTCGAGCACCTGAAGCGCCCCGATATCTGGGCACTCGTTGAAGAAGCTGAGGCGTATTACATTGGCGGCTACCACTTCACTGGTATGCTTCCCGTCATTGTCCCCTAAAAAGCATAATAGATGGCTGATTATCATTACCAGTCTGCCCTCCTGCCATCATGGAGCTCGCCAACCAGGCCGCCAGCAAGAACAAGCCTTTCATTCTGTCGCTCTCCGCACCCTTCATCCCCCAATTCTTCAAGGAGCCGCTCGACGCCTCTGCGCCCTACTGGGATTACGTGATTGGCAACGAGACTGAGGCGGCTGCCTACGCCGAGTCGCACGAGCTCGGCACTCAGGACGTGAAGGAAATTGCCAAGAAGCTGGCGAACCTGCCAAAGGCCAACTCGCAGCGCAAGCGCGTGGCCATCATCACGCAGGGCACCGAACCGACCCTGGTCGCCGTCCAGGGCGAGGACGTGGTAAAGGAGGTCCCCGTGCACGAGATCCCCAAGGAGAAGATCAACGATACCAACGGCGCCGGTGACGCCTTCGCTGGCGGTTTCTGTGCCGGTATCGTCAGCGGCAAGTCTCTGGACGAGAGCGTTGATATGGGCCAATGGTTGGCGCGGCTGAGCATCCAGGAGCTTGGTCCTTCGTAAGTTTTCATCCCCAACCCAGCCAGATGAACACGAAGCAAACATGGTTACTTGCGTATCCTACAAGCTTCTTCTCTCTATGTCACTGCCTTCCTGTCAAACATCAAGACGCTAACCGAGTCCCGAAACAGATACCCCTTCCCTCAACAAACCTACCAGCGCCAGTAGGGAGCGAGTATGCGCACCGCTAGCCTCGCAGTGATTCAGGATCACTGAGAGCTAGAGCGTAGGTATCGGGCAGTTTTCCCTTAGGTCACCACATCTCAAAAGAGAAAGGAAGTTCCACCTTCCGCATTTTGCAGAACAGGCGTTGCAGGCAAAAGGGGGAACATGGGAACAAATACAGGCATGCATGGTAGAGAGGTTTCAACAACGGCGAACCAGGGCGGGCCGGACGGACGGTCTGAATCTAAATCATGTCTTTTTTTTTTTTTTTTTATGGCGTGTGCATGTCGGGAGACCAATTCTTTCTGGCAATCTTTTCAACAGAGTCGAAACTACTCGGAAATTCAACTTGATGATATCCCCCTTAACCTCTTGCTACCATTACCACACTGCCACCACCTCTCTGTCAACGTCCAAAACTAATCACCAATACAGCACAAGACAGAACAGACTAGGGTAGAGGGCGCCAGAGCAGAAAAAAAAAAACACGGTGCCCGGTAGCTCATCCAGTTTCCATTGCCAAATTAATTGAGCTAAACTAGACCGAATTGCTGCGAGCAGGACGCCGGGGCAAGGTTAGCAAAGTGGGAAGAAAGTCTCTTGGCTTCCAACGGGTGGCCATGAGGCAGACCCAGAGAGAAGCCTTATCCACCTATCCATCCCGTGCATTATGACCTTAAGATCCCGTGCTTGTCGACCGCGAGGTGCCATTGACTGGCGTACCGAGGCTGGAGGAGGGCGCCGAAAAGTCGCCGGCCAGCTTATGAGGGGCTGCTCTGCTCTGGAAGGGACGAAAACACAGACAAACAGGAAGCTCGGGGAGTCGTTCTGGGCGGTAGGCTGAGATGCCGCACAAGCTGACTGTCTGGAGCTGGAGAGTCAGATGAGCCGGTCGAGAGATTCACTCCATCGGCGGCCTCCTTCAGACTCCGTAGCAAGACTCCGTAGCAAGCGGTCGCCGGTAGCTCCGTGAACTAGGCTCCAGCAATGGGGACAGGGGACGCAACCGTTGCGCGCCGTTGCGCGCCGTGGTACGGGAGGCAAGATTCCGCAGGGGGAAGCCAGCTGCGAGCGCGGGCTGAGCAGTGGAGCAGGTGAGGATGTCAAGACACGGCAGCTCCGGTGGAAATCAACGCTTGGGCATACCCTGCTGCATGACCGACTTCCTGTTAGCCTTCTCGCCCACGGTAGGCTGCTGCCGGATCAGATCGCTCCAGATGTCGACCTGACCAAGGGGCTGCTGGGCAACCGACCCGTTCCGCGGCTGCCGAGCGTCGGGCCAGGCGCCAGCGAAAGAGTTCTGTTGAATGTGTCCACTGGCCATGGCGCTAGCGTAGTCGGTCGCATATCTGCTGCCCGACGGTGATGGGATTGCTCCTCCGGTGTATGCGGCGCTAGCCCGGCTCGGCGAAGAGGGGGATTGCGCCGCCGGGAACCTGTTCACCGCTGCGGGTATGCCCCAGGGGCTGTAAACTTGCGGAAGGCTTGACGCATTGGAGGAGAAATTGAAAGTCGAGAAGGATGAGTTGAGGGCAGCGCCAGTGGTGGCAGGGGGGACCTGGCCGTTGGCATTCTGCCAGGGGCTTGATGGGGGAGCCCAAGTTCTTTGTTGCGGGAGGATAGGAGGCGTTCCAAGCGCAGAAACCAAGCCCTCCGCGGTTGCGTTGGGCCATGCTCCCTTAGGGCTGTACGCCTGTTGGGGCAGGCCAGCTCGGCCGGATGCCGACTCTGAAGACTGAAGCATATCGGCCTGGTTCTCGACAGGCTTTGACTGCCCTAGGCTGCCGTACCTCTGGTGGGTTTGGTGCGCGAGCGGGTTGCCAATGGTAGCCCCAGCACCGAATTGGGCTGCATTTCCAGAGCTTGTCGGCCGTGAAATCCCTCCGCCGTTCGCTCCCCAGCTCGCGGCCATGGCGTTCGTATCCGAGCGCAAGGTAGGGTTGGCCGGCGGTTTGTAAAAGTATTCCCAGGGCAAAGTTGGGAATTTCTTTGCCCCAGCTGAGCCCGGCGTCGGGCTGTTTGAAGTGCCGGCCCCAAAAGCCTCAGCCACACCTGCAGAGTCCATACCGTACGGGCTTGTTCGCGCAGGCGGGTGGCTCGGTGTCTTGGATTTGGATAAGAGAGTAGACTCTGGTGGGTTGATGAACTCGTTCAGGATATTGAACATCTGCCTCTCAATGGGAAACTCAGAAACCGGCGCTGTTGGCGTTGGTATAACTGGGGCTGGCACTTGCCCACTTCGGGACCCATAACCGACAGCATTTCGTAGATTTGGGCCATAAAAGTCCTGATCCTCGGAGAGTTCGTTAGACTCACAAGGACTTAGGGCCGCTGCCAGAATCTTGGGGGTTTGTTCAAGGGCAGCAGGAACAGCTGTTGGTGTCAAATGCTGAGCCGGTGGTAGATTTGGGGTAGGCTCAGGCTTCCCTCTCTCAAGATACATAAACGTCGTGAGCTCCCGGGATCCTTTTTTCACTGCGGACGTTGCAAATGGGAACCTCGATTCTGGCATAGACAAGTCCAAGCCGCAGAGAAGGACGTCAAGTGCACGAGTGAAGGTAACGTCGTCTTCGATGTAGTCAGCACCAGCGACGTCTTCACGGCGTGGTTTAGGCTTGCGGGCGAAGGCATCGTAATAGAGCTGGCAGCCGTCATGCAGGTTGGGTCCATTGAGGCAGTCGATGCCCAAGGTAATATCGTCCTCGGGAAAGCGCCACGACACCGTGTTTCCAAGTTGTTCGTCACCTCCAAGTAATTCGAACAAGAGGGTCAGGGTGTTGCTTAGTGTCGTGCACATGGTTCCAAGTTGCGGTTCGAGATGAGCCCGGAACTCAACCAACTGCGATCCATAAGAGCAGAGCCAGGCCATGTAGACTCGCAGCAGCGTCAAGACACGATTCAGAGCAGGGGTGAACTTAGTTGTGGGTTCTGATTGGGAAGGAGTTGAGGTGCCAGTTGGGGTCTCTGCGCCCATGCGCTTAATGATGCCCGCAATTTCCTCTCCAAGTAGGCGTGCGATGGCGGTGATGGTGCGCAAGTTGAGGAGCAGGATAAACTGGCAGGACAGGGAGCCCTCGTCAGTCCATTTCTCTGTGCCCCGGTTAGCAAAACTCGGCCATAAATAACCGGCGTGTGAATATTCATACTGTTGATTTTGTCCTGCGCGGCGGCATATGCGGTGATGTTAATGAGAACCATCTTGAGCATATCCAAGTCGGAGCCATATCCGGTTCCAGTCTTCATCGCCAGGCCAAGCCGATGGTCGACCTCACTCTCGAGCTCCTTTCGCTCAGGGAATTCCTTTCCTTGAGAATAGAAAGCATGGAGCTTAACGAACCAAGTCACCAGTGCATGCTTGGTGGTGATGTCCTTCCGTTTCTGGAGGTCACGGAACTCCCGCTCGAGGTTTGACGAGGCATTCGGGTGGGGAAGAGCGCACGCTAGGGCGCGGTACAAGTAGTACACCACCTGGAGATGGTCCTCGTTCTCGACGCAGATTACTCCGCACTGATGGTGGCCGTATCCAGACTCGGGGATCAGCTCATTCGCCAAGAGATAGTACGAGAGAGCGCCCTCCCACTTGGGGTCCTTGGTACGCAGGAGAGTGCGATATCTGGCCAGGTCACCAAGATATATGAGGGTCTTGTGGCAGGATTGCTTGACAATGGTGTCCAGCTGCGCCGCCGCAGTGTCGACCTTGTCCTTTTCTGGCAGGGGCATTGCCTCAAGTTCAGCCCGTTGGGCGATCCGTTTGAGATCGGGGTTGTCGTAGCGTGCACAAACCCGCTGCAAATAGCCCCTGTAGAAGTATTGTGCTGTTTTGAGATAGTTCGAGTAGAGCTTCTCAAGTTTCCGCTTAAGGACGACATGGTCATTGCCCTGCCTTCCGAGCACCTTCCGGTAGGTCTTGGTGACGAGGGTATGTGTGGACCAGAGAACATCCTCGGCGCCTTTTTCGTTCGCAGCACGGAGGTCGAGCCAAATAGTTTCGATACAGGCAAGACGGTAACTGGGTCGGTCCCCTTGGTTAACCACCTTTACAGCGAAGGAGCGAAAACAATGCGTTCGTTGACTCACTTCTGCATCAACTTCTCGACCTTTTCGAAACGGGCAATCTCATTCGTTCCTGGGCCGCCCTTCTGGATGTGCTCGAGTTCCTTGTGAATCGCGGCACGTAACTTCTGTGCGAGTCTATGTGGTCGAGTTAGCAAATTCAACTTTGTACGCCAGATGGCCGCTATACATGGTCGTTATCGAGAACCCATGGTAGGTAATGGTGAATAAATCCAGAGCTAGGAATTCCCAGTTTTACAACAAAACACTCACTTCCAGGTATCATCGGTCGATGGTATGGCTTCAGCGGCGGCGCCAGTTGCGCCAGTTGCACTGGTTGAGGCCATTGTTGGTGGTCGCTGCCAATACAGGTGCCCCGCAGACAGGAAAGCGCACAACTTGTATGAAACTGGAGAGGGAAGCGGCGCTTTTATTTTTAATAGTGGGAGCCTGTGCCTACGGCCAAAGCTCACACGCAGCAGTTGGAAAGCCGATGTTGGGCCGGCGGTCCATAACTTGTTGGTGGTAATGCACTGATTTTGGCGTTTCGATGAGGGGTGTTGCTGGTGCGGCTTTCGGCGGGCGGGTTAGCGGCAGGTGATGAGCGCATTGGAGAAGAAGACGCGTAAATCACGGCCGGTGGGTGACAGGTTAGTCAGGGACTTGGTGTGAAAAGGGGTGACTATATCGGTAGGGTAGCTATGCGAGATCAAAGAGGCGCAAAGAAAACGCAACACCGATTCCAAAAATCGAAGCAATTCGCAGCGACCCGCCGTGCTTGAGAACGACATCACATTGGACGAGAAAGTATCTCGAAGAAGAGCGTGGGACTGCAACCAATCAGCGGCACAGGGAAACACTGCTTGGCACTTTCAAGAGTCACACGTGGCGAGCGTGCAACTTTAAGCTTTCACGCGTCCCCACGGCCTCAACAAGGCCCCCTGCTCTGGCCAAAAAAAGCCGAACTTGAAAAGGAGAAAGAAATCAAGAAAAGAGAAAGAAGTACAAAAGAAAACGGAAAAGAAAAAGAGGTAAAGGAAACCGAGCAAAGTAAGTCACATAAAGGAAATTCAGTAAAGAAAAAGTAGACTTTGGTCTTTCGAATGGCTTTCTTTTGGTTCTTCTCTTTGAAGGTTTCGTCGGCGCCTACACCTGGAGTTCGGGGTTTTTTGTCCACGGGGCGGCCCCTGGCAATTCACAGCCTGGCATCAGCAACAACCAGACTTCATTGTTTTGATATCTCAGAGACGCTACAATTCCAGTACCATCGAGATCCTTTGGGCGACCAAGTTTTGGCTGGCCACTTACCTAACAACAAACGGACCTGAGTTGCTAGAACTGCGCCTTCATAGAACCTCAGCCTTGGGTGCTACAAAAACACAACACCCCCCCAAGACCGAGCGTTTGTCAAGGGCACCGAGACATTTGAATGTAACTGCTCCTGGATCGAATCTGTTTTCTTTTTTCTTTTTTCATCAAGCCTGGAGAATGAAGCGCTCACGCGAACCTGAAGAGGCCCACCATGAAGAGGTTGCACTTGCAGGCCTCAACACAGCAGCACCCGTCGGCGACAGCCATATTTCGCCGCCTGCTGCCAAGATCGCCGGGCTTGATCTTTCCAGCAATGATGGCGACCGCAATATCGAGATGCATTGCTCGCTCCCTCCTCATAAAGAAGCAATAAAATTCTCATCGTACGATGCGTATGAAGCCCATTACAGGGATCAGCATACCAACCGCTGCGCCCAATGTCGCAAGAACTTCCCGTCTGCCCACCTTGTCGGATTGCACATTGAGGAGATCCACGACTCCTTCGTTCAGGTGAGAAGGGAGAAGGGAGAGCGTACCGTAAGTCCTAAGTCCTTCCCCCCACCCTCCAACCTCATCTATCTCCGTGCGCACATGTTGCCCAGAGTAACTAATGCTCTGCTGTAGTACTCATGCTTCGTGGACGGCTGCGACAGAAAATGTAGCACGCCGCAGAAGCGAAAGATGCACCTCATCGATAAGCACATGTACCCCAAGAATTTCTTCTTCGCCATAACGCGGGAAGGCATTGACGGCCGGCGGTCTCTATTACTCGAAGACCGTGGCCGTGGTCGTCGGCAACAGAAGTCAAGCACCGCGCCGGCATCGCGCCCAGGGTCGCCATCGCAAAGCATGAAAGGACACAAACCTGAGACCGTACAAAAACCGACTGTATCAACAGATGGCCGGCCTATAACGGAGGTAGAACAGAAGAACCCCGATCAACGGCCAGATGAGGATATGGAAGATCTGTCGAACGCCATGTCGTCATTAAGATTCGTTCCAATGAGCGTCCGCTTTGGACGCGGTGGGAAAGCTGGATTCGCCAAACGCTGATCATCTAGCCGGCCAGAGACAGTCTGGTTGACAACAAGCACATGAGCACGGAGACGAGACAAGAACCAAACAGGCTTCACGGTTTGGAGACGGGACATACTCGCTGAATGGTTTTTGAGTGTCATTACTTCGTAGACCCAGCTCCCTCGGCCAAATTCGGCCAGTGATATCACATCCTATACCGGCGCTAGGCCCCAGTGAGCTTTCTGTATCCATATGCGAAAAATAGACAGCGGGTGGCAATTCTTACATTGTCTATTCGCCAGTCCAAATAAAAATGCCCCAGAACCGGGAAAGAACCCCATGGTATCATCGTATCATAGCCCACCTCCAAGCCCAACACCTCCCCCCACCTCAATCAGTCGAAGCGCACCCCCTACACCCACAACTCACGCACTGCACGTCCTGGTCCTCCTTGAGCTGGGCCCTCGGCACGCGGCACACGCAGGTCGAGTTGAAGTTGGTCTCCTTGGTCTGGACGCAGCGCAGGCAGCAGAGCTTCTCGTACCCTTGCTTCTTCCACTTGGCGATGAGCATGGCGTCGGCGTAGCCGTTCTTGAGCAGCCAGTCGTACAGCGCGCGGCTGATGGCCTCTTTTTCGTAGTAGAGCTCGTACACGTAACGGCTGCGCTGGTGCGAGATCTGGAAGATGGGCCACTGCGCCTGGTGCTTGGGGATGTTGTCCGTCGGCGTGTTTTGCGCGTCCTTCATCTTGTTGCCAAAGATGAGCAGGTCCTCCTCGATGTCATCGAACCCGTCCGGGGGGGGCTTGCGCTTGGAGGAGGGGCGGATGGCGGGCATGATTGCTTTTGGATTCGGATTTTGCGCAGCGGCTTGCGTGTACGTATTAAGGCCAGTCGGCAGCAGGGCGTTTACGGCAAAATATCGAGATATCGGGTGGTGGTTATGCTCTTCGTACGTGGCAAGGAGGAGGGAAGCTCGGGAGACATGGTATGGGCCGGATTTGGGGATGCTGGGCTTTAATATGACTAAGCAGTGCCACGAGTTAAAAAAGCGGGTCTTGACTGGTCTAAGCTTCCTGGTGGGTGCTCGCAGTTGAAGCAATTGGGAATCCAACCACAAGACGACGGCTGATTCCCAGTCGAACCGAACGACACGCTACTCCGGCCGCGATGGCGATTTCACCGACCCAATTTGCCGTTACCACGAGGCAGTGTAAGTTCCGAACAATAATCATGCACTGGCAATCGATCAGCGACTAACCACCAGCAGCGGCCAATTGGTCCGACGCCAAGCGGAGGGTGCTTGCGGCATATCGAGACTGGATCCGGGCGGTACGAATACCGGGCACGGTGTCGAGGAGGAAGCTGACAGATTGACTACCAGGCGCCGGAAATCCAAACCATGTATTCGATCCCTCACCCCGTCTCGGCCATCCGAACCCGCATGAGGCAGGAGTTTGAGCGCCACCGATACGTCAACAAGCTGCCCGCCGTCGATGTCCTCCTTTTCCAGAGCAACGCCGATTATCAAGTAAGAAATTTTATGGGGTGGATGGCCTGCGATGGCAGTGCCGGAGGATTATGGCATGGTAGCCTACCGGCGCACGCCGATGACCATACCCACATCTCTCGAACAGCCGAACAGTGTTGCTGATACCTGACCGTGGTAGGAAACCATGAACTTCTGGCGTCAGACGAACCACCTCATGTCCTATTTCAAGGAGGAGAACTTCAGGGGAGAGAAGAGACTGCCGTCCGATTTCGTTACCGGGTTTCTGGAGGTAAGTTGGATATCTGCGCTTCGCGTTGCGACTTTCTACTCACACGTCTGTCACCTAGGGCCGCAACTAGGTCGAGCTGTCACATGCTCATGATTCAAATGTATATAAAGCAATGGAAAATGAGAATTCCTACAAATCATGATGGGTCTACAAGACGCCCAAGAGTGCCCCTCTATTATGCATAACCAAACCTCGACCAACGCCCAGACGCCGTCCTTTAGTTGACACTGAGGAACTAGGAATTTGCGAAGCCTACTTCGCCACAAACTTTTCCCGAGCAACCACAAACTCATCCGTCACAACGTCACAGAGCTCCTGCAGGTCGCGCAGTCCCTTTTCCAACGCCTCAACCGCTGTCGTACCGTCTAATAAGGGGTCAGTAAACACATCGACGACCACAGTGCTTTTCTGCAACGTACCGAAAGTTTGGATCCTGACGTTCATCTTTGGCTCGGAGGGATGCGGGATTGCATATGCGCAGAACTCAACATCGGGGCTAAGACCACAATGAGCATTGGCAACACGATGCTAGCAAGAGTCATGACTTACTTCTTCATGATAATGTACCTAAGGGCATTCCCGAGGGTATGGCCCTCATTGAGAAACTCGAAGGAGGCGGCAGTGGGTGTTGAGCCGGGGAGCTATCCGCTCGTCAGAATACAATGCCTTGACACAACCCCAGTAATGGTGAGACATACCAGTCTCACTCGTTGGATATCCTCCTCTATCTCCGCGTCGTTGTCCTCAACTTCAACCTCCTCGTTCTCCTCGTCCACCGACATCTCATCTCCCCTCTCAGGCTGATGAGATGTCGGTGCCTCATCCATAACAACGTCGGATTGGGGCTCGACGGACTCCGCCTTGTTCGCCTTGGTTCTTGCCATTTTTCAGATGCGAGTTTCTGTCCGTACCCTGGAGGTGGGCTTGTTTTTCTGATGCCGATGCCGATGTGGAAGATGCCGTCCTGCCTCAAAATCGAGTTTTGGTCCTGTATCAAGATCTAGAAAATTTTATTGGGTGCACCCAGCAAGCGGCCCGCTGGAGATGCCCCGCACCCCGCCAACTTTAGCCTCCCGGTCGCGTCAGCCCTACACAGGAGGTTCTTGCATGAAGACCACGATTCGACAAAGCACGAGCCCTGAAACTTCCATGGCATATTCTTCAAGGTCTCTGCAAGGATATTCATGTTGAAAAAAGCGGTTAGGGCCAGAGATTTGACTCGGTCTCAGGATTACCCACACCACCATTATCTTCTTTCAGCGGCAGCGGCAACCAACGGGAGCACGATCCAACCCAACGGTATCACAGCCATCCAGCGTCATTGGCACGAAGTTTGGCGAGCACATCGGAAAGGCTGCATACCACATAGTGCATGCAATACTGCCCTGGGAGATTAACAATCAGGTTCACCTCTCGGGCGGACATCTTCTCGGTAGGTACCGATGTACGGGTAGCAACACGATCGCACGACCAGAAATCGTGTTGTCATTCCTCGTGTCTGCGAGTCAAGAGACTCCTCAAGAAAGAAGGAACTTTGAGCTCCGCAAGAGCTCACTTCCAACTAATCGATGAAATCGCCACCTTCCATATCATGCCATTTGAGAGAGTCACTTCTACCAATTTTCAACTTTCTTCCGATCTCCAAAAACGCCCAGTGCGGCCCTGTCACCGTCACCGGCCGTCTCAGGCGAACCAACCACAACTCGATGACCAGCAGCCGATTGGCCCACTTTTTTCGGCGATAAAAGCCTAACCGTGTCCATGTGACCTGACGCAAGAGGAAACTTGAGACCGAGAACAAAAAGTATCTCGATCAGGAAAAGGAGTTGACCAGAGTCTGCGCGCCAATCGTTCAAAAAAATTCACCAAAGCTCTGGACTTTCGGGGGTATTGGAGACAGTGCCGGACACGGTGCGATTTCCGGATGTTACAAACCAGAAACCGCCGCCCAAACCTTCTCATGAGTACGAACTTACCACCTACCTACCTTATCGAGCATGTGTTGCTTCTCCTGGCAGGGGGGAGTCGACTCGCAGCCCGCTCTTTCACGATGTAGTTAGCAGTCGCGAGGGTCGGCAAGTATGTAGCAAAAACATCAGAATATTATATGTAACTCAGGTATTATCGTCTTAACCCGAAGCATCAAGACGAGACACCCACCGCCGAACTCCCGAGGGACTGGCAACCCGTGTTGTTTGAATCTTAGATTGCTCCAGCAGACGGCAACCATGGTTCCGCAGCGGCGATGCGGGTGATGCGACTTGAACTAACCACGTTTGAGAAGGCGGGACGAGAAAGAACACAGGAAACTCTCTAGGCCGTGTCTCAGTTGGATTACAGAGGCTCGGATTTATGACAACTGCCAGCAACCATTTATCCTGTCCCGCATCTCCTCCCCGCCGACGGGAGGAGATGATACCTACGACGGTACGTATAAAGACGCATTATTTTAAACTCTCGCCCAAGGCTCCTGTGTACATACTTCCGGCGACGTTCTCGCCCTCAGCAGGAACGAAAGTGGGGCGGCACTGAAAACGTCCTTCACGATGGAACTCTGCGCCCCTCCTGGAGCACAGACGAGTTTCAGCTGCTGGGGCTCGGAGAGCAAAGTGCTCTGCAGGAGCCTGGACGAGCATGGGTCAGGAAACGGTGGACTGCGCCATCCGACCAATAACAAAACAAACCATCTCAATCTCAAACGTGAAAGAAAGCCCAAGGTCGAACTTGCAAGATTTTCTAGGCTTGAATTAAAATATCGGGATGTTCGCCATCGAAAACGCCGCGGGGCACAGCAGGGAGCAGGTTGCAAGGCGGTCACGGAAATTCATCGACATGGAACTCGGAGACATCGATCGCTCCAGGGGTTGTTGCATGGGGCAGCTTCGGCCAAGAACTCTAGGCCTCCACCCAGCGCCCCCCGACGGCGAATCTCAAACACTAGAACCACTGGATCGCAGTCATCCAGCTCACTTTCCCGCCTGACACTTGTAACGGCGAGTGGAGAGGATGCATGTGCGGATTCGCCAGAGATCTCGCACGCGGGTGGCATTGCCCTTTTCGTGTGGCCTCACTGCTCTCATTACGAGAAACAGAACCGGGCCTCGGCGCTGTTGCTGGTTTCCAACGTCGCCGGGGGTGTTCTCCCGGACATGTGTGTGCGTCGCGGCCGTCGCCCCTAAAAAAAGGTTGAGGTTCCCGCGTCTCACAGATAGCCCCTCATCATCCTGACTTCATTATCCTGGGCAACCCCTTCGGGATGACCCCTTGTCGAACATACTGTGCAGTCCACGTCAAGACTCGCCGGGTCTGTTACTTTAATAATAATTCCCCTCCCGCCGCACTGCAGGTTTGAACGGTTCCCCTGCCCTCCTTTCTGCAGCCGGTTTTCAATACCACAGCCCTGCGGTTTGGCCCACTGCCCCTACCCAGTCGAGCAAGTCTACGGCACACATATCCGAATATTGCTTCACACGCCCAGGATCATCCAGCCGCATCAGTCACACAAAACACCACTCGATCACACCAGGTGTTCCCAAGCTGTTCATTTCGAGGAGCCAGAAGAAGAGATAATTCGAACGACGCACAAAAAAGGGTTTTCGAGGCTGTTTTGTGTGTGGTGTGCAATACGTACTGGGTACCAAACCACCATCGGCCGACGAGCCCCGACCACGCGGCGAACCTCCCACCCAGGTAACGCACCAAGCGCCTTCGAAACGCAGGGGCCCTGCAGGTTCCGTTCTTCCCCCGGCCTCCTACTCGAACTGCCGAAAAGGGGCAAGTGCGGCAGGCGCCAGCAGAAGACATCCACTCCGCCCCTCCTGGTTCACACTGTGGCCCCAGCTTCCATCTGACAGCCTCCGGAAGCGCCCATGCTGGAAAGAGGACCTTCGCTCAGACGATTCTTCTAGATCGGTGCGGTAATCAGACGTCCCACGATTAATCACACACACATAACCGTAGATCGCTCGGCCTAAAGCGACCTCGCTCTACCCACGATCTTCAACCTCTTCCATCCTTTTTTTTTTTACTTTCTATTACTGTTGTTGTTTTTGTACGCCTACGGACGAATCCCTCGGCGTCGCAACAGCAGACAGAAGAAGGGCCGCCCGTAGGATTTTTAGGTTCCAGGCCCAACACGACGGCCCCTTTCTTGCCGCCGCAACCTTGTTTGATCCGTTTGCGCGTCCATCCTGGTGGCCATCCCTCCTCTCCCGGCACATCCTGCCCCCTCGATATTCGAGGTTTTCATCGAGCGACGCTCCGTGGTCGAATCCCATCTGATACTTCCTCAAATAATTTCTACTCCACGACACTGCCCGGAGCCACACACCGATCATGAGCACCGCTGTTGCAATGGCTCTTTCTCCGGCTCCCCACGACAGGCCGACTTACGGCTCTGACCTTCCTCCAGCATCGTCAACTTCCCCGAGCGCACACAGGACAGCACCGGCCCCCCCGCCCCCTCCTCCGCCAGCGCCCTCAATCTCGAATAACGCGCCTGTACCGCAACCGAGATCCGATAGTAGTAGTCCGAGGGGATTGGGTGCGACCGTGAACACACAGAGATCGTCTCCCCCCAGCGAGTAAGCAAAGCCTGATAACAGAAATGCGACCTCGACCTGTGTTTGCTCAATACACCTGACTAATACGTTATTTGACGACGCACAGGACCCGAAATGCCGGCGGACCGAAAATAATTGTCAAGAAGGAACCCGCTTCTCCCGGCATGCAAACTACCAAGGGGGCCGGCCGCGAAAGCTCGATCTCTCCAGGAACACGAGCATCGTGTCTCCCGCCACCGCTCGCCCCCTAACTGCCCGCGATGGTTTGGGGATTCAGGAAGTTGGCATCGCGTGCCTGTCGCCGGGCTTCGTGCCAAAGGATGCCGCTGAGCAGGAGCAGTTGAATCGTAGTATGAATCTTAAGGACCAACAACAACAGCTCATTAAGTCGAGGTTGCACCAAAGCACGAAACCAGGAGACGGCCCCGACAAGGACAAGGAGACGGGCCACTTTGCCGCAAAAACGCCCGGCTTCGCCCGCAAGCGCGGCGCACCGCCTGGTCTAAGCATTGTCGCTCCCTCGCACGAGCAATTCGCGAATGAGAGAGTCATTCAGTCGGCACCCCTTGGCCAAACTTTCACAGGGAGGCACAACCCACACCCACTCACGCGACACATCACCAACCAGTCCTCCAACCTCGCCAGCACGTCGCACATCCACCATGTGCAAGCCACCCAAACGAATAACCGGCTTCCCCCGATCGCCGACGTTTTCGGCCAGGGCCTCTCGGGCCACCCCGAGTCGAGCGGCCACGCCATGTTTGCGAACCAAAGCCGCGCACCACTGCCGTCGCCCCACCACCCACCCATGCCGCAGTCCGCGCGCTCGCGTGAGTACAAGTCAGCCGAGGAAGCCCAAGCCGAGCTGGCCGGTGGCCGACCGGAGCTCCTACCAAAGTTAGTACGCTACGGCGGCCACCAACCCCCGACGCCGCCTTCCCCCCCGCAGGCACCCCGGGATTACCCGCAAAACCAGCACAATAACAATTCCCACAATCATAATCATAACCAACATCACCACAACCACACCCACTACAGGCCACCACCAACCCATGCTGACTCGGCCCTCGCTACAACAAGCAGCAGGGCGCTTAACCACAACCATCAAGCCCCGCACCCTGGCCCTGGTCCGAGCAGTCCGGTCGGCTCGAACAGCATGAAGCGGAGGCGCGCCGAGTATGAGGAAGGCAGCCCGCCATTGGGGAACGGCGGCCGCCCGGCCCCGGCCGCCCCCCAACCGCACCAGCACCACCCTCCGCACCAATCGCACCAGTCAATACCGCTACCGTTTGGCATTGACGCGCCCCCGCCGAATGCCAGAAGGGGCCTGTTTGGCGAGGGCCGCGACAGCCCCGAGACTATCGAGGCGAAGAAGAAGGAGTTCATGAGCCTATGCTCCCGCGCTTGGGACCTCATCCACTCTTGAGCTGGTTTTATTTCAGGTCCTTTCTAGACCACTGGTCAGCAGGCTGGTTTTCAGTGTGATTTTTGAGGGCGGAGTGGTGGCTGTGGTGGCAGGAGGACCTACCATTGGTGGCGAATGAAACGGGCGGCGCACAATAACCCCCGAGGTTGACGTTGGACGTTTTGAAGCTGAGCTGAGATGCAACGGAGGGGGAGGAAACGCCCCCGTTGGCTAGCTCGCTGGTTGGTTGGTTGGTTGGTTGGTTTTTGATGGGTTGTCTCTTGACTGGTTGGTGGTTGGCGGCGTAAAGGACGGAATTTGATTGTTTCCAACTGTATGTGGGGAAATTGTGATTACACTAGCTACATACCTTGTCGGGGGAGGTGGTTCGTTTTTGTTCCATGTTGATATTGATATTCCCCCACTTCACTATCCCTCCCTTTCCCTGCCGCTTTTTTTTTTAACCCGCCTTTTATATTTGGGTTTTACTCTCGTCTTTTCGTTGGCTTCCCCTTCTCCTTAATCAGGCATGGCTGATCCTGTACTCCCCTGGTTGTCTGGTGTTCCCGGTTGGTCTGGCTGGAGGGTGCGTGACGGGGAGTTGACGGGAACAGGCTGGAAAACGGAAGGTCCGGGTGGTTTGGGGACTCGGACGGGAACCGGATTTGGGGGTATAATCATGTCGTTTTTTTTGTTTTCTTTGTACCGAAGGGAAAGGGACGCATGTGTATGGGGAAAGAATGGAAAGGGGGAACAGTCTGTTTGGCCCTCGGTGATGAAGGTTGGGCGGGCAGCAACAGACGGGCATTGTGTGTGTGGGCCGGCCGGCTGGCTGGCTGGTTAATTAACCCCTCTGCCTTTGAGGCCACGCCAGCACCATCATCCGTTGGCTTTGTAAGGGGGGGGTGGGATCTAAAAGGAGGTGGATAGGTGAGGTTTGTTGTGTTATATTCTTGGTGTCTTATATATATACTACTTACTGTACAAGAAATATCAAAAGTGTTTGTAAATTTTTCCGTATCCTGTTGCCGGAGATGTTATGTATGGACCACCAAAAACCTTACAGGTTCCTGAACGGAGCCGGTTGTTGTTTTGAGATTCCCCGCCCATGTTGGTCTTGGGGGTATGGTTGACGATGCAGGAGCAGCGATGAGTGAAAACCACCACACATTAAACAGCTAAAGAAACATCATAATGGCCACGGTTCTGCATATATATATTATTCCTACACCGCTATGCCCTTGGGCTCGCCGGTCCAACTATCTAGCTAGTTGTACAGGAAAACCGTCCTGGTTTCCCAGTCGGACTAAAAACCTGTACCGATGTTACCTTGGCCCGTCTCTTCAGAATTCGTCGTGCTACGGTTGAAGGAAGTCTACCCAGCTCCCTGCATTCCGACATCCTGACCGTCCGCCTCCAAGGTATCCGCGGCCTCTGGAGTCGTAACCCCTAGGCCCCCAACACCGTCTCCTCGGTCTCCGGTCAGATCCGTATCAAACTTCCTCGCAAAGGTCAGCTTTCCTTGCCTCGAACTCCTTGCAGCCTCTTCCTGGGCTATGAGAAAGCCGGGGGGTCGGCCCCGTGGTCTCTTCCTTTTTCCCGCTTCTTGGAAGCCATCGTCGGCCTCCTCCAGGGTGGACGCACCCCGGAATGGGACGATCCGCATCCTCGGTGGTAGTCTCTCTTGCTGCTGTTGTGTTTGTTGCTGCAAAGCAAGCTCAAAGGTTCGAGGCCGGAAATGGTATGCCTCCCTCGCCGCACCCCGGGCCTTCACTGCTTCCGGGCACCACCGTACCCAGGCCGGGTGCTTCCCTGAGCAACGGTTCTGCATATACATTTCGTCGTTTAGAATCTATCCTAGCTATCCACTCATTTCCATATCGTCGACTCAACCCTCCAGAATATGGTCGTCGGTGAAGTCTAGGTCTATCTACGAATGATACTCTATCAACAATGGGTACTATACCTTCTTAGATTGGCTCAGCATACGGCAACGGCTCTCCAGCCCTAGCAACAGAGTAGTGGCAAGCCCCAACCCGAAGCTAGCATAGCAGCACTGTAGCTCCGACCGACAGCCCATGTACCGTCTACAAAGACAGTGCGAAGACAAAAACGCCGTCGGTAAAATCGACGACGTCGGACACCAAGATGATGATGCTTCAGCCCCAGTCTAGGGTTCATAGATGTCCGGGGCATGCCGGGCAAGGGCTAGCTAGACCATCACCTGATCCCTTTCCCTTTTCGCGGCAAAAAATCATGACCCAACGACGACGTGGCCCTACGCCAGGATCGGATTCACAAGATTCACAACATGTGATGAGGGAATTGAAGGGGGGCGTGCCCAACCCACGATCGGGGAGTGACGTGCTTGAAAGGGCGCTGACGGCCCCGTGGCGTGAGCGTCGCCGTACACGGACGCATCGCCTGATGGGAAGAACCAAGATGCCCGTACTATCCGATCGGGGTGGTTGAATGTGGACCCATCACCAATATGCCAGCTGTCTTTCTCTCACAGCCCAGAATAAAACGAGAGCAAAACTAGAATTTTCTTTGACGAGCTAGCCCCAGAACTATCGCCAGGTACCTAGGTATATTACAATAAGGGAAGCACTAACCCAACAATACCAACAGTACGGAGGGTGGCCGGGGCACGTGGCCCTCGCGGTTGAGTTGCTTAACACCTATCCCTTGCCCTTTGTATACCGCCCAAGCAAGTAAAGGGAACACAAGGGCAGACGAGCAACGAGCTGTAGGTTAGGCAAATACATCTTCAGCGTCACATATTCAATGTTAGGGTATATAAACAACAGGAAAGACGTAGATGATGAGAGCGATTGGAGTTAGGTGGATGGGATGGAAGTATGAAAGTATGAAAGTACCTAAGGAAACTAGGCCAGGCAATCAACTTCTCTAGGGTGGGGGGATAGAATAGAAGTAGCATTTCTTGGCTGCTAGTGTAGAAGATACAACTGTCTACACCCGGTCAATATGACCTGGATTAACATTGGTAAAGCGTGGAATATGCAAGAAAGATGTAGCCGACAACCGAAGAAAAAAACTGGGTGATTGACCGCCGAGAACGAATGTTCATGATATAGAAAAATGTATCTAGGCCGCCCAGCGCGAAAAGAGCAGATTGCCAGCCGTCTCCCTGTTTGACAAAAAGAAAAATAAAACAAAACGACTAAGGCCGCCGCCCAACGGAATAACAGATGAGGGAAAGGGAATGATGAACTCCAAACTCCGATGCTGGCCCGAACCGAGGCATTCCGTGTCGTGATACGTGCTAAGCCATCGTCGCCTCTGCTATGTGGTGTTGTATTGTTGTTGTTGTGCAGGGGCATTGTGGGGGGGGCGTCATCGGATTGGAGATTTGGTGGGGGGAGGGGAGGGGATGGGAAGTGAGGGAAGGGGTACGTTCAGGCCTGGGCTTGAGGAATTGGGGTCAGAATTGAGGTGCAAGGGTTCAACATGAATGACAGCTTGTTCCGCCAGACAGTGGGTGATGGGCTTCTTTTCGAGGGAGGAAAACTCATCAACCATCCATCTGGCGGGGCATGTGTTAGAGGCCCTCTTCTCCAGCCTTGCAGAGTTGTATCTCGCGGCCCCACTCGGACTTGAGGACTTGTGAAGCAGTGATTCTCCGCCCTGGATTGGGGTCTAGTATGGAGTAGATTACGTTTCTGCAACGAGCCTGGTGACGGTGAGTTAATATCATAGCAGATCTCGTGTCGATCCTTTGTTTGTCCGAGACACTTACCCTGTGCAGCGCCTCGATCGGGCCATAGCCCTCTTCATCCCGACGGCCTTCGAGGTAACGAGTGTAGAACTCGTCCTCCTCCTTCCGAGCGACTCGCCAGAGGTGGCGACCGGTCCGCATGGCCATGTAAATGACACCGCACGCCCAGACATCGACGGCGCGAGCGTCAAACTCCTTGGCAGTGTACTCTTCAGGGGCAATGTACGGAGCCGAGCCGCAGAGTCCGGACACCATGTGTGCGTCGGCCTCCCAGGCCATGCGGAAGCACTCGCCATTGCCGAAATCGGTAATCTTGATGGCGCCATGGGTGGTCAGAAGCAGGTTCTCGGGCTTCAGATCGCGGTGGGCGACACCCATTTCGTGCATGTATTCGACTCCGCGCATCATCTGCTTGAAGAAACAATCGGCCTCTTGCACCTCGAGCTTTCCGGCTGACAGAACCAGGGTGTATAGGTCGCCTCCGGCACAGAACTCCATGACCTCGCAGTAGTCGCCCTTGGAGTCCTTGAGCAGGTCGATGGTGTGGATGACGTTGGGGTGTCGAAGCGACGACGAGATGCAAAACTCGGCCGTCAGTCGCTTGCTGTACTTCTTCTCCGTCTCCTCGGGCCGCCGGCAGAACTCCTTGACGGCATAGACCTTCTCGCCCAGGCCATTCTCCAGCTTCTTGTGGGCAATCCTCACGACGCCGAAGGCGCCACGCCCCACAATCTCTTGGCACTTGCCGTACTTCTCCACTAGGGTTGCCGACGGATTTGTCGCCGTCTTCTTTTCCGGGAAAGGGCTATCCTTTTCACGTCTCAGGTTGTCAACCCAGCTCGACACCAAGGAGAGATCGTGGTCCGACGACTGCTCGGGTTTCCTGCCGAGAAAGCTCTTGATCAGGTCCGTGAGCTTCTCCTGCCGGCGGCTGGATTTCAAGTGGTGCTCGTGGCCGCCCTGGGCCGCCAGGTTGAGGAGGAAGCGCTGGGGCGGCTCCTTGGCAGTGGCCGGCTTGGTGGGCGGTGACGTTGCTGCTGGGGTTCCGTTCAGTGGTTTCTTGGCTGGGGCGGTGCCGTTGATATCGGGTGTCGCGGCACGAGAGGCGTCTTTGGTCGAGAACATGCGGGTCAGCCTGTCTTTCATGGAGCCCTTCTCGGCAGGCTTCTGCAGGTGCTCCACGGCGCCGGCGGGAATAACCGGCAGTCCGTTGAGACCGTTCATTTTAGGCGACTTGGTCGGAGCTTCGACCGATCTGATGGACGGCGGGTGCGAAGAGCGTGGCGAAATCTGGGGCGAGGCCCTCGGCGAGGCAGACGCCACAGAATGTCCGGAGGATGTCATGATGGGCGACGATGAAGGATGTAGAGGGAGAAGGGGGGCTAAGAGAGAAGAAGTTGGAGAGTGCAAATGCCCTGGTCGATCGGACAACAAAGGCCAGGAGAGGATTTTTGCTGGCGTCGAAAGGACTGGAAGTTCAAAAAGGTGTTGATGATGCAAGGGTTGGTCACCCGGTGAGAGCGAGAGCCGAGTCGGTGCAAGCGACGCAAGCGAGTCGGGGGTTGTGGTTTAAGTCACTACTGCGCTTATGCAAGCAACAGCAAGCTTGGCGGCGAGGAACGCCTTGGGTGAGTGGGCAAAGCCCGGAGGGTGTCGCCTGAATCGATCACAAAACGGCGGTTGTCGAGTGCCGAAAAAGATCCTCGGTTCTCCGTGAAGAAGAAGAGGAAATTTTAGACTGGAAAAGGCGTACTTTTTAAAAGGGTGCGAGAAAAATCCAGACAGGTCGAGGGTGAGCCAAGTGGGGTGAAAGGGAGTGGAGCTTGGGAAGCTGGAAAGGCGGATGGATGTTATTCCTCTTTTTTTAATTCTGGTCCCGGTTTGTTTCTCGATTTCTATTCGTCTTTAAAAAAAAATCATGGCTCTTCGGAGGCGAGCAGTGTGTCTTCTAGTAGCTGCTAGTTGCGGCCGCCCAGAGCGGATGACTGCGTGGTCAGGCGGTGGCTCGACATGGTGAGAAAAAGGAGGAGGATGTATGGTTCTGGGATGGGCGGCAGTTGCTGTAAATGCAGGGTAGTGGTGGGTTTGTTGTCGTCGATCAACCTTGGGCTGCTTGCTGATTGCTGTTTACGGTAGTACCAAGTCGCGAGCGCAAAGTTTTATTTGCCTGGAAAGTGCTGGGCGTGCTGTGTGTTTCTGTGTGTTCTGGCTGTGCTGGGTGTGCTGGGCTCCAGCATCAGACGACCGGAGGCAAATCTCGTCGGGGCTTCTGCTGATCGTAACGGGAAGAATGACGACGTTGGCGGCGGGGAGACCCAGTCTTTGAGCGCAGTCACAACAATCCTCGGCGCACGCTTTCTGGTGTGACCTGGCAGTGACCTGGCAGTGCACTAATAGATGAGTAGCAAGAGAGCGCCAATACTCAGAGTGCTCGGGTGTGGGAAGGGCGCGAGCCGTTGGCCTAAGACAGGCACGACCGACCTTGAGGCCGCAGACCAGGTGGACTGGTTCAAGGCGGGCTGGGGGGCAAGAGCAGGGCTGGGCGATGAAGTTTCCGAGACGTCAGCCTGCCGAGGGAATGGACGGTTCAGGGTTCAAGTACTAGCGGAGCTAGAAACAAGGAAAACGAGAAGGGAATGGTGAGTGGCGGAAAACGGGTTGGTAATTAACAACGGTGCAACGGCAGGTACGCGACCCCCAAAGAGCTTTGGGCTTTATGTAATGGGATGGAATGCCGGATCGACCGAGAAGTACATGTCACTTGTTCCGGGTTTGCTATTCTTGCTTGCTTGCGAAGTCATGGAAACATGCTCCGGCCTGTGGCCCTCCCGACGAAGTATGTACTCCGGTGGCTTATTGGAACGAACGTGCTCGTGGGATGAGAAGCAACAGCAGCAGCAGTTGTTGGGGTTGTGTAATGTGGATACCGCCTTGTCTGAAATCGGGAGTTCCAAAGATGTCTTGACGTTGCATGGAATCAGCAATCCCTCAGATTCCCTGTGCGCCCCTCTGCAGGTTCCACCTGGGTAGCCCCGATTTCGCCTGCAATGTCTTGCTCCTGCACCCCAGGGTCCCTGCCAACCGACACAGCAGCGAACGGCCTTTCCTCTCTCCTTGCCCTCCCAGTACCAAGTAGGTAATACTGTGTACAGGACATGCGGTTACGACTTCCCTGGCCGAATTGTGTTACTGTAGAAGTCTCAGGGCAAGCACGGCCTGGGCCGAGAAGACTTCTGTCGTAATCGTGCACGAGCCTGGGCTTGCCAGCTGCCACTCAGCACCCAGCACCCCGCTGAACTGCTCTTCGTGGCCTTTTGGCCAAATGTAGCCGCCTTTCCTGATACAGCGACCCAGCTCCTTCTCTTTTTCATTCCGTGCCATTATTTCGCAGCTTCATCCGCCACGTCGCTGCCCTGCCACCCTGCTTCCTACTCCCCTGCCTCCCTGCCTCCCTGCCTCCCTGCACTCATTGATGTTCCCGCATGTACTTCGTACTCGATTTGAGGTGCAGCAAGCTGCGATATCGCTCCACAACGTCTTGAATGTCCCACTGTCCCACAGCAGGGAACTCGAAAGCCACTGAGTGGAAAGGCTGCGCCAAGAGAGGAGAGATCACCGACGCCTCTCCGTTTTCATCATAGTTTGCGTTTCCGAGTGAGCATCAGTCAACGAGACTGGACGCGATGACACTGGAAGCCATGACACAGCACGACATCGCATGTATGAGACCCTGTCTTGGCAGCCAACGTCCTCGAACGCGGGATGGGATCCCCAACTCTCTGCTCCACTCCAAATCCGACGGGGAAGTCTTGGCCACAGGGCTTGTTTCCACCCGGCTTCATCTCGCGACACTTCCCGGTCCCGGCGTTGGCGGCCTCCCGGCTGTTTGATGCGGCGGCCAGCCGTACTTGGACCGGGGAGTGCCCCGTAAGCTTCCGGGAATTGCTAACTAACGGGGAGCGGTGAGATTTCCCTGCGCTTAAGGGACATACCTTATGCAGGTAGGTATGGACGAAGTCCGGCTAACTGCTTTGTAGATTCATTTCTTTCTGCGTTTCTCTCACCACAGATCCTGCACTCAGTCATTCTCCAACATGTGAATGACCGGCCCCTGGTTACTTTGTACTGCTCGTCCCCTATACACAGGACATAGGTACCCTAAGATTCCTCGCCGACATCCAGTAACCATTGTAACACAACCTGAGGCAGACCGCCAGTCGTTCTGGATAGCTGCGCATGAGCGCATGTACATATATGTATGCACGTAACAGCCTACACAGTACATACTCCATTCATCGACAAAGCTCCAAGTCGGAGCAAGTGCCCAAGGGCTGCTTCATCAATTTTTGGTTGAATCAGCCCGCAATTGGCCAACACCCCGTCCCTCCCAGCCCCTTCCGGACACAAACACCACTTTGCCATTCTCCGTCCCTTCGTCCCAACTTATCCTTGCTGCAGAATGCATTGCATACGCAGCATGTGCGTTCATCCACAGTTAGCCACCCCCCCGGCTACAATGTCAGAGTCCGCACCTCAGGACGCACGCAAGGACAAGGGGAAGGACAAGCAGATGGTGGTCAGTGTCGTGCAGCAAAGTCCACCACCACTGCATCGGCTTGCTTTCCGTCCAGCTTTCCGTCCAGCTCTATGAGGCATTTTCCCATTTCCCCGATTCCTTTCCCCATCATCCATTCCTCTTTGCCCCCCCCTTATCGGCTTCGCAACTTCACCTGCTTTTCGTCCCATGCCGCACCACACTAACGCAGCAATTGTCAGCACTGCGTACAGTCCATACGCCCGGATTGGCCAAGCTGCACATGGCTGCTGGAATCGACGATAATTGCCAAGGGCTTAGTGTGGTCGCACACATGCGGCCCTCGGAACCTCCCCCGTTGTCCACCACCGCCTATTGATATCCGATGTGATTGAAGAATCAACACCGGCCCTTGGCGGTGTCTTGCTCCGAGTCAATGTTCGGGATCTCTCCACTGACCCGGTGCCGTTCTCCCGGAACGGCCACTCGCTATGGGCTGTTTTTCTTTCTGGGCAAAACGCCAACCCTGCTTTGTTCTCCTCGGCCAAGACGCCCCCGTGACCGTGCCCAGCACAAGAAACCGCCCAGATGACCATGGCCGGCCGTTTCACCGCAGCTTCGGCTTTGGCCTGCAAAAAGCCTCTGGATCACTGGATCAGCGCCGAGAAATCGCGAAACTCGGCGATCCCAACGCGCAGGCTCGGCTTCTCGACGATCTGGAAGGTGGCTTCCGAGCCGCATGCCCTTGACAGCTGGCTGCATTCGGCCAAGACTATACACCTTGATAGAAGGACCGGAAGGCGGGTTGCGGTGTGCACGCCTGGCGGCATACCTACATACAAGTGCATATGTTGTTCAAGGTGCCACATCGGGAAGTTTCAATCCTTGTATATCAGACCCTCATTTCAGCAGGGCACAGACGGGGTAGTGCGCAGACGGGGTATTGCCCACACGTGGCCGAGGTATTCGTTGGAAGTCGACGACAACTTCCCGCCATGACGCGTTGCGGACCACGGCCTCCACGGTCTTCATAACACATTATATTGCACGGACGGGCGCTTCGCCCTTCCTTCGCAACAGGATCGTTTCAGTCTTGGCCTACTGCCGCGGGAAGCAAGTCCTACATCCGGCCGTGGCATCACTCCCGCCCCAGCGATTAACCTACAGCTATTTGTTCCCTGCTGGCATGTCCCGCCTTTCAACTCCTTCGCCAACCCCAGACAAGCTTTTGCCAAGATTGTGGCGGATGCCGAACCAACAGGGCAAGCACACCGAGCTTTTGTCGTGATTTTTGTTTTGAAGAGCAGTTCGTGGTATGGGGACAAGGCGGACTCCGTGCCCGTTCAATATTGCGGCTCGTTGTCTCTCCGGGGGCGATGCTGGCTGAACCTGACTTGGGACTCTTTACCCTCAGCTTGTAAGTCTCGTCTTACGGTGCACCGAGCGTTGTCATGCGCTACACACGACCACAGCAGTGTCGTGATCGAGACCCCTTGCTTGTCTCGCCCCAAAGAGCCTCGATTTATAGATTAGTTATTGAAACCCGTTGCGCTATTCTTGGCTTGTCTCAATCGGTTATCACAATCGGAATTAGTCCCGACCCGGCCCTTCGGATCTCGAGGTGTTCATTTATTGTCTTAGCCAAGGGTCTGGACTCGATTTTCAAGACAAATCCGGGGCTCACACCGCAAAATTATATGCTCCCGATCACAAGGACAAAGCACGACAACCGGGTATCTTTCCCTTGGGCAGGTGGCTCTACTCTGTCGGTCTCTTTAGGGATACCAAGCCGCTGCAAAGGTAGTTAGTCTAGACCGTGTATTTATGTAAGGGCAAGCCGTTTCGCCTCCAACATCTGCCCATGTTGAGACATACCAAGCCATTTCCAAGCCCCCAGCCGCCTGGCAACCTGTCCGGTGTTACATGACAGTCAAGCTCTCACAAACCCGCCTCTTCCCGAGTTCTTGCCGCCACCGGTACGCTCCGTCTCGGACGCGTCGGACTTCAACTGTTCATGGATGCCCTGCAATTGGAGTTGGTCCAAACCAGATAGACACCACCAGGGACGGAAACAACGCTTCAAGACACCCTCCCGTCAGATGCTCAGATCAGTCTTCAAAATGTGCCTGAATAGGCAATAATAGCCTTGGGGTTACCGTCCAACCAGCGACTACGGCAGTGTCGGGAGAGGTAGCAGCTGTTTGGTTGCGAACGGGAGGGGTTGTGGCAGTGCAAATGCACCCTTCTCGCGGGGACGGCGAGCTCAAAAGGGGCCGACGGCCCCTTGACTTAGAGTTGTCCCTGACCCCAGAATATACATTTTCACCGTCTAACTGCATTGCTCGTTGAGCCTCTTTCGGAAGCCTCGGGTATGCCATGTCGATTCAGGAGATGTCATTTGATGTAAAAAATCACTCAAACACACAAGACACAAGACACAAGTCCCCGCCCTGATCTTCGCAACATCACCAAGTCCCACTATGGTATGGCACCTTAACGTTTAGTAACGGAAACGGAGCCACTAATCATAGTCCGTAGAGAAACCACTCTGACTAACCCCCCCCCCCCTCCCCCCTCCCCTTTAGACAAGCCAGAATCGCGCTCGCTAGCTAATCCTCCAACCTATCCCGCGCGTCCTCCACAGCCATAGCCTTGGCAACCAGCTCGGCAAACCTCGCGCCGCCGCCCGGCTGCTCCCGCGCGGCACCTCCCAGATCAACACCAGAGTCAGCAAAGCTCCTCGGAGTACCCTCGTGGCCGCCAACCGCTCCTGCCCCCGCGCGCTCACTAAACCGCGTCTGATAAATCACGCCCGTCCCGACGCCACCACCCGCGCCGGCACCAACGCCACCAACACCTCCCGCACCACTTACACCACCACCACCAACCCCTCTCCCCCGCAGCCCTCCAGCAGCACCACCAACTCCACCACCACCGCCACCACCCCGCCGACTTGTCGAGCGCTTAATCCGCTCAATCTCGGCCTCAAAAGCGCGGTCGTAGACGTTAAAGTCGACGACGGTGGGCGAGTCCGAGACGATGTCGGCCGGGTGGGGGGCGTCGTCGGCGCCGGGAAAGTCGTCGATCCCGCCCGTTCCGATACCGAGGAGCGGGAGGGGGGGTTGCGGCTCTTCTTCGGGGTGGTGGGCATCGGTTACGTGTTCGGGTGGGGTGGTGAAGTCGGTGGTGGTGGTTGTGGGGGTTTGTTGTTGTTGCTGTTGTTGTCGTCGAGGGTGGGTGGAGGGGGAGGTCGAAGTTTGCCTTGCCGCCTTTGGCCAGGAACTCCTGGCGTTCGCGCAGGACTCGCGCAGCGAACTCGGCTGTGGACGGGGCCAGCTCGGCCGGGGGCTTCTCGTCGACCGGTGAAGGGGAAGGCGGGGTAACTGTGGTTGCGTGATCGCCGGGGGCGCCCCTGTGAGAGGGCGTCGGGCGTGGGGATAGGAGGCTCTTGAACTTCCGGATTGCTTTCATCTGGGGGGGGTTGGTTAGCGGCGGGCGCGCAGGTGGCCGGAAACGAACTTACAACGCAGATCAGGTGGCTCATTCGCCGGGTGAAGGCGTGGTTTAGCTCGAGGGGATTGGGCGGATCGACAGGATCTGAGCAGTTTTCTTCTGCGCTGAGGAGGGGGTCCGTAGCCCCTTTCGTCACCCACATGTGGTCCTAGAACGAGTTAAGTATGACGCCCCCACGGGTACCATCGTTCTGGAAAAACTTACTCTGAGCTCAGTCATGGTTATCCTCTTTTCCGGGTTCTTCTCAAGTAGCCTTCCCATTAGGTCAACAAAGTCCGGATTCTCATCAGGCGGCAACTTGGCGGTTTCGGTCTTGATCGCCTCGTATATGTCCAACACACCACCCCGCTCAAACGGCAGCCGCCCATAGCGGAGGCAGTACAACGACACGCCCATGGACCAGATGTCGGCTGCTGTCCCCGAAACGTCACCATGCTTCGCTACGCATAGCTCGGGAGGGAGGAACGCGGGCGAGCCCGCGGATTTGGAGGTCCTCATGTTCCCGGCCTTCTCAAACATCTCAGACACGCCGAAGTCGACGATCTTGAGGACATCATCATCGGTGAGTAGGAGATTTTCCGGCTTGATGTCGCGATGGACAACCCCTTGCGAGTGCACTATGGTTGCGGCATAAGCATGTCGGTTCTGAAAGGGTAGAAGGCCGGAGACTCACAGTACTCGATGCCGAGGATCAGGTCGCGAAACCAGTGACGACACTGTTCCTCCTCATAGGGCGTCGCGGATTCGCCGAGGCCAACTTTCATGACAACCCCCTTCTTGCACATCTCCATGACCATGTACAGGCTGTCTTCCTCGGAATCGTCCAGGACCTCCATCAGCTGGACGAGATTGGGGTGGTTCAGCTTCTTCATGATGGCGATTTCCTCGCGGATCAGGAACAGGGCATCTTGGGCCTCCTTGGCTTGTTGAGCTTTGAAGTCCAGGATGGGAGCATCGGGAGCGCCAAACCCCGCTCGATGGAAGCGGCCAAGATGCCGTGGACCGTTGCGGAGGATGTTTGACTGAGCGCGTTTCCTGAGCCGCAACTTAGAGAACGCCTTGACGGCCTAAAGGGGGACCCTGTTAGCAATCTAACGAGCCTTGGGCAGGGGCATCACGCACGTATTCGTTCCCAAATTGGTCGGTAGCTAGATGGACGGCACCGTACGACCCACGACCTATCTCGTCCTTGATGACATATTGGTTGAGATGGTGGTAAGAGCGGCCATCTGCGTCCTCGTTTGTGTATTCGGATCGCGCGTTGAGGGTTTCCTGCAGGGTCTTGTGAGTATGTGTGACGCCTTCTAGTGCCGGCCCAGCTCATAGCATACTATGATCTCACGGTGAGCCGAAGGTGTCCTCCGATGGTGCCTCATAGGGCTTGGAAAGCTTTGAACATTTGCGGGTGCCGAGCTTACGAGGACGCTGTTAATGATAGTCCTTGGAGAGAGCTACGCAAACCTACCGAGGGTGAATCGGAGCCGGCTTTCCAGCAGGATCGCCATAGAGTTCGACCTGGATGCCCGGCGAGATCAGGCTCGGTGGCACTGCCGTATGGATGACGGGAGTCAAAGGGTCATCCTCTTCAACTGGGTTCGAACGCAGGGGCAGGATTAGCGGCGCAAGTCGTGTGTGTACATCGTAGTTCGATTCGCCGGCCATGGCCAGCTTATTCTGCCCTGATAGGCGGGTCCGCTCTGTCGGTCCTGTCGTAAAAATAAGGACGAGAGGGGAAAGACGAGACGGTGACAGGGGAACAGGGGAACTGGGGGACAAGTTCGGTATTTCTAGGCACAAATATTTGTAGGCCGAGATCCGAAAGACCCTGACACCCTGCTCGCTCACAACTCAGGCGGTGGACTAGCGGGGCGTGGGATGTGGGATGTAGGATGCGGGATGTGACAGATGAGCAAAGTCATAAAAGTCCAGCGCCAGTGGTTGCAAGGTTTAACCGCAGCTGCCGCTTTGTGTTGTGGAATGGATGTGCTGTGCAAAGGTTCGTTGTTGGGCAAAGCCGAGGCAAGGCAGCCGGGTAGGTCGTTTATCGTTGATGGAATTCCAAGATTTTCAGTTCCAACGAGTGTGCTCTTTTCTCGAAACGCTGCTAAACATAGAACGGGGGTCGCCGAGTGGCCGCCAAACGAGAGGGCAGGTCTTGGGGGTAGCGGCACTCGAAATGGGATTTGGTGAAACTAACCGCCGAGAGACTAGTTAGGTAGAGGAGGTTCATCACAAAAACAGCTTCCAGGTTTAATTACCGCCTACCTAACGGCAGGGCTGGATCGGGCCCAGACCATATCGAGCCGCTTGCCGCAATTCCTCGTAGGGCAGCCGCAACCTGGAACCCCATAACCCGTTCCATTATGCCCCTCTAACACCCCCACTACCCCGCCGGGCAGAGAGCCTCATAGGGATGACGCACGGACCCAGATGCAACGGAGACAAGCTAAGCAGTTGCTGCAACTTGAGTGCGGCAGGGAGTGACAGGGATGGGGGGCACCCACCTCGCATCACTGATCAATCAGCAGCCAGATTCGCCGAACCACCGCGAACCTCCCGTGTCGCTCCGATTTGAAGAAACCCGACATCAAGTAAACATCCGATAGTGTTTCCCCGGGTTCACAATATCATCAACCATCGTTGTTACCACCACATCCCGTCCTGACCGACTGCTTCGTCCCCCGCGCGGACTCGTTTCGCCTAGGGCCCGGGGGACCTTCCCGCCTGTCACACCACAACCGTCACAATGACCGTTTACTCGTTTTACATCTTTGACCGGCACAGTAGACCCCCCCCTTCCCCCTTTTCACCTCACCCCCTCCTCAACCTCCAACAAACCACTAACCCACACCCCACCACCACCAAACAGCGGAATGCATCTACACCAAAACCTGGCTCCCCCAAACATCCTCCACCTCCGATGGCCAGAGTAGCAGCGTCGTGGGCGGGCAGCAGCAGCAGCAGCATGGCCCGCCCGGCACCTCCACCGCCACCAGCACCAGCAACAACAACAACACGATGCAACTGCGGGCCTCCTCCGCGGACGACGCCAAGCTGATCTTTGGCACGGTGTTCTCGCTGCGCAACATGGTGCGCAAGCTGGGCGGGGACGACGACGCCTTCGTGGCCTACCGCACCGCCCACTACAAGCTGCACTACTACGAGACGGCCAGCAACCTGCGCCTGGTCATGCTGACCGACACGGGCACGCCCAGCATGCGCAACGTGCTGCACCAGGTGTATATCAACCTGTGGGTTGAGTATGGTACGTGGTGAGGAGGGGGAGGGTGTTTTTTTTTTTTTTGTCGGGTGTGCCTTGCTGATTGGTGATTTTGATTGTAGTGGTCAAAAACCCGTTATCGCCGGTCGAACACAAGCGCGGCGTGGGCGTGAAGAACGAGTTGTTCGAGATGGCACTGGATCAGTTCATCAGGGGGCTGGTGTGAGACGAGATGCGAGATGGGTGAAGTGGGCGCTTTGGAGTTCGGTAAAAAGTGGCATGCCGGGCCATGGAGTGGGGGATATACATACTTGCTCTACATGGCATAAAATGACCGGGAAAACGGTTAGAGAGACGTCCCGGACGCCGAGACGGCGGAACGAAGCATGAGAGCGACGGTTGCGGAGCGAAAAACTTCCTGATACTGACGTAAACGCAGCGCAGAAAGTCGAACGATAGATATAACCGGAAACGGTCGAAATAGTATATACCCAGTTTACTACGTCCCTGGTAATCATGGATACCAAAGACTAGTCACTTAGGAAGCACGACAATGAGGGAAAACAGCCCGCATCTTTCCGTGGCATTCCCAAACACATTTCCGACGACAACCCAACTACCTCTCCGCCAAACGCTTCTGGGCACACACCTCAGCCCATTCCCCGCGGCGCCACTGCACAAATGTCTGGGCTAAGCAGAGACGACGCTCTGAAGAATCCCCCTGGATGCCCCAACCTACGCAGTCCTCGTGCGCGTCGTCCATGTTCCCTCCGTGGTGGTTGAGCTCGTCACAAAACAGGACCAGGAAATCATAGAGTGTGATTTGATGATGGAGGTCAGCGTGCCAGGGGTCAAACACGAACTTCATGCGCTTCGCGTGGTCCAGCTGGATGTTTCGAAGCTTTCGCCGTCGCCCAGGCTCGTCGAATGTGGTCTGCAACCGATTATAGTCGGTCGAATCGGCAAACACCACCGATAGGCTCTGGACCGCCGGGCAGTAAGCAAAGACACATTCCGTCATATGCTGTCCGACATAAGTGTTTGCCGATGGTATGGCCAAATGGCGGACCTGCCACAGCCAGCGGTGATGGGCGGCGGTATAAAAAGGACCCCAGAGGTGGAAAACCCGGTTCTCGTCCCAAAACACCGTATCCAACTCGGGACGAAAAGGACGGAACGGCACCTCGCAGTCGGCTTCGATGGAAAAGCGGAAGCGGATGCCGCTGTGATTCCGCACGTAGGCGCGCGACTCGTGGCAGGTGTGCATCAATACTGGGAAAGCCGTGTCTACCGTCTTGGGTTCTGGAGGTGCGTTTTGGGCCTTCTGATCAATGTGTGCGGCCTGGATAACGAAGACTTCGGGTTCGTCACCTGGGAGCGCCAGGTGCCATATCAACTGCCGAAGTTCGAGAGGGAGTAAGCTGAAGACGGTAAAGGTTGCTGACATGATTCCCGCCGTGACAGGCCCAGGTCGGTTCAAGATAATCGAAAAGATGTAGAGCAGCTTGGTGTTTTGGACGTTGGGCGGGACATAACGGTTATTATCCCCAAGCTGGGCTTGTACTACCGTGGAAACCGTTTGCTATGCAGAAACAAGTTTATCTGAACCTCGGCATCAACTTTAAACGCGGTGTAAGGCTAGGTGGTAAGGTACCGAGAGAGGGGAGGCATTCCAGAGGTATTCGGTACTGGGTACCTAACCGATGTTGCAGGGTTAGGGTCGGTTATTGTCGTCTTCCCCAGCTGCCAATCCCATGCACAGCAGCACCCCAAACCCGGATCAGCCCTATCAGGACCCGCCGAGCCGAGGTTGATTGCAGCAACGAACAGGGGCTAACGAAGGTAGTCCATCGGCGGGCTGCTGAAACCTGGGCACCAGCAGCGAGGTCATGTCATTTACCTCCTAACACCAAACTTGGAACCTCTAACATATGCTCTGCTGTTGCAGAGCTCAACACCGATTAAAGACACCATGTTTGCTGCAACGGGACGATGGTTCAAGCGCAACCGCACGCCCATTGCCATTGGCATGGGCGTTGTCGGTGCAGGCTACGTCGTCACGAATTATGTCCTGGGCAAGTTACGCGACGCCCGGGAGCGCATGAGTAGCGATCGCATCGCAAAGGAGAAGTAAGTTCCTATGATTTATTGAACCCGTCTCAAGGCTCGCTAAGCTGACCGCCGCACCGCCAGTTTGCGCCGACGCTTCGAGCAAAACCAGGAGGACTGCACCTTCACTATCCTCGCCCTCCTCCCGACCGCCACGGCCAAAATCATCGAGGCCTTGGACACGGAGAAGATCACGTACGAAATTCAACATATGAAGGGCTCGGCGACAGCTAGGACCCGTAGCATTGGTTCGACTAGCCCGCCCAGCATGTCCGAAACGAACGCAACCGAGGACGACAGCCGCAGCATCATCACAGTGAGCGCCCAGAGCGAAGGTGGCATGCACACAACGCAAATCTCGGTGGCAACACCGTCATCGACCGCGGTTTCAGAGGGTGGGGCAGCCGATACGCCCCAGACGCTCATGGTTCCGCCAATGGTGCCGCCAAAGCCACGGAAGACCAAGAGGCAGCTCTGGGACGAGCTAACGATCAGCTGTGAGTTGGATCAGTGGACCTCTTCTGATCATCGTGTGTTAATTTGACAATCCGAAGCAATCACGAGAGCCTACACTCTCCTCTACACCCTGAGCCTCCTCACTATGCTCACGAGAATACAACTTAACCTCCTCGGGCGGCGCAGCTACCTCTCGAGCGTCATCTCGCTCGCCACCGGCGGCAACGGCACCCCGGGCACCATTAGCCTCGAGAACAACGACGACGATAGCTCCGATCCAGCCTACGGCACTGACTACGACGTGAACCGCAGGTACCTGGCATTTAGCTGGTGGCTGCTCAACCGCGGCTGCATCGATGTGATGCAGCGTGTCGAGGGTGCCGTGCGCAAGGTCTATGGCCACCTCAGCCCGCGTGACACGGTCACGCTCGACACCTTCGCCAAGCTCAGCCACGACGTGCGCAGCCTGGTCGAAGGCAGCGCTCCCACAAAGGGGGCAGGGACAGCCTGGCTCCCCTACCTCTTCCCGCCGCTCGGCCTCGAGGAGTTTGTGCTGCAGGAATCAGGCGTGCTCCTCCCGCCTGAGGTGGGCAACCCTCCCCGCGACCAAGCCAACCTCACACCCGTCCCCCCCGCCTCCCCCTCCTCCGCCGCGTCCCTCCGCCGCCTGCTCGACGAAACCGCCGACCTGATCGAGAGCCCGCACTTCGCGCACGTGCACACACAGCTCCTCGACGCGGGCTTCGCGGCGCTGCTCGAGCACAAGCTGGTCGAGGGCGTCTTCGACAGCGCGACGCTGAGCGCGGACCCGCTCGGCGGCGCCGGCACCGTCGTCAGCCGCGCCGTGCTCCTGCCCAAGATCCTCAGCGTGCTCACCCGCCAGGCCCACGCCATCGGCCACGGCATGACTAAGAACGAGTACCTCCAGGCCATGGAGGCCGTGCCCGATCTCGAAGGGTTTGCAGCCGTGGTCTACTCGAGTAACTGGCAGGCCGAGATCGTGCCGGAGGATGAGAGGGCTGCCGGCGTCGGTGCTGGTGCCGGTGCCGCCGATCTCGGTAGCTCGGCGTCGACCAAGGTTGGGGCGTCGCCACCGCCGCCTCCTGGGCCCGGGCCGCTGCCGCTGGAGAAGGAGGATGCGAACGGTGAGGCGAGCTTGGTTATTGTGGACAAGACGGGCGAGGAGGGAAAGACCGATTTGTTCGACAGTGCGTGGGAGAAGGCGAGTGCGTCGAAGTGATGTTTGCTTTTCGGGGGAGTGGGTTAGATTTTCACGGCCGTTTTTATCTGGGTGTGGTGTATTTAATATCATTTTTTTCGGACCTCCATCACGGTCACGCTTGGGTTGGGAGTCGGGGGCTTAAGAATGGCTGGCGCGCGGACAACAAAGACGGGCCATGAATAAACGTATTTAATGGGGTATTACTACCGGGTAGGGTTGGCATACTGCGGAAGGGGGGTTTGAATACAACGGAGCTAGGACTCGGTCGGCCGTCGCAAGAATGGAAAGGAGATGTATATACGGTGACGTGCCTCGGAGATAAGTCGAGTTTATGTCAGTGGATGTGGTTCGGAGGAAAGGGCTGACATGCTGACATGCTGACATGGGAAAGGCTCCTTGGGGTGTTCTGGGCGACTCTGGGGTTCGGTGGAGTCGGATGGTATCGATAGGGCTGACTGGGTTCGATAAATGAGGATTCGCTCAAGCTAACTCAGTGAGGGACTGTGTAACTAACAAGTTAACTCACTAAACATTTGAACGCATTTTCTGCTGTTGCCTATTTCACAGAAGGCGACAGTCTGGCCAGCCTGGCAGCCCTCGCAAGCACACAGAACATACCATGCAGATGGAAGAATTGTGACCGATCTTCAGACAGGCGTGATCCCGCGGTTGGTATCGGCATTTGGCGTGTTGGATCTCCCCGAAGTGGCGACCCAACTGCGGCTTCCATTTCCAGGGAGTAACCAGAGTTTGCTGTGGGGCTTTGACACCGGGAATCCGGGGCCGACGCAAGCTCGGATGCTCCACAAAGAGCCAACGTCACAGTTCATTTCGCTCCGTTCCAGCTGCCCCTCAATTGCGCTGCCCCTCAATCTTCCATGATCTGACCGACCGACCGAGCCCCTTTTTCAGACCGTTTCCACCATTCGCAACAACCAGCCCAAGACACCGCGCCTCCGAAAAGTCTCACAATGGACCAGCGCGGCGCCCCTGAATTCATACTCGAAGCCTTTGCAGACCCCAACTCTGTGCGCGATGTCGTTCGCGGTGAGTTTTATCCAGAACTTCCATACTTTGTTTTTTGTTGGCCTGCGCCCCTCCGCCAAAGCAATCGATCGCGCATCCCTAGCCACCACCCCGAACGCAACCCCAACTAACTGAGACTTTGCGTAGGTATCCTCCATACCATCTTCTTCCTCCGCTTCTTCTCCGCCGTCTCCCCGCAAACCCGCGACGTCCTCGGGCTCGAGCTAGCCTACGTTCCCGAAGCCGAGATCGAAACCCTCATCGACCAGCGCGTGGCCGCCCTCGTGCGCCAGCTCGAGTCGGAGCGCCACCAACCCCATAACCTCTACGATAACCGCGGTGGCGGCCCAGGGCTTGGCCTGCTAGGAGGTGGGACACCGCCGTCGACAACCTCCAGCGGGGGAGGCGGCGGCGGGCGCGGGCAGATCACGATCCAATTTCTCGAGAAGCGCCGGCGCAAAACGTGGTACGCCATGCGCGGCGACGACGAGGTCTGCTGGGAGAGCTGGACAGTCAAGGTGACGGTAGCCGACCCGCGGACAGAAGGCGGTATGTTTAAAACACACTCGACCCCCACCCCAATCTCATCCCTTCCATCACCATCTCACTAACCCCCCTTACCCCCCGTCTAGAACGAGCCAAAGTCCGACGCGCCTCCGAAAAAACCCTCCACAACACCATCATGAAAGCCGTCACGCTCGCCAACGCCCACAAGGACCACATCCCGCCCATCACGACCTCGGACTCGAACCCATTCCCCTACCAGATCCACGTCAGCGGCGCGGGCGGCACCGGCGGTGGCAGCGGCGGCGGCCAACCACAACCGCAGCCGCAACAGCAGCAGCAGCACAAGCTAAGCAAGGAGGGCAATGTCGCCGCCGCCGCCGCCGCTGCTGCTACCGGGTGGGCTACGCGCATGGGCATCTACTAGGTGGGGATGGGTCGGCGCGTGGGGCGGCCTGGAGTGGGAGGGTAGTCGCGGCGATGGTGTGGTTGGTGTGGGTTTGGGAAGGGGGGGATAGGGGTGGTGATCGGTGGACGGGGGGAGACCCTCTCTTTCTTCTGAAAGCCAAGCCAGGGGTTGTTATTTCGGGGTGTGAGGGGTGGTAATATCAAGGGCAATCTGTGATGTGGCGATGGGATGGGGGAGTAAAGCATGTGAGGGACCCATATAGGATTGGGTACAGCAGCGACAGCGAGGCTTTTGGCATGGCATCTGGCGTTTTTTTTTTTTCTTTTTTTGGGATTACCAGGGATAGATTTGGTACACGGGGTTTGGTTACCGTCGCCTGGAACTGTTGGTATTGGCTCGTGTGTTGGAGTGCTGAGTTTTTTTTTTCTGAGAATCAGTCGAGATACCCACAATGAAAACAGCAAATATAGACTTTTCCTCAAAGACAAGGTAGAGGCTATTGAAGGAACGTGTCAAGTCGGTTGTACATAACTAACTATCTACACCTGCTGGAACACGTAAACCCCCTTCGTCCTTGACATTTGAAGGAAAATCGGGATGAACAACCACCGTGTTTGTGGTTTGGTTGGGACGCAGATCAAACAACGACGACCGGGGACCGAGCTTGAACAAAACATACGGGGAGAGTGGTATGGTTATGGTGTCGCACCATGAAAAGTGTCAATTGACCACAGCAAAAGAGCAGAATTATCAGATCCCCGCTAAGACAAAATCCCACACAAGAAGCGCCCATCCAGTCAGGCAGACGGCCGCTCGTTCCAGGAAACCCAGCCGCCCCTTTCCCGTATCCTGGAAGTGTCTCCCCATCCGAGGAAGCCGAGCCAAACCCCCAAGTATATCCGTTCCCAAACACAATCCCGGAGCCGCTCGCTAGTAATGTCGCCGAAAATAAAGGGAGATGAAAGAAGAGAGGAAAAAAGCACCGAAAGTGAACCATATCCCTATACTTGGCGAGGTGGTCGACCCCCAAGCCAAACCCGAAAGAAAAGAATCACAAAACACAACGCAAAAAATAACACGGTGGCCAACCCCCCTTTCCTTGTACAAAACAGTCGACAATCCAGTCCCAGCCCATCCCATCCTAACTCCTGGAATGCTAGGTATCGCTATGCGCCCCTTGCCATGTATAATAACCACCCGTTGTGGTTTCCCCGTGTCGCTCAAACATTTCGTCATTATCGTGACAAAAAGAGTACCAGATTTTAGCGATCTCCAATCAATAAGCCTCACAAATGAGGCGCAACTCAAACACCAGGCCGCGAGTGGAGCGCGATGGTTGATGGGCAAGTATTGTTCCGGCGTGTTCCCCAGGTCGATCCTGGGGGTTCAGTAGCCTTTGGTGGTGTCGCCGACATAGCCAGCATCACCGGACAGAGATGTGCGAATTAGTCGCTCTTTTTCGTAGTCGTAACAGTCGTGAGCAAAAAGCCCCCCGGGGGCAGCGCGGGCAAACAGAAATGCAGGCGGGAAAAGGACGGCGAACGGAAGCCGGCTCAAAATGTCGGCGGGTAATTGCGGTTGAGAGGCGCCTTGGTGGTACCCCGCGAGGCCTGCGAGTTATTCGAGCCGATCTTCTCGAAGCCAGCAAGCATGTCGAACCCGGAAAAGTCGTTCTCCCCCAGGTAGTCTGGTGCCTCAAGATCGCCCATCGGGATCCCGTGGAATACGTTTAGGCTATCGCCGCTGATCACGGGCATCTTGCTCGGTGACTGCATATCCTCGAAGACCTTGCTCGGCGAAGAGAGCAAGCCATCGAAGACCTTGCTCGGAGTCTCTAGCGCCAAGTTCGACGGCTGGCTGGGGATTCTGAGGAAGGAAGCAGACTTGGAGACGCTGTGGCCCGGGTTCACGACATGGTTCAATGCACCGGTGGACTGAGACCGCTCCAAACGCTGCTTCCTCACTGACCGCTTTGCCGGGGAACCAATAGGGGCGGCAGAGGGGGTAAGCCCGAAGATAGACTGGAAATCATGGGCGTCCTCAAAAATGTCAAAGCCTGTGTTGTGGCCGGACTCCTCGAGATAATACCACAGATGGTCTCCATGCATGCCGGGCGTTTGCTGTGCCGCAAGTTCACTGTCAGGGAGCAAAGCCGAAACGCGCCTGACCGGCGAGTCGACCATGGACTGAATGCTCTCGCGGTGGAGACGCAAATTCGTGCCGGGAGAAACGGATGCCGGGGGCTTTGGCGGCGCCTTGAGTTTCGTGGCAGGGGTTAGGGGCGGGAGCATCTGTCCCGTCCCTGTTCCCGGTGCCTGGCGAATCGGTGATGACGAAGTTGGCGCATACCCATACGAACGTCCCTTGGATGGGCTGTCGTATGAGGAAGCACGGAGACGCGCAATTTCTTCCTCAGCCCGCCCCCTCTTGAGCCGTGGCCGGTCGGCCTCGGACGTGAGGAGCTTCGCATGTTGTTGGGGACGCACCGCCGATGATTCGAGAGACGAGATATAACCGCTGTCATCCATCGACGCAATCCTCCGCCTGTGCCGTGACTTGGTGGCCGACGATTGCTGCATCCGCTGGTGCGAAGGTGGAGTCCCGTTATGGTGGGCATCCATACGCCTGGGGATCGGAGGCGACGAGTGCATGGCTGCCGGCAGAGGCGAGTAGAGTTCTGAATCGTGTAGCAACTCCTTCTCTGCAGGCCCGCCACATCTCTCGTCGATACTGACCGCATCAGACGCAGGAATGGTCGCGTCGGACGAAATCTCCGGGAGCAGTGGTGCGGGAGCCAGGTGTTGGGACGACGGCGGCGGTGGAAGCGCGGGAAGAATGTTCTGGGGCATTGGAAGCTGCGGAGGCAACATCGGCTCGGATATGCAAGGCGGCCGCTGCTGCGGTTGAGGTTGTGAGGGCTCCAGACGTGTCGACATCACCGGCATGTTTTCGGCTGTTGGTGCCGCACACTTCCTCGACGGCTTCTCCTTGAGCACCGTGTGCTCTGTGCCTGGTTCAATTGACCAGTAGCTGCCCTTGCCCGGGTCGTCTTTGGGTCGCTCCTGCTTGACGAAACTCTTGTTGAGGCTAAGATTGTGCCGGATGCTGTTCTGCCACCCGGTATTGTCGCCCTGGTAATACGAGTAGGTATCGGAAATCCATTTGTAGATTTGGGATAGAGTCAACCTTCGCTGCGGCGACCGGACAATTGCCATGGCGATCAAGGTCGCGTAGCTGTGATTCGGTTTCGTTCCATCGTCGATGACCGGGGGGAACGAGTCGTGCGGGGGAAGAGTATCGTCGGTTTTCTGCTTCTTTGCTGGCCGAAGTTCCTTGATCGGGGCTGCCTCCATTAAAACGCGTTTCCCTGAGGGTTTTTGGTAGTAGTTTTCCAAGTCGAGGTTGAAGTGCGACGGGCCCGGAGCCGGATAGATCGGAGGGTGCGAATTTTCCTTGCCCATGAATTGCTGAATGTTGAAGTCGGGCTGCGGTCCAGGCTTTTTCGCGACCGTTTTGAACCGCGACATGGGGGGTTGCTTCTTCTCGAGCGAATCTGTGGGCGGTGGCGCGTTACTGGGCGGCATCATCTGGACCATGTTGAGTTTGCTTCCCTGCGACGCGTTGAGTGGGGTGAGTGACGGATTAGTTGGTCGGGTATTTGGCTTGTAGGGGGACCGCTTCGGGGTCGCCGAGGTGGGCGGGTTGAGGACGACATTCGAATTTGCGCTCTGGAGGGGTTGTCGCGCGGGTTTTGGCGCCGCGGGCATCGGAGCGTGGCTCATCATCGGGGTCGACTGGCTGAAGAAATCGTCATGGAAAATGGGGAAAGGCTCTTCGCCCTGAGAAAGCGATAACCTGGCCATCGGTGGCCGAGCCCAAACGCGCAAGATGCGCGCTGTGGAGCCTGAGGGGTTCTTTTGCGACCCGTTATCCGCCGACCAAGCCGACCAGGTCGTTCACGTTATACGGCGGCGACAACAGCATGCACGACGCGCGCAAGATAGTTTGTCGGTCGAATGTTGCCCAAAGGTGATCGGGTAGAGAAAAGGGCTGAAGGTCGTTAAGGCTGATGGTGATCCAGACCTCCACCGGGGGTGCAGCTTAATTACCGAGCTGTGGGGGAAGCGGTGAGGCAAGGGATGTGTATGTAAGTCGTGAGGTACTATCAGAAACTGAATCCGATGATGGCGCACGGGGTGACGGTCAGGGCGCAATTGAGAATACTTGGACGACATGCAGCAATGTTTTGCCTTCTCCGTTTCCAGGATGATTACTGAAGGTTCCAAAATTTAGAAGGGGAGAAAAATTATGCGGCAAGTTGGGCTGATGTGGGAGGCAAGGCAATGTGGGAGGGAGTGAGTCGAAGAGGGTTGGTTGGCAGAAAGGCCCGGGTTGTGTGGGCGTGCAGCAAGAGAAAGATGAACCCGCTGCCAGCTCACACGCTTGTTCCAAGACGGTCGTCAAGTGGGGCGGTAAACCAGGCAGGGAGTGGAGGACACAAGAACAAGATTGGGTGAGGGCTGACCGCCGACAGGGATTTATGAGCTTCGGGTGCAGGGATGTGGCAGAGGCTGCCCTTGGGTGGAGGGTTCGATGGCTCGGCAAAAATCGCCCGGCGATGTCGTCAGGTAGCTGGTCAAGCTAGTCTAGTGTACATAGACAAGACGGGACGGATGATGTTGAAAATTGTGTGAATCGAGGGATGCCGAGTCCAAGCGGCCCATGTGAGCATCCAGGGTTCGCTCCTCAGAAATCACCGAACTCGAAGTCGTCAGTGGTTCAGTGGTATGGTATGAATTGGTATTTGGATGACAGGAGGCGAACGTGGAACGCAATGCGGGCGGGATGGTGAGCGATTGCTGGCAGCATTGGTCGCAGCATTGGCCAGTCGTCTCATGAGATGATCTCGATGCGCAGTGCAGCAAAGCTTTCCAACCCACAGCTGAGCTTGAAGCCGACTCTCTCAGACCAAAATGCGATGCACGCGCGGTGGTCTGGAAGTGAAAACGAGGAGCGGGATCAAGGAGCGGGTGGGCCGGAGAGGTCGCACGTTCGGCAGAGATTGGACGGGCGGCGTTTGGTTGGCCACGGTGCAATCGATGTGACGCCGAGGGCCCAGCTCGACATGGCTTGCGGCCCAACAGGATGCAGCGAAGGCATGCATTTGTTTACCGAAGGGCCCACTTGACGCGGACCTTCGCGTCTCGGTCGCGCGTTCACGGCCCACTGGCCAATCAAATGATGGGACCGAAAGTGGACTCAAGTCGCGGGGTTCGAGACCCAGTCCGAGTGCTCAAGTCCAGCGCCTCAACTGCCCAACTGTGCCTCACAACCCCGCTTTGCTTCCTGAATGTCTGCGAGGCGGCGGCGTGGAGGACTCAGCCACAGATAGCTATATGATGCACGAGGCCCAATGTTCAGACCTTCTTTCAACCACTACCACGACCACCGAGGTGTTCGTTGTTTCATAATGAGATGGGAGTGGCCCTCCCATTTCGACCACATGCTCCAATCTTATCCGGCACATCCCTCACGATTGCCCGGCCTCTGTCTGGACTCTGGCGGCCGACTTGCAAGGGAGAGTTTTAGTGTGAGGAGATCGGCAGGTGACATCATTGGTCACCTTGCAAGTAACGGCGCATCGGCGACCCGCTTCCCACATCGGGCCAGTGCTATCCTGCTCCACAAATGACAGCAAGAGCAAATCGTGCGCGGGTGTGCTCGGCTTCACACTGACAATGTCCAGGCAAGCAGGCTAGGCTTTTTTTTTTTACCTTATCAAGCGGATGGAGTTGTCGGCTCTCTCTGCCGGCTCGGGTGCAATGACTGCAAGCTTGAACCCTGCCTCGAGCCCGGTATTCAGCTGAAGAGCTCAAAATCGATATGAATAATGAAGGTAAAATTCTTCTCATTCCCGAAACTGCTGGCCCGGAACCGGAACCAAAGAGCTACTCCCTAGGAATTCTTTCGCTTGCGGCCTTTTGAGCCCACATTCCCCGCACGTCCTGCCTGCGCCCGTCTTTAAAATGTGACGGGACGAGGTGCTCGGCCGCAGCGAGGGAGCTTGCCATCCTTCTTATGAAAGGAATTCCCATTTATAGGAACGGACTTCATCGTGGAATTGTCCAGTTTTAGTTAAAGAAAAAGGCAGTTGGCTCGGCCGAGCATGAGGGAGCTGGCTCCATGATCCTCCAATGACACCTCTCGACAGCTTCGGAGGCCGGGCCAGTGCCCTTCATTTGTTCAATGCCTGGATACGACCTTCCCTCCCTAAACTGCTTCGCAAGCCCCGGGTTGAGTAGCCTACACAGCGACACGAGAAATAAAAAAGAAAACGTCAAGGCACGACTGTGGCACGACAAACCCCCAGTGTTCTCGAAACTTTCCCCATGCAAGCCATGGAATGGAACTCTTTGTGCGCACAGTCGAGATGGCATCTGCCTCCGAACAAGCGTGTTTCATCAGAGTTGCCCAAAACCCACTCTGGGGCCACCCATCGTATGCAGTCCGGGATCTGCTGCACAGCCCCCAAGGATTAAACTCCCGGTGCATCGACCCCATCGGGCCCTGCACGCACAAGGCACATCCACTTCTCCACGATTGCCCGACTTGGAACTCATCCTGCCAACTCGACCGGCCCGGCTGGCCCCTCCATGCAGCAACTCAAACACCAACGTCAAACTCGCCGTCGAAACAAAAAGGTGCATACCCGTAAACTGGCTGAACAAAGAATACGCACGATGGGGGCATCCGATCCGGGGACGTTTGCGTACAAGCCACCCCGGAGTCGGTTTCTTTCCCACCAGACTCTACGGAGCCATCAAACCTCGGCCCTCGAGAACGAGCAAACGAAAAAAAAAAAAAGGCAAAGAAAAGAAGCGGTTCAAAGTGACCAAGAACCCCCATCACCAACCCCCAGGCCGCCGCCAGCGCGACCAGCCAGCCAGCCAGCCAGCCGCACAGATACCCAAGGGCCGGTGGTTCGATCCCGTACCTAAAGGTGACACACCATGTCTCTGATCTCCCCCCTTCGCAACAACACCCGGCCGGCCGTCCGCCCGCCCGCCCCAAGCGCATGCATGCAATGCCCAGCCGCCGCCCTTTCCAAGGGCGTTCGGGACCGAAGAGAAGAACAAGGCTGCGAGGGAAAAAAAAAAAAGAAAAGAAAACGAAAAAAAAGGCGCTGTCTTCCCGTGCGTCGCAAGGGATGATGGACTGACTGACTGACCGACTCACTGACTGAATGACTATAACTGTGACTGCAACGCACGGGATGAATGAACCCTACATGTACTTGTAAAAGAGGCACGCTCACAGCGTTAAAACTAGGTATACAGGGGCCGGCCCCGGTGCGGTGTCCCCTGTCCGCGCTCGGGTACCTTAGCTTCGCTGTATGTCTCGGCAGGTCGAGCTGTGATGAGCGGCGCTAGTCGGGGGAGGGAAGGGAGAAAGATCTCAGAGATCGGGGCTACCACCGATAGTGACCGGGGGGAGGGGGAGATCGGGGTGGGAGTGGGAGTGGGAGGTAGATATGCATGCATCCACGACACCGCTGCTCGGTAGGTAGGTAGGTAGGTAGGTGGGTAAGTTCGTTTCTCAGGGTCGGTTGGTCGACCGGTTACCCATACAGACACAGGTACGACCTTCATCGGCCTACTTTTTGACCATGGGTTACTTGCATAACTACGTTAGTTATCTCCAATGTTACGTAATAATGAGGAAGAAGAACTGCCTAGTTCGAAACTCGACTTGGCTACCTCTATGCTACTGTCGCAAGTAAAAACAATAGAATCGAAAGCGGCAGGAGGGTAGGTAGCCACCCAATCGGTAAATAAATCTCGGCAGCAGACGAGCTCACCAACCGAGTGTTACCCCCCAAGAACATACAACCGCGTACTATACACCCCCTCCCCAGCTTCCCCAGCTTGCACCTCTCCACTCTTCCCAGTTTCCCGGCTAAGCGTCTCGTATCTCTCCTGCACGTAACCAACCGCCCGAGCGACTGCCGGGTCGCACAACAGCAGCGCATAAACCAATAGATGAAATTAATCTAGCACCCGACCGGCCACAGCAGCGGCGCTCTTGTCGCGTGTCGTCGTCTTCTTGAGCGCCTTGCCCGCCTGGATTTGGCCGAGGAGCCCTGCAGGCCGACCGCCAGCCGGTGCAGCAGCCGGCGGGCCACCCGCAGGAGGCGGCGGCGGCGGTGCGGGAGGAGCCATTCCCGGGGGTGGCGGCGGCGGCGCGGGAGGAGCCCCCGGTGGGCCACCAGCGGAAGGCATCGGAGGCGGGGGCGGCGGTGGTGGCGGCGGAGCGCCGGGGCCAGGGCTGGCGCTCGGGAACGAACCGGGCATCGGCGGAGGGGGCGGCGGTGCTGATGGGGAAGCCGCCGGGGGCGAAGCTGACTCGGGAGGTGGTGCAACCGGGGAGCTCACGGTAGGTGAGGTAGCAGACTTGTCGCCAGTTGCAGACAGCGGGCGCGGTGGTGCCATGGTGCCGAACAGGATGGAAGCTAGCGCCGCGGCGCTCTTACCGCCCGGCCTGTCATCATCCGATTCTTCGTCTTCCTCGTCCTTGTCCGACCCCCAACCATCGTCATCAGGACGCCGCCTTGTCACGGGGACCGGCGATGTTTCGGGCGCGGGGGCCTGTGCGATGCGGTGGAATGGGTTTGTGGACGCTTCGGGTTGCGGCGGCGCCGGCGGGGCCACCGGCGGTGCCACCGGCGGTGCAGGTGCCGTGGCGGGGGAGGCATCCGAAGAGTGCGACATCATTCTAAAGTAAGGATTACGGCTCTCACCCTCGGTCGGGGGGCTAGAGGTGACAATTTGCGGCGGGGAAACCACCGGCGCCGGCGGTGGGGTGGGCTGTCGTTCTGGTTCCCGATTAACGATATGACTGTCGTTCATCGTCGGAGTCGACGCTTGAGGAGTGATTTGTTCCGGGCCTTCGTCGTCCGATGAGCTATCGTCATCCATGGCTTCAAGCTGCCTGCGAAGCTCTTCCTCGCGCTTACGGGCAGCTTCGATTTCAGCTCTCCGCTGGGCCAGTTGAGCCTCCTTCTCCTTGGCCTCAGCTAGCGCTGCCTTCTTCTTCCGTTTCTCCTCCTCCTTCTTCAACTTGCCCTGCCGGACCTGCTCCTCAAGCGCCCTGAGGCGAGCGTCAGCTTCCTCACGCTCTTTGGCAAGCTCATCTTCCTGAGCCTTGGCTTGACTCCTACATCACACTATTAGCAAATACTCCAGCCGCACATTCGTGCCATAGACTTACTCAAGTTCCCGTGTTGCGCGCTCCTGTTCTCCACGCTCGCGTTCCAGGCGCTCCTCCTCTGCCTTCTTTGTAGCAAGCTCCTCCTCGGCACGCCTATCATCTGGCTTGGCCGCTTTGCGGCTGGGAGGCGGAGGCGGCTTCTTACCCTCAGGCTTGGCAGCCTGTGAAACAGCGGGCGGTGGAACCCCCTGCTCCTCAGCAAGCCTGGCCTGTCTCTCTGTTTCGCGGCGGGCGTCTTCCTCCTCTGCCTGTCGCAACTTGGCGGCACGTTCGGCCTGCTCACGCTCGGCTCGCTGAGCCGCCGTCTCCCCAGGTTTCGTGGGAGCCTTGATACCCAGGGCGGCAAGCCGTTCAGCCATGCGTTGCTCGGCTTGCTGCTTGATGAATGCAGCCCTCTCCTCGGGAGTCTTGTACGACGAATACGATCCGCCTGCGGCAGGAGGGGCCGCCGGGGAGGCGGTACGCGAAATGCTGGCGGGGCTATCGACCCGGGCGGTAGGAGGTGCTTCAGCACTGACGGGCTCTTGGGTGGCCTTGCGTCCGCCCTGCCTATCCTGGGACCTAATGCGAGAAGCACGGCTAGACCGTTGGAGATCGTAGATAAAATCTCGGACCTCATCCTCGACCCCGAGGGCATCCTCCCATCGGCGCTTCTCATGCTCCGTAGTGGAATCCTGACCGCCCTCCTTGAGATTGTCTTCGATGCCCTTGGCGAAATCGCGAACGCTATCCTCGACATCCCGGACCATACGCTCGTTGTTTTCCTTCTCAGTTCTTGCCTTGATACTCTCTTCCTCGAGCCTCTTCTCTGCATCTTGGTCACTGGTCACGTCGATCTTCTTGCCGGTCAGGGCAGCGGTCCGTTGTTGCATCATAGCTTTGGCCCGGGCCTTGAGCCTGTCTGATTCGGTGATGGCACCGCCGGGCCCCGTCCCAACGATGGCAGCGGCGCTGCCCGGGTGGGCCTTGGCGTCCTTCAGGCGGAACAACTCAAGCCTTGCGTCCGCGATTGCCTTCTCTGTTTTTCTAACCTGAGACGCTAGTTCGGGGATCTTGTCGGTCAGGTTCTGCAGTTGGCGCTTCAGGGCTCTTCTCTCGGCTTCAGAGTCGCCGCCAATCGGGGACGCATCAGGGTGGTTGTCGATATCCTCCTGAATTCTCCTGATGCGGCGATAAAGCTCCTCGGCCTCGCGACGATCACGCCTGTCAAGGATGTCGTCCTCCTCCATGTTCTTCTCGTCGGCAAAGTCCATCGCATCAAGGAGCACCTGCTTCTCCTTGATCTTCTTCCGCAATTGATCCAGGCTTAACTCTTCGTTAGAACCGACGGATGCTGGAGACTCGGGGCGAGGTGAAGCATTGCCGACTCTGCGCCGCGCGCTTGATCGGTATCCCACAGCATCGTCGTTGTTCTTGAAGACGGTAGCATCCTTGCGATTGCCAGAGGCGCCTCCGGTACCTCGGAACGAGTGGTTCTTTAGATAGCTAACCCCAGTCTTTTGCGGCAGCAAGCTAGCGCCCGAGTTCTTTCGGAAATCCGACTCCTTGTGGAGCATGTTCTTGATGGTGCCCAGAGACTCGTTAAAATTCCTGGTAGAAGGAGGCACCAATTCAGGAGGGAGCTGGTTTGGGATAGGATAACCGTTAAGTTTGCGGTAGATCAAATGCATGGCCACGGCAAACTCATCAAGGTCCAGACGCCCCTTGTTTCCATGGTCCGCGAGTGTCCAGGCGCGTTCAAGGTCGGGCTTCTCCAACCCGCTTTGCCCAAAGATTTCGATGGCCTGGTCACCGCCGATATACCCCTTGTTCAGACCATCCCAAGCGCGGAACAGCGCATCGTACCGAGTCTTCTCATCCTTGGTAATGGCCCAGGGAATCACAGCATTTCCTTGCAATCCGGCGGTGGTGTAGTCTTGCTGTTCACGGCCTTGCTGGGGCATCATGCGCGCTTGCAGGGCATCAATGTTCGGCAATCCGGTCGCAGGCGTGTTGACAAGGCCCCACTGACCCGGGCGTCCTGTGGGTTGAGCGTTCAACGGCGCAATCATGCCGCCGGGGCCGACATTCGGTGACAAGTTCGAACCGAACCCGGTTGGCATGGGCGGCATAGGCGGCCGAGGGCCAGTGTAGCCGGTCGCCTGGGGCATACCCGTTTGCTGAGGTTGAAGGCCTTGTCCCATGAACCCGGTCTGCTGAGCAGGAAAGCCCGTCATCTGCGCTTGGAGAAGTTGTGAGCTCGACGGTTGTGGTTGCGGGTGTTGGATGACTGGAGGGGTAGCCGTGTTTTGGCGCACACCGAAATCGGGAGCGTTGGTAGATGTGGCAGAAGCAGAACCGGACTCCTCTGCAATGCTGAAATTGATAATATCCACCATGCTAGAGACCTCGTTCTTGATGTTGTCAGGTAGTGAGGGCGGCAGCGACTTCCCGGTGAGCTTCAGGTTGCAGAGATACATGGCGAGAGCAAACTCTGGGAAGTGTAACTGCCCGGATCTGGTGGTATCCGCAAGCGTCCTGGAACTAGTCAGCACCATGGCAAAACAAATACCATATCCCCTCCGAGCCCACTCACCAGATGTGAGACAGTGAATCTCCGTCGAGCCTGGACCGTAGCAGCAAGTCTCTCGCCTTCTCTCCCGACATGGTGGTTTGGCCGTCACCAACGGCAGACTTGAACAACGTTTCGAATTTGGCTTGGTCCGGCGCGGTAATGAAAGAGAGACGGATATTCGGAACCGTGTTTGCCTTTCTTGGGGCCGCGCTGGGCTGGGATCTTGCGCCGCCGCCGGCATGGAATGAAGCCGCCATTTCGCTGAAGCCGGTGGCTTGCGGCTTTACAGGTGGAGGAGGCGCCAGCGTCTGGGTGGGCTGGGGGGGCGCTGCCGCGAAGGGCATCTGCTGCTGTTGGGGCTGCTGCTGTTGGGTCTGCTGCTGCTGGAACTGTTGCTGATATTGTTGAGGGATAGCTGGCATTGGCGGTGCGCCGGTGGCCATGCCCTGCTGCGGAGTCTGGCCGTAGCCGGTAAACTGCGGCTGCAGCTGCCCCTGCGGCGCTTGTAAGCCCGGGTAGCCCGTATACTGCTGCTGGAGCGGCGCTTGAGCGAAGCCCGTCGGCTGCGGGGCGAACGGATCCGGCTGTTGCTGCTGCTGTTGTTGCTGCTGGGGCTGGCCAGCGCCATATTGCGGAGCACCGGGGCCCATGGCATTGCCGCCGAAGAAGTTGTTCGGGTTCGAATACATGGCGCCGGTGATGTCGAGCTCGATCGGGGTCGGTCAAGGAGGGAGGTACCAAAAAAGGGGGACAGCACGAGTGCAAGTGGAGACTCGAAAGTGACCGACTCGTCGTGCCTCTGAGGGATTTGCGGCGTGAACTAGGGGCGAATAGGTAAAAAAAAAAAACTTAATTATTCTGTTGTGAGAATTCAAGAATCCACCAAACCCAGCCTCCGGGGACGACAGCGGTGGTGATGACGACGCCTGTGCGAGGCTGGAGAGCAGAGAGCAGCCAGGTTGGTTGGCGATTCGCCCATGCTCCAATGCTTTCCAGGTTGGCTGGAGCAATCCGCCTTGTTGCACTGTCTCACTTTCAGAATACAATGGATAAATACATAGTTAGCTCTCATTCTCATTGTATACCTACTTATGTAATTAAGCAATATCTTTCAAAGCCATCCGATGCTGTGGCCTCAGGCAGCGAGGATTACTCCGGGCCTAAGAGCGGGCCAGAAGAGACAAAAACATCAGCTAGACGTACCTTACAGCCAGCTAGTCAACGACAACCCCCCTCACCGATGTCAATGCTTTTTCGTGGAGATCTGGGGCTTGAATCGGGGGCGAAACTGAGATGAAGTCATTAATGGATTCCCCCTATCGAAACCCGCCGAGTCTTCGAATCTATCTCGGAGATATAATGAGGCACGAAATACCTGGGGAACTTGTTGGTTAATGTTAGCCTTCGGAGACATCGAGTGTGACATCCGATATAATCCCTTTGATTATTTTTCGACCGCAATAAAACGGTCCGGAGCGTTGTCGGCCAGGTTGCATCGAAGGGACCCCGCCCACAACAAGCAATGACTGGAGCCCGGTTCACGGAGGTGCCCCCCTTTCGGTGGTGCAAGAAAACCCGGTCGATTCGGGTATCGGTCACACCATCCGCGCCAAAGATAGCGTCGATGGGCATGGAGGGGTACCTGAGGGGCACAGCCACAGCTTAGGGTGACAATAAGTCTCTAACAGAGCTGTACGCGGCCAAGCTTTTCAAGCTCTAGAGATATCCGAAAAGACCCTGGGATTTTCACCCATGCTTACCCCTCCCCTTCTAACCCTCCATGTGAAGAGCATCGACTCGTCAAGACATCCTTTCCCAAGGCGGTCGGGCTCCGAAAGTTGCGGTGGGACCCCCCACCGATTACGGCCCCACACCCCAGCTCCTGCCCCCCCCTCCAGCGAAGTCAAATTCTCCCCGTCCTGCACATCAACTCGTTCTTTCCTCTTCCTTCTTCTTCCTCCTCTTCTCCTCTCTTCCCCATCCCTCATCTTCCCAAACCTGACTCTCTTCATCTGAACTTGAGGCAGGAACAGGAAGAGGTTTCTTTTTTCACACTGCTGCCCCGCATCAGACCTTTGATACCCAGACAACCCCTCCCCCGCCTCAAGATGGTTCAGTCATCCGTTTTGGGTTTCCCGTAAGTTCACTTGAATTGGCATTGTCTTGGTCCCAATGTTAACAACGCGTGTTCAGCCGCATGGGTGTCCTTCGGGACCTCAAGAAGGCGAACGAGGCCTACTGGGCCGACAAGATCTCCCAGGAGGACCTCCTCGCTGAGGCCAAGAGGCTTCGTCTTGCCCACTGGAAGATCCAGAAGGATGCCGGTGTCGACATCATCCCCTCCAACGACTTTGCTTTCTACGACCACGTCCTTGACCACATCCAGCTGTTCAACGTGAGTTCACATCAAGCTATCTGTTGCTTCCGAGTCATCCGGCTAACCAGCCCGTTTTCCACCGCAGGCTGTCCCCGAACGCTACACCTCGCAGAAGCTGTCCCCGCTCGACGAGTACTTTGCCATGGGCCGTGGCCACCAAAAGGGCGGTGTGGATGTGCCCGCCCTCGAGATGGTCAAGTGGTTCGACTCGAACTACCACTATGTCAAGCCCACCCTCCAGGACAACCAGACCTTCTCCCTTGCCAAGGACCCCAAGCCTGTTCGGGAGTTCCTCGAGGCCAAGGAGGCTGGCATCCAGACCCGCCCCGTCCTCGTCGGCCCCGTCTCTTTCCTTGCCCTCGGCAAGGCCGACCGTGGCTCCTCGGTCAACCCCATCACTCTCCTTGACAAGCTCGTCCCCGTCTACGTCGAGCTCCTGAAGGCCCTCAAGGCTGCTGGTGCCGAGAGCGTCCAGATCGACGAGCCCGTCCTCGTCTTCGATCTCAGCCCCGAGGTCAAGGCCGCTTTCAAGCCCGCGTATGAGGCGATTGCCGCCCAGGGCAGCGCCGTTCCCTCTGTCGTCGTCGCCACCTACTTCGGTGACATCGTCCACAACTTTGACGTCCTCCCCGCCTTTGCCAAGGCCCAGGGTCTCCACGTCGACCTTGTCCGCAACCCCGAGCAGCTCGAGCCTGTCCTCAAGCAGCTCGGCGCCAACCAGATCCTCTGTAAGTGAAACTTGTGCCCTATGCTCGCGGTATGGAGTTGTGCTAACCTGAGGAATAGCTGCCGGTGTCGTTGACGGCAGGAACATCTGGAAGAACGACTTCAAGAAGTCGCTTGACCTTCTCCAGACCGCCATCAAGGCCCTCGGGCCCCGAGCGTGTCATTGTTGCCACTTCCAGCTCCCTCCTTCACACCCCCGCACACCCTGGCCAGCGAGAAGAAGCTTCCCGCTGATGTCTACGAGTGGTTCTCCTTCGCTAGCGAAAAGGTCAAGGAGGTTGCCATTCTCGCCAAGGCTGTGACCAGCCCCGGCTCTGTCAACGCTGAGCTCGAGGCCAACGCCGCTGCCATGAAGGCGCGTGCCGAGTCCACCCGCACCAACGACCCCAAGGTCAAGGAGCGCCAGTCTCAGGTTACCGAGGCGCTGCACAACCGCAAGACTGGGTTTGACAATCGTTACGCTCAGCAGAAGAAGCACCTCAGCCTTCCCCTCTTCCCCACCACCACCATCGGCTCTTTCCCTCAGACCAGCGAGATCCGTGTTCAGCGGAACAAGTTCACCAAGGGTGAGATCAACGAGCAGCAGTATGACGACTTCATCAAGAAGGAGATCGACTATGCTGTCCAGATCCAGGATGAGCTCGGCCTTGACGTCTACGTTCACGGTGAGCCTGAGCGTAACGACATGGTCCAGTACTTCGGTGAGCGCCTCCAGGGCTACGTCTTCACCACCCACGCCTGGGTTCAGTCTTACGGCTCCCGCTGCGTCCGCCCTCCCATCATTGTGGGCGACATCTCCCGCCCTCTTCCCATGACCGTTAAGGAGAGCAAGTATGCTGCCTCGGTCTCTAAGAAGCCCATGAAGGGCATGCTTACTGGCCCTGTCACCTGCCTGCGGTGGTCTTTCCCCCGTGTCGACGTCCACCAGTCCGTCCAGTGCCAGCAGCTCGCTCTTGCGCTCCGCGACGAGGTCGTTGACCTCGAGAAGAACGGTATCTTCGTCATCCAGGTCGATGAGCCTGCCCTTCGTGAGGGTCTCCCTCTCCGCAAGGGCTCTGAGCGTGACGCCTACCTCAAGTGGGCCGTCAACAGCTTCAAGCTGGCTACCGCCGGTGTTGAGGACTCGACTCAGATCCACTCTCACTTCTGCTACTCCGAGTTCCAGGACTTCTTCCATGGTGAGCATCATTATATCCTGAACTCAACGGCAACATCCTAACCTGATTTCTAGCCATTGCCGCTCTGGATGCCGATGTTCTGTCCATTGAGAACTCCAAGTCCGATGCCAAGCTCCTCAAGGTCTTCATTGACGAGGCCTACCCCCGCCACATCGGCCCCGGTGTCTACGACATCCACAGCCCTCGTGTCCCCGGTGAGGCCGAGTTCAAGCAGCGCATCCAGGAGATGCTCCAGTACCGTAAGTTTATACCTATCCAGGACTACGGGGCTACCAGCACTAACAAAAACACAGTCCGTCCTGAGCAGCTCTGGATCAACCCTGACTGCGGTCTGAAGACCCGCAAGTGGGATGAGGTCAAGGGTGCCCTCACCCACATGGTCAACGCTGCCAAGTACTTCCGTGAGCAGTACACCAAGGCCTAAGCGCCTTGACAAAGCTCACTAATGCATCATCATTGATTGATGGTGCCCTATGCTTTCCCGGATTTTTTTCAACAGCATTTAGCATTTTTGGGGGTCTTCTAGCGGGTTATAAAATGGGTAACGATAGATGATACCTCAAGCGCGCCATTCTCAACTCGGCGTTGGTCGGCAAGGGGAAAATCCGGATTCAACAGCATTAGCATAATTGGGTGGGTCGCCATATTCAACTGGGCGTTTTGCGGTCAAGAGGGATGGAAAAGGGGTGTTCATTTATTGGTTTTGGTGTTGATGCGGGACATGGGTTTGGGGTGGGTGGTGCTGACTCGGGGTGGGTGAGCAAGGGCCTGACCACTTCTTCAACAAGATTGTGCGTTCTAGGCTAGGGAATGGTCTGCCTTCACCAAGCAGCGCGCGTGTGAAGTCGTTCAGACTGGTTTGGGGGTCATACACACAACCATATCGCAAAACAGAATACATGGTGTCCCCAACAATTTGTTTCACGATGTTGACAATGTTGATGATGTTTTGTTTCACCAGGGGCTGGTCTAGCAAGATTGGGATCGAGAGATCGAGGGATGCCCGATTAAAATTGGCTGTCCTTCCTTGTAAAACAGTTTCGCATGTATCGTCACAAACTGAGACAATAAGTAATTAGGGTACAACTGAGCACACTGAGCACCTCTGCAGGAACCCGCCAATCATGGTCCAAGGATGGAAGGAATAGCTCAGTGAGCTCAGTTGGAGGGTACAACTGAGCACACTGAGCACACAGGACTTAGATAGGTATATAGTCACTCGTTCTGGAGAGCTCTGGGAGTTCTCCAGTTAGCAATCACAGCTACAGTTCGCTACAAGCTCGGAAGCCTACTGTTGAGACAAGTCTTTGTTGTGCACCTTTTGGCTGCACCGAACCTAAGCACCCTTGAGAGATTACCTTCAACCGAAGCTGAACCCTAACAGGACAGAGTCCTGAAGTAGGTTCGTCACACTTAGACATGCACTGCAATCAGACACCTCCCGCAATGAAGCAGCTAAACATCACACAATGACAAAAGGCCATGGGGCGGCCCGAACGAGTGCAACAAGTGAAGGGGTCTGAGGGACAAAGACTGAGCGACCGGAGGGAGAAGAGTGGAACGGTTTGGGAGCAATGCGACCAATCACCTACTGGAAAATTGGGCCATTTTTCAGGGTTATGCGTGAAGATTGATCAGGGTTGTCTTGTGGTCGAGGTCGTGCCTGTGAACGAGTACTGGGCGGTGGTTCGGTGCACGTGTTGACCTGTTTGACCTATGCTGTTTGTATACGTTTGGCTTGGACATCAAGACAGTGGCTACGCTCCTTACGCATGGTGGAGTGATGCGGTTCAACTACGTCAGATGGGGTAACGAAGGAAGTAATGACTGGTATGGAAGAAGGTGTCAGACAGCGCCTGGGGATATCATCTCGATGCGTCATGATGGCGAAGAATGAGGAAGTCGCGGGCATTTTGTTCGTTGATCGGCAGAGGAGTGGATAAGACGACGCAGCAGGTAGTGCAAGTAGACAATAGACAGCTTAGTTGCTTTCACGGACGGGAAGAGAACAGTGACAGCGATGGTACGAGCTTTGGTGATAACATGGCTAAGTTAGAGCAATCATCTTACGTTGCAGCATTGAAGAGTGATGAGTAACAGTAAAACACCAAGAACAACATCACGTCAACCAAACTGCACCTACTCATACGACCTAACAGATCACTACCCAAGCACTTATTGTTTTCCTTTCAAAGGGGGTTCGGGGCGCAGCCCTGAGTATACCGGAACGAAGTGGAGGTTTACCATCGTTGTTAGTCAGACGAGCAACACTAATTGACATCAGCCGAGCAACATAAAACAAAAAAACAATTGAACATGACCATAACAAACAACCAAGATAAAAACAATGTCAAAGCATAACACAGCATCATACGAAGAAGGGCTGGGGCGGCCACGAGGAGCGAAGCGACGAAGTGTTGCGAGGGACGAGCAATGACCGAACGGAGTGAGACAGCAGAGCGTGTTGGCCATGCACGGACCACCGAAGGTTGCGAACGACAAAATGGCCAATTCTCAGGGTTAACTGAGACGAAGAATCAGGGTTAAACGTGAGGGGCTGGCGGCTTTACTATATAAGTTGTATAAGCCGCCTATCCCCCAGCCCCAACCCAACCATCAAAGCAGGGGTAGGCAGACAACCAGAGTGAGCTTGCGAACGGAGGTTGGGCATTGGCTGGAGCGACAGAGGGCGAGAAACTTTTTTTTTCACTTTGCACGGAGTGCATTGCGACAGAGGAGCAACATCCTACGATCGGTCATTCTGGCAAACGTCAGGGTTAGACGTGAAGCATTGCGAGGGTTAACTATGTGACATCAGGCGGCTTTGCTATATAATTTGTATAAGCCGCCTGTCACCATCGCCCCAACCCAAAATTAGATGGGACGGCGCTTTGACCACCAGAGCGAGCCTGCGAGCGGAGGTGGGAAGTGGCTTGGCTGCATACGACCAAGGGGAGTTGATGAGCGGGCGAATCAAAGCAGCGTATTGATGGGTTGGAGACCCACAATGATGTGAGGGAGGAACATATCCGGAGGGAGTTGGAGGGAGGACAACTCTTTCTTCTTTTTACTTTTTGCAACGGACTTGCAAACTTGGAGGCACGACAACCGTAAGGAAGTGATTAAAGCGACAGCAGTACTATACTCCGACAACAGCAAAGGGAGGAGCGTCACTCTACTCAAACACAGGACCGGGACGGCCACAGCAATGGAGTTGCCTACTCGACGGAGACGACTGACCTCTTTGTTTTCTTTTGGCGCAGGGAGCCAAATGGATGCGGTGACATTGTATCGACAGATGTGGAGCATTACGCCGGCGGGCGTTCGGGGTGACTGGGACAGTTGGTGGATGAGAGTCCAGTATTCCGATGACACACCTTGGACGTGGGTCAAAGCTACGAAGGCGGGCATGATTGCCGTGAGCTGTGTGTTCCCGACGATGGCGAAATGGTATGAGTTCCGAGATAGGATTCAGAGGGTGATGAAGTTAACCTTGGGGTGCTGCTTTGCATGGGTGCAAGCTGTTGGTCGGGACGATCAGTGCGTCGTCATCTTGATGCACACTCGAGTGGAGTGTTCGCGCCGAGCTGGGTTGTTCCAGTCGGGTGAGTTTATTAACGATCTCTTTCGCTGCGGAGGGACCGACGTTGTGAGTTTGCGACTAGTTGAGCTTGTTAGCATCGAGAAGTATGCGGAGTGGTTAAGTGAACGACTCCTTTTGTTGGCACGGTGGTTTACCTTGGAACAGTTCGGGCTAGACTTTGCCGCAGTGGCTCAGCAGATGAAGAGCGCAGGTGTTTTGGTCTTTTCCTATGTCAGTGGTGACGTTTATCGTTGTGTGCCAGCAGGGATCGCGGTTATTGAGAGACCAAGTGTGTCGCAGGTGCAGAGTGATGACACATGAGAGCAACAGTAGGTGCATCGCTGCGCTCTACACACAGGGGAGACCCCCGTACCCCCCGGGACTAGAATATAATAAGCTAGGGGGAGTGATAGGATTAGCAGAGTCAAGCATCATTGTTGGTAACTTCAAGCGTAGCTGTCCCTAACCCTTGACGATAGACAACAGTAAGCATCATCCAGATCAGACTAACACTACTCATACGACTCAACAGAACACTACCCAAGCACTTGATGCCATTCTAATAAAAGGAGTACGGGGCGAAGCCCTGTGCGACCGAAGGGAGCTATCATGGCACTACTACGACACACTTTAACACCAAACTGTCGACATGCATCAACTGCACACGCAAAGTAATTCTCGTAACCACAAACAAAAACAAAAAAAGAGAATTACGAAGCACTTTGATCTAAAACAGTGTCGCGACATTAACTTCATCAGCCGAAGAGGCATTGCACGTTAAGCGACCGGAGGGAGTGTTGGGAGGCACGACCAATCAATGTCCGGGGACAGAGTTGGGGATACTCCACTTTTGTCCGGAAGATTTCAGGGTTGTAGGAGAGACTTTTTCAGGGTTGACTGTGTAAAAACAGGCGGCGAACAGATATAATTTGTATAAGCCGCCCGTCACCATCGCCCCAACCCAACCAAAAAAAAAAAGATGGGACGGCGAAATGAGCTGGTCCGAGCTTGCGAGGGTCTGCGAAGTGTTCTATTGGCTGCACGACGGAGGAGTGGGTCTGATGGGGAACGAATCAGAACAGCCAGATAATGGGTTGGAACCCATACAACCGAGGGAGGAGGTTTATCCAGAGGATCTTTCGCAGGGACAAGAAAGTTTCTTTTTTCTTCTGCAACGCAGCAAGAAGGTTACGACGGCGGAGTAACTGACCCATAAGGGAGTACTAAGAGCATTGCGAAACACACTCGACGATACAACAACAGTAGTGCGGGAGAGCACGTAAGTCGGAGACAGCATTTCAGGATGGAAGGACAGTTGGTTCTGGTGACGAACAGAGTGAAGCCGCTAAGGGACGAAGAGCAGGACACGAGCAGCGCGGGTCAGTGGTATGACGTAGGGGAGGGACGACAAGTTAGTGATGACGGAGGACATGCTTTGCTTAGGCATCTTGGTTCGAAGAAACAGTGTTTGGTAGACTCGGCAGCCTGGTGGTGTCGAAGGTGTTTTGTTGTGGAGTGGACAGTGGACTGTTCCATCTTTATTGACAAGTTTTGGCAGGCAGTTAGCCGGCCGATCGCACATGTGGTGCAGAAGTCGTGGGGCATGCGATGTTCTTCTTTCGAGGATCGAAGGTGGCAGTTGTACCGCTTCATGGTCTTGGTGCGGTTACCGTTGAGCGGAGCAGCTGGTTTGGACGACGAGATCAAGGATTGGTTTCAACATCCGGACGAAGTATTTCCGGAGGTCACTGTCAGTCAGTTCTATGCTGATGTTGCGCCGTGTGATGATCAGCAGCGATATCATTTTCTTGGTGGTTGGTCAACCAACATCGTGAGCCATGGAAGGGTGATATATGGACGTCAGTTGGACCTGGAAGATATGGGTTTGAGTAATCTTTGTCGAGAGTTGAGTCCGTCGTAGTGTGTGCGGACGGGAATCGCTAGAATATTCGGCGGTGTTGTCGAGAGTTTTTGGTAATGCAACAGCACAAGGTTGAGACACGTGCACTCGGTGATAACTACCTGTGATGACAGTACTGCAGGCCGTAAGGTCGTAGGGTGGTGACACTAAATACAGTGGACTTGAGCAGTAAAGTACAGAAGGTAGCCACTAAAAGACAGTGATGCGAAACCCTAACAACACAACAACAGAGCATCACGCATACCTCAAGCAGACACTATCTTCATACATCCCAGCATAACACTCCTAAAGATCTCATTCCATTCTTAAAACCGGGGTTCGGGGCGGAGCCCTGAGTGAGCGTAGCGAACCTTCATCACAGTACTACGACACAGCACTAATTGACAATCCTGCGACACACTTTAACCACAACAGCTGAGTAGTTCCACACAACAAAAAACAAAAAAAGGAGAACTACGAAGCACATGCATTCCACACAACGACCTGCATTAATTAAAGTCATACGAATAATGGCGATGGGGGCGCCGAACGAGTGCAACGAGTGAGGTTGCGAGGGACGAGCAATGGCCGAGCAGAGCGAGACGTTGGGGACAAAGTTGGGGACAGGCCCACTTTCGTCGTCAATTCTCAGGGTTAACTGTGAGGATTTCTCAGGGTTAACTGTGCAAAACGGGCGGCTGATCACTTATAATTTGTATAAGCCGCCCGTCACCATCGCCCCAACCCAAAATTTAGATGGGACGGCGCATTGACCACCAGAGCGAGCCTGCGAGCGGAGGTGGGAAGTGTGATTGGACGCACGAGGGACGAGTGGGGTGAGGAGGGATCGACGAATGAACGGAGTGGATTAGTGGGTGCGGACCCACATAATGACTGACGGAGGAAGATATCCAGCGGATTTTCGAGTGGGCGACAAACTTTCTTTCTTTTCCTTCTTCGTAAGAGCAACGCGGGTTCACACAACAACATGGCAGCATTTGGTTATTCCGGTCGTTATGGACGGAAGGGTTTTCGAGGGACGAGACCGTACTACCGGAGGTTTACTCGATTCAGCCCGTACAAGAAGTGGAGCGGTGGTCGATGGGGTCACCGTGGTGGCAGCAACAGGAAGACGAAGAGCGGCAGCGGGAAGCTGCTTAGCCGGATTACTGCGCTCGAGAAGAGGCAGAAGGATGGCGAGACATCCAAGTTGGAGCTTGACTTGGCGGTGCGCTTGTCGACCTATTGGGGCGGACCACTGAGCAGCAGGAAGTACTTTGATCTTCCCATCACGGCTATCATGAGGGAGTACATGAAATGGATCAAGCGGACGAAGTTGGTTGTCAGTGGGGTGAGCATTGAGATGCAGGTTGAGAACTCGCACGAGACGGAGTTGCTGTTGTGTGGCATATTGCGCCCATTGGTTATGGGTGTACCGCCTGGACAGGTGGTTGCGCGACACGGTGGTGGGAACATGTTCAACTTTGTCGGTCGAGGGTACGAGGAGAAGCCGATCTTGATGGGACCGGAGGAGGATCGTGTCCAGGCTATGGTGCAAGGTGTTTTCTCGAAACCTGCTGTGGATGGTTCCTTCTTTGGTGCCGGTATGGACAACGTGAAGGATTGGCATGTCAGACAGTGGCAGGTGAAGCGTGGTTTGGAGGAGCAGCGCACTACTCGACACCGGCAGTTGCGTCTGAGGTTTAGCGAGTCGCGGAGTGACAAGCTTGGCAGTTCCGTGAAGAGTGAGAGTGTGCGAGTGTATTGTGCGGTGGATAGGGAAGTGGGTACTTCTGTCAACGAGGTGGACTTTGTTCTTTTTGGTGGTTTCCGCAACCCATATTCACTGCCGATGACGAGTGGAAAGGAGGAAGGGTATGTTGGTGCTTCTATCGCTAACGCACGCTTGACGATTTACTATCGGGCTTGAGTTTCATAGTTTCTAGTTTGCAGTAGTCGTTATCTCGTATGTCAATGTTAGTCGCTTTGTCTGTTCTCAACACCACAGGACTGCTAACATGATCCCCAAACAAGCCACATGACACGACCTCTAGTTGATTCCATTCTCTTCCGCGGGGTTCGGGGCGCAGCCCTGAGTGACGAGCGTAGCGAGGAACAATCACCATACTCATACGACCAACATCCACCCACAAACAGCAGACATCTCCCCCAAAAAAACAAACAACAAAAAAGAGATGTCGAAGCACTTTCACCACAGTCAGACGAAGGAAGGCCAAGGGGCGGCCGAACGAGTGCAGCGAGTGAGGGTCTGAGGGACGAAGACTGATTGAGCGGAGCGAGATGGGACGGAGTGACCAATGAGGTGCTGGGGAGCAAACCTCATTCTTGCCAGCAAAAGTTGGATTTTGGGTCCCAACTTTGAGGGTTAACAGTGAAGGACTTTTCAGGGTTAAGTATGGCAAAACAGGCGGCGATGCTATTATAATTTGTATAAGCCGCCTATCCCCATGGCCCCAGCCAGCTATTGGGCAGGTCGCGTGAGAGTTATTCCGGACCGAGCTTGCTAGGGAGGAGAACTGTGGTGACCGCTGGGCAGGGACCCCTGACGATGTGGATCGTCACTACCAATGGCAGTGGGACGGCTATCCGTACCCACAGTTACGTAAGATATAGCTAGATAGATTGGAAGTAGTTACCAGCTTACCTTGGTACTTCGACACAATCATCACAAATCAATCAATCAGATCCTTGTTGCTCATGCATACGTCGGTCACCACAAGAACGATGTGGTACGTCAGCAGCGAAGGAGGGACGAGGGAGATGCACCGAATGGAATGAGGGGAGCGGAGCGGGGGAAGGACACCAAGCGGGATCGGTTGGTTCAGAAGTGTGGCCACACTTTCGAGGGAGGGAGGACCGAGGTTTTTGATTGGAGCAGGATGCGAGTCAGATGGAATGAAGAGGGATGGATTCCCTCGTACTGAGAAGGGTCGACCCTTATTTCTCGTTGATTGCCCGGCAACTAGAGGCGGCGTGGGGAACCTGTATGCGATGGGCGGACAGCCGGGGGATGAAGTTCGCCCCGGAAAAGAGCGAACTCATCCATTTCAACAAAGGGCGACGGCAGTGGACCGAACAGGTAAACCTTGCCAACCCAGGGGGAGGCACTAGCCCCGTTAAACCAGAAGGATCTGCCAGGTTCCTGGGAGTCTGGTTGGACTGGAAACTCAACTGGAAGGCCCACCTGGTGGCGGTGGAGAAGAAGCTGAGGACCCAGAGCTATGCCCTGTCGAGGATCGTGGCAAAGACATGGGGAATGGGGCTAGCCGAAGCGCGAGAAGTGTACACAAAGTGCATCCGGTCGGCGCTGGCCTATGGCGCATCATCGTTTCACATCCCCACGGATGTGGGAGGCGAGCCGGTAAAGAAAGGCATCACTAAGGCCCTCGGGAAGGCCCAGAACAAGAGCTTGCGGATTGTGGCGGGAGCCTTTAAGTCTACCCCCATCCGTAACCTCGAGACAGAGACATGGGTACCACCACTGGACTTGTACCTAAACAAACGGCTTGCAGATTTCGAAAACCGACTCCAACGACCCGATCTGGACGACGGTCAAGGCGGCAAGAAGACGGCGGCGAGCGTTGTCCTCACCGCCTGCCGCAAGATACAGCAGAGACTTAGCTCGAGGAGGGGCAACAGGGGCCGACCGCGAACCTTGGGACCTCAGGGGCCTACGGCGGTGGAGAGAGCCGCGGGCACGGTCATGCGCTGGACGGGGAGAACCGTTGATACGAACAGGGTAGTAGAAGAGGCTTGGAAAGCGAGGTGGTTAAAGGAACGGGACGGCAGGGCAATCACCAGGCCGGCGGACGACTTTGACCTTCAGCAGGAGACGCTATTCCGGAACGAAACTCTAAGGAGGCACGACGGTCTCAGCAAGGCGAAGAGCTCACTGCTGATTCGAATCCGGACGGGAGCAATAGGCTTACGGGACTTCTTGTTTACACGGGGAGTCCCGGAGGTTCTGACTCCTGCCTGCGAGTGTGGCGAGGGACGAGAGACTGCCGAACACCTGGTAGTGTGGTGTTTGGGCTCACCGTTGACTCGAAGATAGGAGAGAACTGGAGTTCGGACACGATGGAGTTTTACTCTGTCTACACGGCATCAACTCCACGACTGCACGGCTCGCGAGGAGAGTTCTCGACTGGCTGATGGACTCGGGGAAGCTGCCGATGTACAACTTAGCCAGGAGGCTCGAGCTGGAAGCGGCGGCCTGAAGCGCCCCGTTCGGAGGCCAGGAGGCCTCCTCTCTTTGTATACGCAGACTCACCAGAACGCATCGTTCCTTGATTGTTGGTATGGATTTTTCACCCGGCCCGGGAGGGCAGGGTTTTCCCGTACACTAAATAGCTGAGGGTCCGGCACGCCCTAGGGCGTAGCGGAGTATGAATAATAATAATAATAATAATAATAATAATATGAACTACTGGCTCACCGGTAACAAGCGGTTGTTGGCCGGCTTACTAAAAATGAACGGTTTGCTTCGCTAGCGGCTCTTATCACCGCACACTTGATTTGTCGGCATGTTAGACATTATCAACGTAGGAGTTGGCACCAGGGCCCCTATTCAACTATGTTCAACCTAGGCAGCCCTCATCTAGAATATACATAAAACAAAACAAAAAAAAATCTCAGACACAACCCGCTCACTCAGGCCACCCGAAAACCTCCCCTATCGCCACCGTGTTGCACCTCACACCCGCCAGGGACACCACGATCCCCACCACATCCACCACCAGCAGCACCACGGCCGCCACCATGAAGCGCGGGCCAAACACGCGGTACAGCATCAAGTGCCGCCGCAGGTGGCCCGCCCACGCCATGGTGGCCAGGCTCTCGACGGCAAAGTAGGTCACAAACACGCCCAGCGCGCGGCTGACGGCCTCGAGCACCCCGCGCCGCCGCGGCCCGGCCTTCCACAGCACCAGCAGAGGCACCGCCGCCGCGGCCAAGATCTGCCCCGCGAAGGTGTTGAGCGCCACCACTAGCGGGCTCCACGGGTACCGGATCGTGAACAGCGGGATGAAGGCCGCGTCCCATTGGATGGTGCTGAGCACGGCCTGGTGGCCCGTCTTGAAGAAGTGGAAGGTGCCGAGCACGGCGAGTATCACGGGCCCGATCGGGGAGGTGGTCAGGTTGTTGAGGTCGAGGATTTCGAGGAGTGCGAGGATTTGCCAGGCCATGAGGCCCAGTGCGCCGGCGCCCATGGGCTTGGAGAGGAGGATGCAGGCGGCGAGGAGATTGAGGGGGAGGAGCAGGTAGCGGGCGCCGTGGGCGTTGGCGTAGCCGAGGATGGCGACTTGCGCGCGGGTCGGCTCGCTGGGTGAGGCGGAGGTGACGATGGAGACGCAGGGGGGCGCCCAGACGAAGGCGGTTGTGCCGGCGACGAGGGCGAGCCCGAGGATCATCTGGGCGGTGTAGACGTTGAGGTTTTTGAGGGTTTTGTCTGGGAGGCCGGGGATCCAGTTGCCGTTGTCGGCCGCGTCGAGGAGCCAGTACAGGGCGGCCATGAAGAGGCCGGTGCGGAAGACGTAGCCGATCCAGGCCGGTGCGAGACCTTCGTAGGACCGGGTAGGCTTGAGATAGGCCTTGAGGATGGACGGGAGAATGACCGAGACGAGGAAGGGGATGATCAATTGCCACGGGGCCGACGTGGAGGTCGTGGACGAGGCATAGTAGGTCGAGGTGCAGTATGGCATCTGCTCCTCGCGGCAAAGCTTGGAGAAGGAAGCAACGCGGCCGAGCAGGGCGAAGACGACGGAGTGGTAGATGGCCAGGTAGCGGTCTGCCTTGGAAGGAATCTTGAGTGCCGATAGGGCGCTGACAAAGCCGAATGTTGTGATAAAGAAGAGGAGGATTGAATCCTCCCAGATTGTGTACGAGTTGGACGCGAAGCCGATAGACTGGCTAACCGTGAAGACGACTGCCATCCAGCCCCAGGCCGTCCTGGGGAAAAGGTTGATTATCGTCTCCTGGAACTCATACATGGATACGAGAACGGCACCGATGCTCGTCAGAGCGGCAATGCCAGATCCGCGGTACCAGTCGCCAGCCCCTGAGACGAAGGAGGAGATAACTCCGCCAAGGAATCCAGGGGTGGCGCCGAGGAGAGCAGCAGAGATCAGACGCCTCTCGAGAGAGTCAGAAGGGGTTGCCGATGCGTCAGGTTGTACGCCTTGTAGCTCCAAGCTCTTCTCGGCGAGATCCAACTCCTCGTCGTCAATGGCATCGTCGTCTACTCCCTTAGAGATGTAAACGAGGAGCGCGATAACCCCGAGTGCCATGACCGCAATGCCGATAGCCATATTCTTGAGGTCGAACCTTGCCCACAGACCCTTGCAGATCTGCAAGTTTTCTTCCTGATACGCAGCGAATGCCGAAAAGATGGCTTCCCAATCCTGCTTCTTCCCCTGGGAGATAAGACTCTCGGCTTTGTTCCAGAGTTCATTGGGAGAACCGGGGCCGGAAGACTGCTCGATTCCCCGGGCGGCGAAATAGGAGGATTGGTAGCGCTTGATACCAGCCGCCGCCGTTCTCTCTGCCGCAGCGAGGTTGGCCCAGGAATTGCCAGCGGCGCCAGCAAAAGCCTCTTCGATCGGCCTTCCCAGGTTGTTGAAGGGAATGGGAATACCCATCAGCATTGCCAACGTGGGAACGAGATCGATTTGGTTGACGGGACGAGTCTTAGCGGTGGCCGGCGGTGTAACATACTCCGGCTTCGTTCTGCCAAAGATACCCTTGGGGGAGTACATCCATAGCGCAGCCTCGACTTCGTCTTCGCTCTCGCCACCGTGGTCCCCCTTGCTGTCCATTCCGTGGTCCCCCATCACAATCAGAACCGTCTTGTCGTCCATAGTGTCGGCCAGATCCCGGATAAAGCCGTCCATCTGGCGCAGTTTCTTGGTCATCTCTGGGTGGTTAGGCCCGTAACGGTGGCCAGCGTGGTCAACACCAAGGCAGTGCCCGATAAGAACGTCCCAGTCGTTCCTCTTCTCCATGACCGGGAAGATCTGCTCAATGACTCCATTGTCGACCGTATGTAAGTCCCAAACATTGAAACTGTCGTACGCCCGGCTCAGGTTCCCCTCAAAGTACCCCGGAAACAGCGCCTCCCACGTATCGTCTCCCAGGTGAACAATCTTCTTCCCCGCATCCTTGAACTGCATCAGCAGATTATCCTCATCGATTGCCGTACCCGAGAAGCTGCTCCCCAGATCCACAAACGTCGGCAACGTCCCCGTCGTCAATCCCTTCAACCGCTGCAGCGTCGTAGTCGGCGGGTCCGCAATAAACGGCCGCAAGAAGGCCCTATTCGGCTCCCTTACCGCCGTCTCCCACAGAAACGGAAACGCATTATGGAACGCCTCGTCATCCTCCACCGGCACCGCAAAATCATACCGCAGCGCATCAATCACCACCACCACCGCCCGGTCAAACGTACGGGGGTGCCAACACCCGCCCTCCACCGTCCCCTTGCCCGGCCACGCCGGCAACAAACCCCCATCCGCACCCGCACCCGCACCCGCACCCTCACCAGCCGCACCCCCCAGCCCCGTCGGCGGCGCGGCACACGCCGACTTCTCCTCCAGCACCAGGCGCGTCAGCAAAAACCCGCTCGTAAAGTAGGCGATGCCCACGGCATGCACACACAACAGCCAGGCCCAGAAGGCGGCGGTCCACCCCCAGCGGGACTGGTAAGCCCTGCGGCGGGCCGACTCGAGGCGGGCGCGGGTGCGCTCGCGGGCCGTCATGCGTTCCTGCTCTTGTGCCATGTCCTTTTTTGCTGCTGCTGCGGCGGCGCCGTCGTCGGTGCTGCTGCTGCTGGTGCCCTTGAGAAGGCGGTCGGCGTCGGCGACTTCCTTGGCGCGCTTTGCGGCAGCCCACTGCGCGGCGACGGTCTTGTAGTCGGGGAGGGGGGGGGCGTTTTTCGGGGGCGGTTTTGGTGGTGGCATGGTGGTTTCCGGGAGGGATTCGCTCGCTCGTTCGTTCGTTCCTTGGTTGGTTCTGAGATATCGAAAAGGGAAAGGGGTTGGAACGTGGTATTAAGTAACAGGGCGTAGCGTAAAGGGGCGGTCACAGATAGGTGACGACAAAATTGCGAAGAGAAGGAGGAAAGGGAAAGTCAAGGAATGAGGAAGAAAACCACCAATTGGTGCTGGGTAATGCTCAGGGGGAAAACCCGGTGGCCATTGGACTCGCGACTGTTTAGAAGCGAGTTGCGCAGGGGAAGTGAGGATGCGCCATTTCAAGAACTGAAATATCTGGAGGGATCGGGAATTTCTGAGCTCCAGCGAGACGCGAAGGTATCTCCACCGTCATTTGGCATTACCCTAACCCTAAATGGCCATCAAGGTTGGCTCTTCTCGAGGCTCAGTAAGGTACTTCAACATCAGCACTACAGAGGGTTGAGGGCTGGGAAGTTGACCAAGAAATGACCTAACCCGGTGCCTTTTATGGTTCCCTTATTATATGGGACCTTTTCTCCGAGCTTGGCCACGGAACCAGGAGGAGACTGGGCCCATGATGCTTGGCCCCAAATCGAGCATCGGAGAGAATGGTTCGAAAAAAACCGCCTGATGGCAGAAGTCGAATAGTAATTATACAATACGAGAATATGTCCGTACAAATATGCCACAAGCCCACCCAACGCTGTCGCCAATGGCGTGCTAGATATATAGTCGCGCTCCTCTCATCTTGATGCCGGTAGCACCAACCGTCGAATATAAAACCCGGGTGCTGCAGCGCCATATCCTGGATGCGAATGGGCTCCGTTTTCCATGTCTCCGGCAACACCCCCAGCCCCATCCCCCTCCCATCCCCGTTCCCCTGCCCACCCCCCCTGCCCAAAAAAAATCAAATCCTCCCCGGCCGGTGTTGAGATGCCAGGGTAGGACGCCGAAACACGCGAATTAGAAGTAGAAGAAAGTAGTGGCCGGCGCGTGTATGGTGGTATCTCTTTTCGTGTCCCTGTCCGTTCATCGCAACGCCACACGCCCATCAAGTCGTAAGGAATGCCAGCTCGCTGGCTGGTCGAAGGAGAAAGATCGTTGGGTCCCCGTAGGAAGTCGCTCAAATGTCTGACTCATGCAGCGGCTTAATGGAATTCCTTCTCTTTCAGCCCGCCGATCTTGTCCATGTCGATGGAGTAAAACTGCGTCTTGCTCTCCTTCTCGTAGGCGGGCAGCTGCTCATCGTCCAGAGGCTCGAGGCCGACGCTGGTCTCGCCGACCCTGACGACGACCACCCGGCCGCTCTTCGGTCGACCTTGGTCGTCCTGCTCGTCAGGGAATGTGATGTGGATCTCGGGGACGTTGTCTGGAGAGTGAGGTGGCGACTGGGGGTTGGCGAGCATAGGCTGGCCGTTGTTGTCGACAACGATAACGCTTGACCGACCGTTGCCGGTCTGGATGGTGAGTCGCCGGTGGTTACCCGTCCGCTTCACGTCGTGGTACTGGGGCAGCGTCTCGTTCATCATCTGTCTTTGCCTGCGCTTCCTCCGCAGCAGGACGAGGAGCGCAAAGGCCACGAGGCCGACAAATACGAGAACGAGAAGGGCGATCAGGATGTTAACCGTTTTGTTGTTGTCCTTCTCCTCGTCGCCTCGAGCGACGATCCTCGTGAATGAGTCCATTGTGGATAATGAATGTGAGTATTTATTTCAAAAGAATGGTGTTCGCGGAAAGCTGGGAGCTAGCTGTAAAGCGATCGGATATGGACTGTCGAAGCTATAACCCGAAACGATCCCATGGTCAGCATTACGGTCTCCCTTTCCCCTCCTGTCCCTTGAAAAGGGCGCCAGGCGGGTGCGGTACGAGAAAAAGGAGCCAACCTACTTCGTACCCCAGGGCTGTTCCTCGAGGGCTAGGGTTTTGCCGAACTGGATCTCGCGCGTGACTCGGGGAATTGCATCGATGAAAAAAAGGACGGGACGGAGATCGACTAAAAGAATGAAGTCGATGCCAAAATTGCTTCCCTAGATCGGGAGGAGGAAAGAGTGACAGAAAGAACGACGAATGCAAATTCCCTGAGCCCTGACGCCGGTGAGAGATGTCGAGATGGGAAAAAGAGGAGGTGAGGAGAAGGAGCCAAGGTAGTAGGCGCTGCCTTGCAACAAGTACCGCCCACCGCTCGGTCAGGGGGAGCACACAAGCGCTATCCCAGCAAGCGAAATCGCTGAATTGGGATGAACCGCCCCATGGATCAAACCATTGCCCAATCGTATTGTTCCTGGGCTCACATGCGGGCGGGTCTCAATTTGAGAGCTGCCCAATCGATCCCTGGCCATGAGCTGCAGATTCTGGCCCGTGCGTGAAAAACGGTCGGACTGGCAGAGATCTTCACAGGAGCCGTGGGCCGGACGAGTCTGGCCGGCCAAAACCAAGCCTTGTTTTTAGAAACTTCTCCGGTCAGCATGAAGAAACATCCACTCGATGTTACCCGACTCAGATTTAGGTGGAGAAGAGAGTTGTCTTTTTGTTATCTTTTTGTTTTCTTTTTCTTTTTTTTCTTTTTCTAGCCGACTGATGATTCCAATCTGGGTAGAAACCTCAAACGTACCTTTTTCTTCTTCTCAGTTCTGTAATAACGACCGACCTCTTGCCGAAGTCAATAGACGCCCACGAGTCTCGACCCCAATCACCGGCGGCTAGATCTCTTTCTTGGGTGTCCACCACACGAGAAGCTCCAGCAAACAAGCTAACCAAATAACTAAATACTCGATCAGGCAACGGTGCAACGCAGGTCCGCCTCCCTCTACCGAAGGAAACAAACGAGTGCTAGTGAGAGAACGAATCTCCGAGGATTCTGATCAAGCAAGTATCGCAACTCACCCCGCCCCGGCCAACGCATAAACAGCCCACCGAAGTATGACGGCGTTGGGCCAGCAAAGCCAAGCAAAAGAACTTAAGGTATGTAAATCATATAAATGTATTTCTTGGAGGGAATAACCCACCGCCCATGTCCCCTTCCCGGCCTATTCCCAACCGACGCCTGCTCCTTTCTACCCATAATTCGCCGCATCCTATACCCGAATGTTCCGAGAGAAAGGAAAGAAATAGAAAAAGAGAGCAATATCTGAAACAACCCCGGCAACCCACAGCATGATTTACATTAAGATACGATGCGAACCCAGATCCCCTAACCCCAACCCCGGGGAAAAATACCGTTGAAAGCGAAGCAAAAGCAGAGCAAAGTCAATGGAGGCAAAACCCTCGTCAGTGGAGTTTGCTGGTATCGTCCATTCTATGCCGGTTCTCCGTGGAATTAAAAACGACTTAACCCGAAAAACCAGCGTAGAAAACACGAAGTGAAGCGGGCTTCCCGGAGCCCAACGAGATTTTCGCACCTGCCCGGGCCAGGGCCTCCATTCTCACCGCCGGCTATTGGCTATGAGTGGTTTCCTTTCCTGCTGGCTGGCCGCTCATGGACTCGTTAGTGTCTCCATTCAGGTATGGGGGGCCACTAGACGGAGTGCTCAGAGGGCTACTGGGGTCCATGGTCAGGTTGGGCGTAGGCGCCACAGAGGAAACGTCGACGTGTAGACCAGGCGACGTAGGGGTCGTGGAAGCCGGTGTGAAGTTGTGGCTATGACTGGTAGCCACAGACGCCGGGGCTTGTGAATCCGCGACCAGACGATCCATGGCCTCAATCTGCTTATTGGTCGCACCTGATTGTCTGAGAGATTGGAGGTGGGACGCCAGTTTATTGACCAGCACCGCCCGGTCCTCACCTTGAAGGGCCCTGACCAGTTTTTCTGACCTGTGTTAGCTGAAGAACACAAAGGTAACAAGAAGCAACTTACGAATGACGTAGTTGCCAAACTGGTCCTTCATCAACTGGAAAAGTGGACTGTTTGCATCGTCGCCCATAAGTTGATCCCGGATCGACCGCTGTTCCTCGGGGGTGCCAAGCAGAATGCATTTTTCGACAACATTCGAGGCATTCTTGTGCCTCGAAAGTGTTAGAAGCTGAGGAGTTATCACGCTAATCATGCGGCCGCGGTCCTCGGGCCTCCCTTTTTCAAGGACATGTTGTATGACGTAGTTGCCATACATATCCGTGATGAGGAGTTCGGCGCTGTCGTGCAGTTCGGACATCACGGCGGCCTTGTCCGTCTCAGTTCCGCGTTCCAGCACCCTCTGGACAACACGGCAGCCGTACTGGTGGGCGGCGAGCTCGTAAATGTGACCGTTCAAGCCGGCCATCATACAGTCGATATGCTCACGAGGTACCAGCACGATAGCTTGCTGGATCACGTGGTTCCCATGTTGGTCCTTGGCGACCTTTATGACCTCCGATTCTAACTCCTTTACCAGCTCGGTTTGCTGGTCAACTAAAATATGCTCGAAAGCCTACTCCATGTCAGTTGCAGGTGAGGGAGGGAGGTAGGATACAGGCGCCTCACCTTTTGCACGACGCGGCATGCATACGGCTGCATCGACAAGTCGACGACCTTGCCCTTCATGGCGTTGGCCAACACTTTCTTCTGCACCTGGTCCCCATACTCAAAAAGCTTTTGCATCACGTAGTTGCCGAAGACGTCCTTCATGAGCTGGACTGCGTTCGGCTCTATTTCCGCAAAGACCTGATCGCGCTCATCGCTGTTGGCCGTTTCAAGCTTCTGCTGGATAAAGCGGGAGGCCTGTTGGTCTCCGCTGAATTCTACAACGTGACTCCAAATATCCTAGTGCGCGTTAGTTAGTCCTCTCTTCCCCGTGCTGTCAGCCGCCCGACGGAGGCTTCTCACCTTCAGTTCCCATTTTTTTGATTTGGGACTGTGTTTAAACTCATGGAGTAGAACACTACGGAGACTCTTTCCCGGATCCTGGTCTCTGGCTGGACGGGTCGGAACCCCGGTAGGCGCGAAACTGTAGGGCGTGGGGACAGGATACCCCGCCAAGTGCGCGTTGTGTGCTGGCTCAAGGTATGCAGCGTATGGCGGCGGATACTGTTGGTAATTCTGCGGAAAAATGGTATTAGGAAAAAATCCGCTTGCCGGATGCTGGGCAAATTGATCGGTAAGACCTCGCCGCGCGAGCTCCGCTGCCAATCCAGGGTCCCGGGATGTCGGGCGCGACCATCCATCGGGGTTTGGTTGCGTGGCCCCCGTGAAGCTCCTAGGACTGTTCAGGCTACCACCGTTGCGGTATGTGCTTCCAGCCGGTGAATTCCGACCGGCTATCGAGCCTCGCTTCTCGAGACTCGTGCCGTTCGGGTACCCGTCCTTCACAAAACCATTGCCATACCCATTTCCATTATCCCACGGTTGTGACACTGGGTTAAATTGAAAGTTTTGGGCCGCATTGTCAAAAGATCCCATACCCGGATGGGTGGGAAGGGAGGATTCGTCGATAGACGGTCGTTGGGAGTGCATGGACGGTAGAGTAGGAATGCCGAAGGCGAAGTCGTTGAACGAATCCGCCTGAGTAGGGAGGTCTGGCTCGGCGAGGCCAGAAATGGATTTACGGGAAGGGCCGCTCCCGACTGCGTTCAATGACGCCGGTAGGGCGGCGAATCGGTGTTCGAAACTCTGGTTCGAGGACTGGCCGTCTTCCCCTTCATCGGCATAGCTCGAAAATTTGAGAGGATATTTGAAAGCGCCTTTCGAACCATCCACGGCTGCTGCCGTGGTGGGTTTGGACCCGATCGGACCTCTCTGGGTCATGGCTGGAGGGCTGTGGAAGAACTTTTGCCTCTGATTCGGGTCGTGCAGGGAGGCATCTGACCTGCCGCGAGGCGACGCGGTGTCAGGAAGGGTGCGCGCTTGTTTGGAATCGGCTATAACCCAATACGAAGTGCGCCAGGCTTCATGGCCGACTGCGGTTTCTAAAGCAGGAGGTATCCCCAAGCCGGCAGAGGCAAAGAACTCTTTCGCATCTGTAAATCCGTCAGCCGCGATTCCCCCAACTCACAGCGAAGTCCCACGCGCTGACAGACCTTTGGGTGCGACCACACGTCCAGTGTTCGCAAAAGGCCCAACAGTATTGTTGTTCCATGGCCCGGATGCTGGGGAATTAAAGATGGAGTTCCCGAGGCCTGGTTGAAAGGTGTGTGAGTCGGTTGGGGCGCTCCCGTAGTCGGAAAGCCGACTGCGTCGTGACTGTAGCCGTAAATGCCAAGGTTAGCTCATAGTATCAAGTACACGATGATCGTGATGAAGCGGCTGTGTTGCCACGGTACAATGGTTGGTCGCCGCCCCGATCTCGTTGGATAGGGAAGAAGGCGCAATGAGAGGGATGATGGGATGGTATACACGTACATTAGTCGCCATCGTGCTAGGCGATGTGTCTGTAGTTGTGCGGTAATTCATAAAGGCGGCGAAAAGCCGAGGGTATCGACGGCGTTAAGTAATGGGTACGGAAGCCTGTCCGCCCGAAGTTATGGTACTTGATGTAGTTTGGGTCGCAGAAAGCGGGATGTGCGTGACCGCGTGAATGAGTTTGTGGCGAAATCACTCGAGCACTCCGGTGCGATATACCGGGTATCGGAAAAGAGGGCTGGAAGTTGTGACGGAACTGCGCGTAGCTTGAAGGTGAGGTCAGCACACGAGAGAACCAAGTAGCTGGGAAGTGGCGGGGGGTGTCGAGGAGGATTGGCAAGGCTGATGCGTCCCACACCTAGAAACTAAGTTGGAGGAGGGAGGTGGGGAGGGGCGGCACTCGGGCTTTTGACAGGTGCTTGACGGCACAGAAGCGGGCTCGGCGGAGGTGCTGGGGGTGCATTCCGTACTGAGCTGAGTGCCGTGGGTGTGCGCTAGACGGAGTATGGAACTACTGCTGCTGCAGTCGGTTCCTCGGTATGCAACACACTTACTCCAGTCCAACCTCCATGAGTCTTGGACGACGGGAGTGGCAAAGCTCAGCGACCCACCAATACAGGAGGACACCTCTCTCAAAACCTCGCCAACATGCTCGCAAAGGCTGTGGGTGGGTGGAAAAGAGGGGGAGGGGAATGGAAGTCGATCGCAGGTTGCGTGCACAGAGGAGTGAAAGAACCAGATGCAAGTTGGGGAGAATGAATGGAAGAGTGAGCTTACCTTGGAGCGACGGTTTTCGCTGTCCCACCAACCTCGCGAGTGGAGGTTGTCCCGCTGTGCTGCTTGCGAGCTTGCTTTCTGGGGGTCGCAACGACAAGGAGGGGCCTCCTGTTATCGAAACCGGGGGTGGGATTGGCTGAAATGCGCCGCGTCGAGTCTGGACGAGCACACGACAAGGGGAAGGAGAGGTGGAGGCCGAGGTCAGGTTGTTACCTGGACCTTACCTTTTAAGTCGGTGGGACCGGGGTCGATGTTTAAGATCCAGGACAACGTCGGTTGGCGGATCCAGCAACCCCAAAGAGGGAGGTTTGTGGGGGATGGGGAGTCGTCTCAAGTCGGTGGGTGGCCTTTTTTTAGGGGATCTTGGAAGGCCGGGCCCAGATGCGGCGTTCGCAGGACTGGGTCAACTCGATCGAGTGCAGCTTCGCAGGGCACGGCGGCGCAGGGCAATTCCGTGCAGGATCTGAAAGTCGGATTGCGATTAGGACCGTCGGTGTTGGATGATTGTCCGTTGACCGAGCAATCAATCGGCCTCAATGACGGGATTTTGATGGAGGAATTGCTGTTAGAAGATGGGGTTTGAGATTCCTAGCAACGGAGCTTGGAGGAATGTGGGATGCGGGCACTGGGGCTGCGCTGGACTCGAGATGACAAAAATGTCTGGGCGAGACTCGTTCGAGGGCGCTGGCTGATCTTGGCTCGGCTGGCTGGGTGGGGCTGCTTGTTGCTTGCGTGCGGGGACCGCCTGAAAATCGGGGGAGAAAAAGAAAAGAAAAGAAAGAAAGAAAAAGCCGGGCTGCTCGGTGCTGCTCGGTGACACCAGCTGGTGCAACAGCAACGTCAATCGGCCGTTGTCGTTTTTTTTTTTTCTTTGTTCGTGCCGTCCCTTTTCTCAAATCCGTGGGACCGCCCGGTCGGCTTCCTGATGGCTGTGCACCTGAAACCAGCGGGAACTCGTTTCCGCTGTTTCTTGTCGATTTCGTGCAGGAAACATGCGGCAGAGCAGATCGCACCGTGCTCAGATCCGACCGTTGGGAAGCGCAAGCGCACTCGGTTACCTCCTCGAGTCGGCCTGTGGAGACTAAATCGAGCTGAAGGTGGTCTGTTGGTTGGCTGACTTTGCCGTTATGTCGTTGGGCGTTGGCTGTGTTGAACCTCAAACCGCCTAAGTGGGCTCTTGGCCGCGATGAAGGGCAAGCGAACGATGATCCGAGAGGCACCGACGCCAGGGAATGCACGCCCAAATTCGTGCTGTGCCGCCGCTCGCCTGCAATTGTTTGTTAGCGGTGACGGGGCATCCATATTATTGACCAGGTTTGGGCTTTTTAAGGGCCACCAACACTCTCGCAAACGAACGCCGCACTTCGCTTCTTGGGGCGTTCCGATCGATGATGTTTGGGGGCGGGAGCCAATTCGGGAACTCAAACAAAGCGACGAGGGAAACTAAGAGGAACAACAAGTCGAAGCGTGGTTCGAGTGTATGTATTTGTAGGAATGCAAAAAAGCCAGGGTGATCCTATGTGCAAACACGTACATACATTTTCGAACTTACACTTTGAGTCGGCCTCCCTGGTGTTGCGCAAACTTTGGGGCCAAGGACGGGTCGACTCCCTGGGCTCAACTCAAGGGGCTTCGCGCCGCTCTTGTATCTGGTTGGGTGGAATGGATCCTGTCTTGTATTCCTCATGCCTGGTGTCTCACTAGAAAACAGAAAAGACCTAGCGTGTATCCTATCTGGCATAAAAAGACACACACAAAGGCCGTTTCGGGGGGGTACGGGGTCCTCCAACTCGCGTGTAAGTGCGAGGAATCGATCCAAATAGGAGACAGAATCTAGCGTCAGATAACGCAATGTTATGGTAGCGCCGTAGCTTGTGCTCCCCCTCAACCTACTCTGGCGATCTATCCTATCACTGGCATGGGCAATCCGGAGGGTCACGGAACTTAGTGCTGCTTTGCATGTGCTGTGCTCGGGCGACTTCTTGATTTGTGTCCACCTCGAGGCAAGGGATGAAATGCTCTCTCCCCGAGAGGAGTTGCACACTCACCACTAGAATGAAGGAATGCCTTTCATCTCGGTTGCCACGAAGGGCCGAGAAGTCTGAGCGGATCAACACACACATTGTCTCGAGTCCTCTTTTCCTCCCTACTTCATCCCAGCATCCCTCTCCGGATACCGGAGGGGGCTGAGCTCGGAGTAGACCAAGTCGCCTCCCGCGTCGTGACACCTGCCCGATGCCACCGATTCTGTCCGCTAATATGTTTACCAGTTTCAGGAAGCAAGCGCAGCTCGCCCTTGTGCCACGCTCTTACCTACCTTTGGGGGTGATTCTTGCCCCAGGCCTATCACGTCTCTAAGGAGGGTTCCAAGTCAAACGTTGCACAGCCCGCCAGTCTAAGACGTTGCCGGTGTCCGGAGCTTCGTCGTCCTATGCTTGACAAACGCCGCACCGTTATGGGACGTTTGCGCCCCTGGCCCAACGTGCCCCCGGGTTGGGCTTTTTGTTGCTGTAAGCCGCGCACGCCTCATCATGCATGGTATTGTCAAGTTGGTTGATCAGTTGGCTGCCCGGAGTGCAGCGCCGTTTCAGAAAATGGCAACAAACTGCGGCACCCGGAAAAGAGCAGGTAAAAATGGAAATACCGACGAGGCTACACCACCCGAAAGGTCGGCCGGGTTTGCCTTTCTCGTCACAATTACGGGCAGGCGTCTTCTTAAGTTCCCTCACTCCGGCATCACGCAACCGAACAGGCTTTGTGAGGCTCGCCGAGTTCTTAGTTCCCATCAATCGTTGGCCTTAATCCTTGCCAGAACCATCGAAGGTCAGTCTGGGACTTGGATCATGACCCTCATAGCAGCCAAGGGGCGTCCTCAGACTTCTCATCGGGCCCTAGGTTTTCCTCCTGTGGGCGGTACAGCAAGTCAGCCGTCCTCGCAGTGATAATATCAATTGTTAGCCGTGGTTTCTCCACCCCTTTCGCCGCGGTCATGAGGCAAACGAGCCGTTCCCTCCCTCTTTCCCTTTCATTTCCTTTGGATGAAAAGATGTCAGACCGAGACATAGGTAGCGCCGGGGAGGACCAAAACTTGCTTGTGGTCGTCTGCCATACGGCCCTTAATTTGCGTCCAGCCACCCGGCGTGATCCCGCGACGTTCTGTTGCACCATTGCATCGGAATCATCTGTGAAACTTCAATACTGCGATACAACGACCGTGATGCCATCTCGAAGCACGGAAAGGATCATGACGTGGTAATGGGCGCAAAGGCGTCATGATTGCAATACCGCAGGGCCAGGAACCTTTTTCTTCCTTTTATCTCTTCCCCCCCTAACAACACTTCTTCGCGCAGGAGCCCCGTGGTTTCCCATCCTGAAATTTGCTGCTCGAACAAGCTGGCTGAGTGGGACGGAGGGTGGAGTGCGCACTCTTCCCGCAGCATGAAGCTGGCCGATGTCGCCATGAGCAGGCGTTGTGAGTCACCGCTGAACTTGTGGCAGCCCGCAACTCGAGAAAAGGTCTTCATCACGATTTGGGTAAGAGCCATTTCCCCAATTTCCGAGACGAATTAAACCAGCAGGACCTTTAAGAATATAGAGTTGACAAAGACGGCCAACGGATAATGGAGATTAGAAAACGGGGGAGGGAACATGACATGGTGTTCGTGGCAAGAAACGTTAGTACGAGTCACATCAGGCTTCAAAGAGGAGTGGGAACCATGCGATATTTGGACGATACCCGTAATACCGACAAAACGCCATATCCAGACGGCAACAGAATCACCACCTCCCCCATGCCCGGTATCAGACTTATTCACCAGAAATCCATGCTCACATGACGATACGCTCTCAGACCCCACCAAGCACATCTTCCTCCTTCCGGAAACGACAATAATGATATCACCAAGCCAATGCTTTCGGCTCTCTCAAGTGAGAAGAACCATGAGATGCCCAACGTGTGACCCCTCCTCCGATACATGTCCTCGATATCCCCCGTGGAGCAATTTATGCTCTTGACCTTTGACCTCCCGGCCAGGTCAGGTTCCCACTAGTTTGCTCCTTGAGTTCATGATCCTCCACAAAAAAATACAGTTACCAATTAAGTCGTCTTCTTCCTGACGACTCCCCCTACTTCAGCGCCGTCGCAAAACGGTGCATGACAATCTTCGTTTCGGCCCCAGCCTTGTGGTGCTGGTAGCCCTTGGCCCAGTCGTATCCCATGGCATAGGCCATGCCCATGCCATCGCGAGTAAAGCTGACCGCCGTGACCGGGCTCGAGACCTTGGGAAACGAGCGCAGGCGGTTGCGGTTAAGCACGTCCCAGATGGAGAAGGTGCCATCGGACCCGGCCGTGGCGAACACGTCCTTGTGGCCTGGCGACCAGGCCACGTCGTTGACGGCGTAGCTGTCCGTCGCGTTTCTCTTGTTGGGGACGGCCTCGCGATGGCACTTAAACGACAGGTTTGCGAGACTAGCAAAGTTAGTTACCGAAGTAGATTGGGGGTAGTATGAGAGAGAACATACCTTAGATCCTTCTCGTCGACGACTTGAGCAGCTGCACGCCCCGCAATAGTACCGATCGCCCAGCGGGTGCCGTCGGGGGTGACTGAGACGGCGGTGGTCTGATGAGGAATGGGGGATGCGATAGACTTCCATAGTTTAAGCGGGTTGTCGTGGAGATTAACGAGGTGTAGATGGTTTTCGGCGGTGCCAATGGCAAGCACAGAGCCGCCGGTATCCATGGCGTAGACGCGCTCGGGCAGTTCCAGCGCGCCAATGGGCTGTGGCTGGCGCATGTCCCAGTAACGCACCGTCCTGTCCCAGGAACCCGAAGCGATGATGGGGGCGTTGGCGGAGGGGACGTTGACGAAGCGGACGGTGCGAACGGGTGAGGTGTGGGCTTCTAGCGTCATGGTCTGGCTCGAGTTGAGGTCCATGAGATGAAGCTTCTTGTCTGCCGACGCGCCAACGGCGATGGTTCCGTCCTGAGATGGAGTTAGTTCTGATGCCGGTGCGACGCTGCATTAGTGAGTTCAAACTTGCCTATTGGAACCGTTCGTATTTGTTCGTTCGCCAGATTTGAAACATCCTCCTCGATCGATCGGGAGCTGTGGGATTAGATTCATGTCGGACTTACCTTGTTGAAATCGCAGTCGAGGACGGGGGAGCCAACGGGAATGGCGGCGACGCCCTTGATGGTGTCGCTTGAGGTCGTGTTGGTCGCATCATAGATGTAGACTTTACCATCCCAGCTTGCGGCCGCCAAGTGGTTTGACACAGGCGACCAACGCAATGCTGAGACGGTATCCTCCGGGCCCTTGGGGAAGACATACTCCTTATCCTGCTGGCTATTAGCCGCGGAGATGGTGGTAGTCTTCTTCCCATAAACCATCTTGATGTTTGTGATTTTTGTTGATTTTATTTTTGACCAAAGGTTGTTGAGAAAGCTTGGCGATGTGGTTGACAAATCGGTCAAGCCATGTGGGGTTGACTTTAAATGCTTGGTGGGGAGCTCCCAGGCAGACGTGGTCCTGTTCAGGCGCGAGGTCACAAGCGCCGTTAGTCATCACGGCTGACTAATTGTGGGACGCCTGTTTGAGAGCCTTGAACGGGCACAACGGACTTGATTTGCTCGCAGTTCACGATCTGAGCCGCTGAATTAAGCACATGAAGCACACCAGCAAGGCACTGGATGGCAGGACGGCAGTGCGCATGTCGTCCGCTGATGGCTTATTTTGACCGCACCACCAACGCTACCTAGCCATGGTGACCTCAGCGTTGCCTTGCGCCGCCTCGAACTTGCATGTTGGAGGAGGAACAATGGGGGAGTCCCACGGTTAGGTGTCATTTACTTTGGGCCAGCTCCACGACACATATCGATGTGAGTCATGTTGGCTTGTATTTTTTCTAGGATACTGCTAGATGGAACACCCATAATTATAGCTGTCTACTACCTCTGTACATACCTACCTCCTCACAGCGCTCCGAACAGTTCAATTTTTTCAGTTCAGTAGTTCAATCCAATCAATCCAATCCAATCCAATCCGGCCATTTTGGGCCTCAGTGCAATCCAGATCCAGCTCCAGGATTGAACTGAGCTCGATTGAACTTACAGGGTTAGGGTTATAAGCGACAATACTTGCCGTTATTCTGATAGTGAGGTACCGAACGTTATCGATAACTAACAGTCTCGTTGTTCAAACAGGGTCAATCGCTGTTGGATTGAACTTGCCATCATCAACCGCCCTTCGACCAGGTCCAACCCTACCGCCCAATGGCTACCTCAGACACGAGCTCTACTGCCACATCCCCGACGAATGCCGCCGTCGTCACCGGGCCTGTCGTCACCACCGAAAACAGCACCTTTTCGAGGCTTGGCCATGCGCTTTCCCTAGTTCAGCAGATCGAGGCGCTTGGGGAGGACCCTCCAGCGTCAATCGTCCCCGAGCAATGGCCTGTTGTGACCTGCAAGAAGGGCCTCAAGTACGTACCTGAAAACTGGCTAGATAAGCGGCAAGACAGGCGCTCTTGGGTGTGGAAATACGGCTTTTGCGTTGCCCTTGTCGTCGATCCAACTGGTTAGTTTTATTTCTCACAACAGCGCCCTCAACGCTTATCGTTATAATAACCGATTATTTATACAGTCAAGATGAAGGCGAAAAGCTTCCATTTCGTCTGCAAGCGATGTAGTGCAACGTTCAACGCTCAATCGACTTCGGCCGCACGAAGTCATCTCGAAGAACAACACCGTATTTTTGACGATAAACCTCACTCGAATTCGAACGACCCCCAAGCTACAACATCAAGAAAACGAGCTGCAACCAACCACAGTATTAGCGAGATGTTGAGCCGCAACAAGAACAAAAAGTCGACGGCCGTGGTTCCAAGAACCCAAGGGGAGCGCTTTCGTTACCTCCTTGTTTGTTGGATGGCTACGGCAAACATTCCGTTCGCCGCGGTGGAAAACAAGTATTACCGTCAAATACTACAGCTCTTCAACGCTCCATTAACTGACGCCCTTCTTCCAAAAGGGGGGGATACAACAAGAAGCTGGCTCACAAGTATGTATCACGATCTTCTTGATTCAATCAAGATTAAGCTCAAGGCTTCTCCACATCAGAAACATCTCTCTTTCGATCTGTGGACCTCCTCTCATGGCCTTGCGCTACTCGCAGTCGTTGTTCATTACTTTGAGAGCTCTGGAAATTATCAAACACACCTCCTGACTCTGTCACGGATTACGGGGACTCATGCTGGCGAGAACATTGCACCTGGTGTTCTAGACGTCATCAAGACGTTTGACCTACAGCCCTGCCTTGGATATTTCCAAACCGACGATGCAGATAACAACGATACGGCAATGACAAAGGTCCTTTTACACCTCAATCCAACGCTTTCCCCTGCGCAAGCCATCGCCCTCAAATGCAAGGTCCGGGTCCGTTGTTTCGGGCACATATTGAACCTTGTTGCTAAGCCTTCCTTCAAGCAACCAACAAGAAGCTCATCAAGTCCCTGGCACCGGAATCCCTGGCACACCACAACGCAGCGGAAGAGGGAAGGCTTCTTCAGGAATGGCGCAAGTCTGGCCCTATTGGAAAGCTCCACTTCCTGGTTCATCACATTCGCCGCAGTCCTCAACGCCGGGATCTGTTTTCGGATATCGCTAAGAGCAAGTTGACAGAGGAAGAACAGCAAGAATTCGGCGCTATTCTAATGGACAAGGACATTGCAAAGCTGCAGTTGCGTTCGGACAATGAGACTCGATGGCATTCAGTCTACCACATGATCGACCGGGCAATCATGTTACGTGATCCTCTGGATTATTTCGTCAACATCGTGACCAAGAAAGGATCCAGATAATATCACGAGCGATGACCAGCTTACGCCTTCAGAGTGGGTGGTGCTCAAAGAGATCCGTTGCATCTTGGAACCGTTCAAAATCATTACAAAGAAGTTTGAGGGCCGGAAACCAAACTTTGCGGACGTCGTATCACATGCCTACACCCTGCACAGGAACCTCAACGAACTCTATCAACAGTATGCCAGAACAGCCAGTCAACATCACGGTTTCCATGGGGGTCCCTGGGTTGGTATACGGCCACCGTCGCCGGCCCTGGGAAACTCTGTCAATCCCGGTCGGATGCAGTCGCTTTCGTCAGACCCAGACCCAGATATTGAACCCCCAAGTCAACGGTGGTCTGGGCCTACCAAGTCAACGGCGGTCTGGGCGAACAATCCGGCCTCCAGCTCACTTGGACGACTTTGAAGTTGACCTCCCAGCACTTGGATATCGGCCCTCTACCACAGAGCCCCACCCAGCGCCATCGCCACGCCCTCAACAGCGCGTTGTTCAACTTGGGGAGGTAATTGACGATGAAGTTGATGATACTGGGTATGCCTTTATCCAAAAGAGTCTCAAACTTGCCATTGAGAAGCTGGAAAAGTATCTGGCGATCATGGACGCCACCCCAGCTTATTGGGCGGCAATGATACTACTTCCGAACTGTAAGATGCGGTGGATCGAGCGTTTTTTTACAGATGATCCGCTTAAGTCGTCCGACATTCAAGCCCGGTTCCGGGTTTTCTTTGACCACAATTATCCTCGACCGGCTCCGGATTCATCAAACGGGTCCCGGGACACAACCTTCACATCGCCCGGCGTTTGGGTATGACTTCTATGACCCTCCGGATCGCGTATCCGTTGATGAGGTTAGTGTCTACCTCAATGAGCCGGTTCTGCCACTAGAAGAGACCCCTTATCAATGGTGGTGGCGTAATCGTGACCCACGGCTTTCCAAGATGGCATTTGAGTTGTATCTATTCCACCCTGTTCAACAGAATGCGAGAGGTGTTTTAGTGCATCGAAGTTGGCCCTGGGTCATCAGAGAAACCGCACGCACGAGGAAACCCTTTGTATGCTTCAGTGTATCAATAATTGGCTGCGGATTCTAGATAGCTAGAGCAGGAGGAACGCCAGGGAGTGGTGTGACTGTTGGGGAGACCTTTTGGGGGCTGAGCGGAACGGATCAGCTGCTTCCGGGGGGGAGGCCTTGGCAGATTGAACTAAACAGTTCAGTTCAATCTGAGGAACAGTTCAGTTCAATCGCACCTCAAAATCTTCAATCCAATCCAATCGGGGACCCAGGATTGGATTGATTGAACTGTTCGGAACGCTGCCTCCTCACCCCTAAGCGTTCTGCATCCTCTGGAACACCCAGCCGGGATACCCATCATCCAGCATCTTCTTCGCCACTTTGGTCCGCTCGTCCAAGTCTTCCTTCGGCAACCCAAGCAACCCGTTCGCCAAACCCCTCGAGCTCTCATAGTCGCCGCTCCCATCAGGATAAAAGATCCTCGCAAAGGTCGCCAACGCGGCTCCCATACGCGCCATCATCGGATCCGCCGAACCCTGCATCATCTCAACCCCCTTCCGATACCTCTCCTCGCTCGGCTCGCTCTCCACCGTCCACTCCTCTCCCGTAACCCTCTTCCAGCTCTCCAACATCTCCCTCTGACTAACCCTGAAGCTCGCCACATACAACGGCTTATTCCTCCACCGACTCACCGTCGGCGCCTCATCACCCTCATCCTCCGGCAGCTCCTTCAAACTCAACAGCGCCGCGACCGCCCGCGCGCACTGCTCAAACGTCGTCAGATTGACCCTCGCCTCCCCATCATCATACAACGTCGCCTTCTTCGACGCATGATCCAGCCCGAGACACACCGGCCCCAACACCAAACTATACTCATACCAAAACCCACACACCACCGCCACCCACGCCGCCCCGACCTTCTCAATCTCCCCACACCACCCCTTCACCGCGGCCCCACCCAACCGATCATCCCGCATCAACACCTCATTCTCAAAATCCGACCCGTACCCGTTCGGCATCACGTAGGGCACGCCGGCCTTGCCCGCCGCGCGCACCAGCGCGGCGTGGGTGTCGGGCGGCGCCATCACCGACAGCGTGATGATGAGGAACTGCTGCCCGCGCAACGCCGCCACGAGGGTGTCCTCGTCGGCGTAGTCGACCGGCGCGGCGATCACGCCCGCCGGGAGCACGTTCTTGCTGCCACGCCGGGTGAGGGCCGTAATGGTGTGCCGCCCGGTGCGCAGCAGCGCGGTCGTGAAGTGTCCGCCGAGTTGGCCGCCTGCCTGTTGGGGTGGGGGGGGCATGGGTTAGTGATGGGGGGGGTGGTTTGTTAGGGGGGGTGGTTTGTTAGGGGGGGTCGGGTGCTTACGCCGACGATGGCGATGCGCTCGATGCGGTTGGTGAAACCTGCGGGCTCGTCTTTGGCGTACTTTTGAGCCATGGTTTTTGGTTGGTGTTGTTGGTGATGTGTGGTAAGGGTCGTGATGAAGGTAGATTTGAGAGATGGTAAGTCAGTGATGGCAACCTAGTGATGGTACGTTTGGGAGTAAAGTCTTCTTGGATGCTGCTGAGAAATGCAACACGCCCTGTCAAGACCAAGAGAGCGATATATATACCCCCGAAGCATTCACCATGGGCTCATATCACCCTACAGATTCCATAATGTTGATCTTAACGGACACTTGATCACCCCGATCCCAGTATCCATATCACAGCCGGAGATCCTGGCACCGGCCCATCATTGCTCCTACGGAATCCATTTCTTTGATCCCCAATCTTCAACGGACACTTGACTACCCCGATCCGCCAAATTCTTTCCGTTCTAAGTCCGTTAATTCCGCCAAAACGCCCTTGGTCAAGCCTCATCACAAATCACAATGCTACAGTGAAGCCAGACGCCGGCTCGACCGGTTGTCCCTGTCACAGAAATGTTTCATCAATTCCGATAAGCTCATGACGTCTGTCATGGTGAGATCAGCCGGGCTGGAGAGGGGGTGCGGGGTTGTGATTGGTGTTGGGACAATAAGCCGCTCTCACCGCATGCGTTGGCTGTTTAGGCCAGTTTAGGAAGTAGGGAGTAGTCCCTTGAACAGGAGACAGGTTTTCAAGATGCTAGGAAAGTACTTGCTGTATAGCTGTCTAGTACTATAGCTTTCCACTTCTAGCTTGGATCAAACATTGTTGAGGTGTCAAAACCTCAAATCTAAGACCAATCCAGACATGCAAAACCCTCCAGGTTGTAGTATGGCCCGAATGTCCCCGGCTCTCGACATGCAGCAACGCTGTCCCCGTTTTGAGATACCGAATATATCCGCTCCTCTCCAAGAAATAAAGCCAGGAAACGCCAACCAATGCAAACGCAATGCACCCAACCCAACTCAACCCAGGCCATCTTGAAACTTAGATCCAGGCCCCCCAAACCCAAAAAAACTTCAAAACGACAGACCAACCACACTACAGCATCCCCAAAACCACAACCCCCACCACCCCAACCACCACCCCCTTCCACACCCCCTCCACCCTCCTCCCCACCGCCCCCGAAGCATTCCACCCCCTCAACCCAGCCGTCGCCTTCACCGGATTCGCGACCCTCGTCACCCCCGGCACCGCCCCCTTCCCCCGCCCAATCTCCATCACCCTCGTCGAGGTACTATTAAACAGCGTCGGCGCCAGCGCAATCTCATGATTCTCCAAATCATAGACCACATAAGCCGACCGCAAAAACGTATCCCCCAACACGTAGGTCCCCGCCCCCGCCGGGGCGATGCCAAACAAACAGGCCGGGGTGCCATCCGCAAAGGTGGGGCGGACGCCGGCGGCGGTGACCAGGTCGAGGACGAGCTCGTCGAGGGGCACGGCGATGGCCGGGGCGGAGAAGGTGAAGGTCAGGTGGGTGGCGTTGGGGGGCGGGCTGCGCGCCGCCGAGCAGGCGATGTAGGCGGCGTTGGCGGTCGCGTTGTACACGGCGCCGAGGAGGGTGTAGAGCTCGGAGACGAGGTCGTCTGGGAGGTAGGTGAGTGAGGAGCCTGTGTCGAGGAGCACCGCGAGGGCGAGCGGGTTGTTGCTGTGGCTGTTGCCGTTGCCGCCGCCGGTGGCGGCCGGGTTGGCTAGCTCGCTGTTGCGGCCGATGGTGCGGTTGCCGAGATGGAGGTTGGTGAGGGTTATGATGAACTCGCCGTGTACGCCGGTGGTGGATTCGATGGGGAGGGATTGGAGGGGGGGAATGTATTTGTCGGTGTCGACGCCGCCGAAGAGGATGTTGCCTGTGTTGGCGTCGAGGTCGTTCAGCCAGAGGGAGTAGGCGTTGGATTGGATCACGCCCTCGGCGACCAGCTGGGCGGGCAGGTTGCTGTAGGGCTGCAGGCGGGCACGGTTGACCTGCACTTCGTTGAGCGGATAGCCGACGCCGAGGATGCCCTGGGCGTTGGTGCTCGAGTAGCCGATGCCGAATTGGAGGCGGTTGAGCCTCTGGCTGCCGATGGTGACGGTGTCGGCGACGTAGTCCCCGGTTGCACCGCTGCCGTCGACGTACGAGATGTTGAAGTTGCTCGCAATGTACTCGTAGGTCGAGGACGAGTTGGCCTCGTACGTGCCGGCGTATGCACAGGGGTTGCCTCCTGATGCACAGAGCTTGGAGGCAGGCGTGTTGACCCATAGATCGCTGCTGCCTGTGTCGATGTGCAGCCTCACTGGCCTTGGGGGCGTGCCGATGGTGCCATTGATGAAGTACAAGGTTTCCTGGCGGTGTTAGTGAGTGGGTATCAGGTCTCTCTTTTGGTTAAACAAACCTCGTTGTCCAAGCCGACCTCCAAAGTGTCCCGTTTCCTGAGCTTGTCCCTATGGGCTGGGTTCCGTGGCGTCCGGCGTTGAGTTTCCAAACTGAGCACTCTCGGTGCATCATTGTTACGTGGTAATAATAGAGCATACACTGCTACTCTCTGAATAAGTGTGGCCGCAATGGCCAAGAGCGAGACGGGCTTCATTGTTTCAGCGTGTCGTTCGAGTTCAGTAAAACGCGTGTATGTTGGCAGCACACGGAAGTTGGAAAAGGTTGCAACATTGAGAAGACAACAGTTTGGACTGCAGAGTTTGATCAGACTCGTGACCGGCGGCGAACGCTCGGGGCTCTGGTCAGTTGCTGCGCAGTGCAGGTTAGGCAGAGGCAACACTTGGAGCAGCACATGCCATCATTAACACTGCGTGGGTGGACCTTGAATGGTTGGTCTGGGCAAGACTGGTTAAGGCCACCCTCCGGAACCGACGAGAGGCGATGGTGAGCAAAGAGAAGGACAATGAAAAGAGAAGCCAAAACGGCGTCGGATGTGACTGTATGTAACTACTGTGTATGTACGAAGTAACCAAAGTCACTCTAGAAAAATAGGGTCTGATGAGGCGACGAAAAAGGAGAAGACTAGGAGGCTTGTTAGTGGATATGAGAGAAGTGAGTGGACTCGGGGTGGGCTAGGGCCGGGCTTGGCTTGAGACGCATCCGGAATGTGGGATCCCACATGTGTCTCCATCCCCAGGATCCACGGACAGGGGAAGCCCGAGCATAAAAGCGTTCGGTTCGAGACGGACTCTGTTGGAGTTCCCCAGACAGTTGTTTTTGGAGGCACAAAGCACTGACGCCGTATCTCCTTGGCAGCCCCGGACTGAGCCTGGGGTTTCCTTGGAGCCGAGAAGCACCGGATTGGGTTTCAAAAGGCTTATATTCCGAGAGCGATGCATCCGTGTTGATTGCATAACTGACCCGGTACTTTGTCTGGACCTACACTCGTTGGTAAGGAGGTAAGGGATCTCGCTCAGGGGACGTGCAATGGAGATGACGCGCGGCCCACATGCGACATCCTGGTGTAACCCAGGAGATGTTGAGCAGGAGTGGACTGTGTATTTTGGGAAAAAACTTGGCCATTTTGGGTTCTTGGCAGCGGCATCCTCGGATTGTTAGGGCGGTTGAAAAAAACCAGTGCAACAAAAACTGTTGAATTTCATTAGTTACAGAACGAGTCAAGGCCGGTATGTATCGGACGAAGGACAAGGTGGTTCATGGTTCAGATGACGACTCTCAAAGGTGAAACGCAACCCTGGCACGTGCGCGAATGCCAATCTGATACCGGCGATCAGGCAGTCTTGGCAGGGTCACCCCGTCGACCTTTGATTGGCTGTCTATTTACTGCTTGCGTGTCTGGGCCTTCACTGGCAGTGGGCAACCGGGAAGGAGCTTCCCGTTCGGCAGTCAAACGGGAAACACCATGAATTCGGTTGTACTTGCCTATACGAAGCAGTAAAGCTAAGGTGCCCACCCTCTCGTTCAAGCGAGCTCTTATTTGACCCTCAAGCCCAGTTGTGACACTGGTGACGGCCGTTCGATGATTGTCGCCGCTTTCGATACCTTACTTGAGGAATCTAATGGATTTCTTTGACCCATTTTCCCTTTACGCCTCCCGACGGCCTGCTTCAACCGGAGGGTTGAATGGGATGCCTAATACCGTACCTGGGCCATTGCGTGGCCAACCCATTGGCTCCGTGCTGAATAAGAGAATGGTTCATCCAAAAAAGTATTGTGTGGTGGGGGGCTGGAGGTTAGCGAGGAGTTGTTCCTCCCACCTTACCCCTCTATTCTCACCTTACTTTTCCCCCGAGCTTTCTGGGCAGTCCCAGACCGAAGGACCTTTGCCTTGAATGGTAAGATATGTGTTATGCTTTATATTAGTTAAACGGCTGTTGATTTGACCCTCCGAAGTACCATCCCGGTCCAAGCTGTCAACCGCAGGTTGGGAAACGGCTTCACCAGTAACAGTAGTAGCCTTGTCGACAAGACAATACTTACGTACCACAGTAAGTGCGGCTGAATTCACGGCCGGTGAACGACAGGGAGACCCGTTGATTGGGGAATCAATTCAGTAGTTGGACGTCCATACTTTGTGCCAGCCTCGCGACACGTCAGCTTTCCTTCGCTTACCCCAATCTGGCCATCACCCCTCTCTAGGTCTCCAGGTCCCGAACATGGTCTAACGGTAGGTAAGTCCAGAAGTGATTCTCTGTATCTGCCCCGTTGTTGCTGCTTCTCCGTTTCCCCAGGGACTCTCGGCTCTTCCCTCCAACACGTGTAGAGTCTATTCGTACAGCTTTGTTTCACAACCTCCAGCGAACCGTGGCAAAGACAACGTCGAGCCACACAGCATACAGCATCGACGAACACAGCAGTGTAGACAACCGCCACCATGGACGTCGTCAACCTCGATCGATGGTATTGCCCCTAATAACCCCTAATCGCTTCCGCCAGCCTTGGTAGTCAGCCACTGACATCGACCAGCCCGTCCTATGCCGTCTGTCTCTCCCTAACCAGCCCTGACTTGGTCCTCAAATACTCCCCCGGCACTGAATATTAACCGTCCTCTGCCGCAGTCCTTCTTCGGAGCCCTAGGCTGCGCCTGTTCCATCATCTTCACCGTCCTCGGCGCAAGCTATGGCACCGCCAAATCGGCCGGCGCCATCTTTTCCTCGGGCGTGATCCGGCCGGACAGGCTAATGCAGAACACGTAAAGTCACTTCTCCTCCGTCCATGCAATCAATCAGGAGCCGCATACATACACCCCACCGATCTCTCTCCTTCCAACGCTCCACAGAAACCCAAACCCCCCCTCCCCCCAAAAAAAAAAAAAAAAAACCCCCTAAATAAAAACCCCCCCTACCCCCCTGTCAAAAGACTTTGCCCCTCTCGGGGCTAAAATCATCTCTTTCTACGGTCCTCTCGCTCACTCTTATCCCTTTCGACGAGGTTGTGCCAAGAAAAAGGGTG